CAATACGACGCATTACATGTGCTCATCATTAGAGGCAACCAGTACACACTCGTGCTATAAATACACTGTTGAAAAATAATCACATTTATTCTTATTGCAAATAGAAGATAATTGCATTGTTAATAACATTGTAAGCTTGTCACGTTATTTTGACTTTGTCTTGATTTGAATTTGAATAGATTTATGGGGGGAAACCAAGGAAATCAAGCTGTGTGTCACAGAGATCTGTAGGTTTGATAAAATGCATTGTTATTTATAATTGAAAATGTAATTTTTGGGAAACAATTTCCTTTAATTCTTTCGAAATTATCTACAATATATTTTAGCTTATCCCCTTTTTACTTTTAAAAATATTTTCCTGGCCATATCTAATATATTTAATATAAACATTTGCTCAAATAAGCTTCCTCAATTAATTTCAAATAAAAATATAAATTTGAAACATTTTTCCGCTGTGCATTCTTGCAACAAAAACGTCTTGTACTTTGGCACAATCGTCCACGTTTCATCTATTGTTCGGCGGCTGCCGCCCTGCCGTTGTTTGCTCATTGCTGTGGCATAAGTTCCACTTCAAAAAACATAAAATACGCGCCAGAGATATATATGTATATATTTTTAGCAATCCGCTCATTTGATTTACGATTTCATTAAATCAGCTAATGGACATTTTACCTCTCGCTCCCATACGTATTCGCGAGCGAGAATAAAGCGAAACCTGTGCGATCATCTCATCGCTCATACGCCGTGTAGGCCATCGCTACTTCTGCTACTTCAGCCGCTGCGCTTTATCGCCGTGGTCCCCCGTCCGAGTCCCATTCCCAGTATATCAGCGACCACCTGTCGTTGTCTGTAGCATTCGAATCCGAATCCAAATCGGAATTATAAACAGAACCAGGCAAAACAGCCGCTGTTGCCTTTGTGTCCGTTCCTGTCGGATTTGTTTTGTGATGCCGCTGCTGCCAGACATCTTCCAATTAAGAGTCTAACAATGTTGCAAGGTACCAAAAACAGATTGATATTTGCTTAAAAAGGTAGAAAATGTAAAGAATTTTTAGGATTAGGAATGCGAGAACAAGGAATTAGAGAACATAGTTAAGGGATATTTAAGGAACATAAAAATATAATTGAATCTATATTTTTCCCTACTTATTCAAACTTTTAACAATGCAATTTTAACTTAAAATAATTGAAGCACTAAAAATATGTTCCAAAATTAATTCATTAGTTGAAATTAAATTTCAAACCTATTTCTATAGAAGCAAAAATAGTTATTCCTCCTGCACTGTATTAGATATTAAACAATGTATATATTGTTACATTTCCACAATGTTTAATGTATTGACCAGCTATAAGTTTTCCACTTGAGTGTCCAATTAAATGTATTGATACATAATTTTCGCTATATAATTTCTGGCACAAACAAAGTGTAATTAAATCAGTCACATTAGTTTATCATTTCGTAAACGAAACTCCATCTATCTAATTGTACTGAAATGCATTGTTGCAGAATTCGAGGTATTTTCCCTTCAATTCTATCACAAAATCACATTCGATGTATGGGCGAGTGTATGTATTTTACATCAGATTATAATTAATGGATTTGTGGTTGCATTGAAATGTGAAACATAAATTTGGGGTCCTGCAAATCGGATTACCAAGAGACCGGTTGGTGGGTCATGCATTTTGCATTAAGAGAAAAGGAGACTCTACCCATCAACATTTTCAAATCAACAAAGTGTATGTATATTTTACCGCCTGATAAATATTCAACAAATTTCGTATTTCGTATTTTATTTCCACATATTTTACTGCAGGGATTTCGCAAGTGTGTATGGTGGTATGGCTCTTTGCAAGGAATTTATTCAAATTATTTTTTATGAACAGCGCCCAACCCTTGGCACCACAGCCACATCGACATCGACAGGCATATCAGCTGCCGCATCCGAGATGAGATGATGTTCGCGACACACGTGCCGCAGTTGACGAAAATAAATTCGTGGCTCGGCAACCAGAAATTAATAGTTCATCAAGCAAAGGCAAACGCTGACAGATAAATGACGCGACGGCCATCGCCCGTCGAGACGCCAGACGCGAAGGCAAAACAAACCAAAGTCGTACTGCGTACATATATAAATTTTCCAAAAAGGCACTGCCGCCCATCAGTGCTGTCAGATTGTACTATTTCTTTCAGACAGATTGAGTGACTTTTTTCTAAGCGATCTAAGCTGGGAAATATATATATTCTTGGGATCTTTGTCCTTAAAAATTACTTGAGTTTTTGGGGGACTAATAAGCTTTACAAGCTTATTTCCTTATATATTATTATGATTTATAGCATTTTTCTTTCGTAATTCGTAGAGATCCTTTAATAATTAAAATTAAACTATCCCTAAAAGAAATTCTTTAAAATTTTCTTTTATAAGTTCTTGTTTCTTTGGGGATTTTCTTTACTATCCCAACTTATATTTTATTGTTTATATTTTTATTTAGAACCTCGAAACGCATTGAAGGAGTCATTTCCGACCCTATAAATCCTATATATTCTTGATCAGAATCAAAATCTTAATTGATCTAGCCATGTCCAGTCGAAAAATAAATTTTTTGAAATTTTTTCAAAATTTCAAAATTTTATAAGGGGTTACATCACTAAAATGGTCAAAAATTAACAAAAATGTTAATTTTCTAAAATTCAAAATTAAGTGTGCATATTTATAAGCCCAATAAAAACTAACACAGCAATGCTTTCCGAATTGAAATTAATGCATTTTTGGCCTAGTTATGAACAATTTACAATTCCCATTTCCTAAATTTTCAACCTGTTAGGGCACAACTTTCTTTCTTGTTTTTAGTGATTTTCTATCCTATTCTATTTTAAAATTTCTTAAGTTTCTTTAGTGATTTTCCAATAGATTTATTCTTTAGAAAAAAGCTCTAATTATTTTGAAATACATTCTTTCATGGCAGCACTGACGCTGTCCATTGACATTCCTCGTGCTCCTGGCTCTGGCTTCCCTTTCGACGACTACATTTAGCATGTTCTAAAAAAAAAAAAATAGCCGGATTCTTTGCTTGTTTTGTTTTCTATTTCGTTTTTTTCTTTTGTCTCAGACATGAATAATTACATTTCTAACATAACTTGACTTTCACTTTATCAGCAATAGATCAACGCAGCGGTCTCCATAAGTCATCTGTGCGGATTGCAGATCGTTCACTTTCTTTTCCCGCTTTTCCGATTTTCCCTTGACGCAACGCGGAAAGTATTACCGCATATGCCCCGATATACTAGACAAGACATCCAACGTAAAAGCCAAATAAAAATATAATAAATAAAGAAGAAATTCCTATACCTATATTACGGTGACGTCAATTGTCTATTATTTCGCTTTAGTCATAAATTTGACTGGCAGGCCACTGTTCTGTTGGTCACTGAAGGAATCGTCGTCATTAGAGCCCCCTACAAAAGAAAAACCGCTACCAAAATTGGTGGAAGAGGTAGGGAGATCACGAAACGGGCTAGTTTTTGTGTGATGTGAAAAATAATTAGTTTTTCACATCAATGGGTGTGGGCTTTGAATGGGAAAAAACTAACATGAATTCGTTAATAAAAAATATATATTTAAGGACTTCCTAATTTCGCTATTTTTTTATATTTTACCTGCAGAGAATAGTTCATATTTATTTTATAATCAGTTTCCTCAAAAATTTTAAAAATTTCCAGAGATAATTCTAGGATAAATTTATTCAAAAATTTAACTCAGCTCTTTTCTTATCAATTCAAAACTGAACTAAATGAAAATCATCATATGTTTTCCTTACTCTAACATCAACAATATTGCAAATGCCAGGCCATGCAACCACAAAAAATATGGCCATATTTCCCAGAAAAAAAAACATTGCCGACCCAATTTTTTGAAAAATGTAAAGGTTTTTCCAGGAAAAACAGTTCATGGAGAATGGGGTGAGGGATTCCCATGGAATTCTGGTCAAATTTAGCCACAAACCGAAAAAGAAATATACAAAATTTCCATTAGGTTTCAAACATGTTGAGTTGAAATAACGATGCCAACGTCATTGAACTGTGAGCACAGAGATTTTTGTTGTTATTATTGGTGTGGTTGTTGTTGTTGACTGTTGGTGGTGTTGATGTCGATGGTGATGCTAATGCTTATGCTTATGTTGTTGTTATTGTTAGTGTTTTTCGTTTTGTTTTTGTTTTTGTTGACAGTGCAAGGTACACCGATTTTTGTTTTGTTGGCAGCACGTTTCCGCCGCGTGAATTGAAACAGAAAAACTTAGCTGTGCCAATACCACACCGCACTTGTGTGGGTGTTCGAATGAGTCTCTTTTGTGTCAGCACATATTTTAGATGCTTGTTAATACCACCAGCCATAAATAAGTTGCTTTATTTGTCACACCCGGGGAGGGGAGGGAGTCACCATCAAAACATCATCGTTATAACGATCATCATCGCATAGCACAACATTAGGCGCCAGCAAAAGGGTATTTTTTTTCGTTAGATAATAATAATCCTTAGAATCTTGTGACCTTGATTTAAAACTGAATATTTGATATTTATTTTCTTTTATATTTTTAAATACTTCGGAGCCAGTAAATACTAATCATTTAAAAATAAATCTGAAAGTCTACAAATAATAAAATTTTTAACTGGAAGTAAGTTGGACTTAATTTATTTTTCTTGGCATATTACATGGAAAAAAATAATAAACTGATTCAAGATTCCAACAAGAACCTCTCAAGATCTAAGAATTACTATTTCCAAACAAACTCAAAAAAGTTAATTACCCGAACTTTGCCTTATTTATTGGTTAGTCTTTGGTTAGTATTAATACAACAACGCAAATTTCAATGAAAACAATAAACTTGAAATCAAACTTTAGCAAGGTGTATACAGAGAGAGATAGACAGAGTCACGAAATAGCAGAGTTTTCCCTGTAAATGTGTGTGTGTGTATTTTGGTTTTTATTAGCTTTTCGGCTTACCGATCGATCGGGGGCTGCATTTGCGTTGTACGCCGCGTCCCACGGTGCGTATGATGAATGTTGATTGTCGTCGTCGTATCCGTCTCCGTTGCTCCTTGAATCGGGCTCACTAATCTGCGGCTATAGCTTTTTCTCTACATACGTGAGGAGGAGCGGTATAATACATAGGCTCTGGAGGTGTGGGTTTCACGTATATGCCAGTGCCTGCGGGCGTTGGTATCTGTGACATTGAATCGCTATTCCTATTCTTTCTCTCTCTCTCTTGTTTCCTCTGATTGTAGTTGTTGTTTTATTTGGCTTTTCTTTTAGATTTTCTTTTTGTTGACTTCTTTGTTGTATTTCACACACACGAACGCACAAGACGATGGGCCAGGGGCAAGCGGGCGGACATTTTCCGCCTCGATTTCACATGCTTCCCATCTTTATGTACACACACGCACGCTTAGACTCAGGTCACGCCTCGCTCTGGCTGCTATTCTACCAAACTATATAGTTGTCTCTCTGTCCCTTCTTCTCGAGGCGTTTTTAGTTTTAAAAGTCGTGGTTTACATTAGTTTAGGGTTGATTCTTTGTAAAGAGGACGGCTTGACACGCTTTTTTCGATTACATCTAAACATCTTACTGTTGGGTGAAACGAGGTCAATGTTAAGATGGGGGAATCCCAGAAACTGATTATACCGAAATGCAGATTGAAGAAAAGATAGCTTCAAGATGCTGGGGTTTCTATTTATCTTTGGAATTTCGGAAGTACTTTATTTTCGGAGTTAGGTTTGAGTAGTTTTTATTCCAATTTGTCAGGAAAATGCTCTCTCAAGGCAATTGCTAAGGGTGAATTTATTGTTATTTATAAATTGGTTCCTTTTTATATACCATTTACATTAATATATCTTAAACGAATGTAGTTTAATATACTGACTTTAAATGATTTCTTTTAAAATAGATACACATTTTGTCAGACAAAATCTCAAACAACAGTAATTATGTATCTTGGAAATATTCGGACTTTTCTGCGAAACAATGTATAACAAGTTTCTGGGACTCCCCTTTATTGCTTTAACAATGCCCTAAGAATTGATGTGTTCTTTTCACTCCCCCCAAAATATGTATCTTTTGAAAGTTACTCAGAATTTAATTGGCTTTATTATCGCTTTTCGGTATTTCTTAGCTGCACTTGTTCACTTCGGTTTTGGCTTTATGTAATTGCTCTGCTTCATTAAACAGTTTATGAATTCTTATTTGTGCTTTGCTGTTCTGTTTTTCTGCTTCCCTTCCACCTCCACCCACCTGCCGTGTTTCGACTTCAGTGCATTCTTCGTTATTACAATATAAAACACATTTTTGTTACTTGGCCAACAACTTTGGCCATCTGCAATAACAAGACCGAAGGAGCGAAACAAAAAAAGAAGAAAACGGAAAATAATATAAAAAAGGCAGAAACGCTTGCTTCGGGCTTCTCGTTTTAGAACAAAAAAAAAAGTAGAAGAAGAAAGCTTTTAAGAACTGTGGGCCGTTCTTGGGAAATTACTTAAGTTTTCAATGCGTTTTACTCAATTTGACTTTGGGTCGTTGCTGCCGACTTGCCTTCTATCTACCGCTGGGCTCTCATCCCCTTTCCCTTCCCCTTCCCCTACATCCCTCCCCCCTGGCGACTGTTGTCAGAATTGGCGCATTAAGCGCAAAAAATAAAGCGAGAAACAACAACCAGAAAGGGAGAAAGGCCAAAACCCAGAAGCGCCCTAAAGTGGGCTGCCAGCTAACCGAGTTTTTGGAGCCTTATCGCTCAGGCCGTATTAAATAATACGCTACAAAGCAGTGGCTTAGGCAGAATACTAACCAAAAGGGGGATTTGGGAAAGTGATAGATCAAATATAAATGTAATGGATTTTATATAATTATATCAGAAATCTAATTGAAACAGTTAATTGGTAATGAATTATAAGAAATTACACTCAATTGAAACATTATTTTGAATAAATATTCCTTGTGGCTTATTAATTTTTAAATTGTATACTATAAAGCCCCAAAGTTACTTCGATTTTTTGTAATACTTGACTTTCGTTAAAGTTTGTATCCATTACAAGGCTCAACCCCTAAATATGTAGCCCTTTTTGCGGTGCGCCTATGCGCCTATGTATGTATTAGAGAGGAGGCGGAGCACATAAAGAGAAGTCAAAATAAATCGATAAATTCTACATAGATACACAGCATCACAGGCACAGCGGCAACACCAACAACGGTGGGCAATAAACAGCCTACGAATGGCAGTAGCAAAAACAACATCGGCAGCAGCAGCAGCAACAACAACAAAAGCTGGATAAAATGTTTTTCGTTTGCCTCCTTGAATTGTCCTTTCACCGCCCAACGCCCACCGCCCGCCGCCCAACGCCCACCGCCCAGCACATCCAGCTTCTCATTCAGAGAACCGAATGCGAATACGAATACGAATACGAATACAAATACGAATGACGAGCCTCGTTCGTTTATTCGCACGCCTGAATGTCTGCCAGTTCGCAATGGGTGTGTGTGTGGTTGTATGAGTGTATCTCGTGTGCCTCGGCAGCTGTATCTGTATCTGTGTATCTGCCTCTGTTGTTCTGTACTCCACATCTCGCTTCGTTTACTTTGCGCGTAAGCAGGTACACACACACACACTCCTACAGTTTGGTTTGGAAAAATCAATTAAAATTTAACGCACGTCCACAGGACTCGAGCTTCCTTGAGATTCTGTACGAATCCCCCATCATGTACCCAATCCGAGGACAATCGTAAAAATACGCCTGCCATTTCAATGGCAATCGCGGCTACCTTAGCAGGCAATTTAATTTGTCTAATTTGAATTTTAATTAAAAACTTTTACGGGTTCAATAACTTGCAAACAGCAGCAGTAGCAAAAAAAAAATAAAAAAAGGTAAAGAATGAAAGTAAACAACAATATTTAAATGGCTTAAAGGGAACGCTTTCTGGCTGGCTCATTTCCATGTAACAGCTGTCTGTCACTCCCGAGAAACGGGGGAAATATTCAGCCTCCTTCAGAAGGAGGTGTCTAAAAATTGTTATTCACTTTGTTGCCAAATTAAGTTGAACTTTCTCTGTATGGGTGTGAAAGTGTGTGCGGGTATTTTGTGTGACTTTTTAATTGCCAACGCAAAGACTTGAATGAAATTGAGCCAGGTGAACCCCTAAGAAACTTTTTAAGCTGGGCTTAAAGCTACTTAAAAGAGCTCTTGGATCATTTTGGCACCAGTCAAGAGTGTATTGCCTCATTCTTGGAAATTGTTTATCCCAAAAGCAAAACGAAATCAGTGCATTCCATCGATGTAAACACACAAATCCTTCATATTTTTCAAGATTCACAAATCTCTCGCCAGCGACAGGCACTTTCAATCTGGCAAATTGATGGCCTCTAATTACACACGCAGTGTGCATAATATATATATATATATATATTTCGATATATTCCATATAGATCCCGTTTGGCTTTTACAGCGTCGACAATGTAAATAAACAACCTGCAAAAATTGCACATGACTCTGCCAATATTTGAATGTTCAGCGGGGCATCTACATATGATACCGGGGACTGCCCCAAAAGAGGCAAGTCCGCATCCACCCACAGCGACACCCCCTGCCACTCATAAATACACACCCCCTCGAACACACACTCGCTGCCTGTATGCTTGATTTATTTTCAATCTTTGTAGGATGTTGTAAAATATTTTAACGACAGCAATTTTGCCCGCTCGCGGATGATATTAAATTTGGTGCCATTGGCCATAATATAAAAATTGTAATGGCAGTTCTATTTATTTGCTCGTTCATATATATTTTATATGTTAGATATTTTTACCCGGCGGCGCCTTATTTTTATAAAATTTTAATTCGTTTCGATTTTGATTAATAACACGCAAATTTCAACACGTCCTTGAGGTGGTGTTCAATCATCGAGAGGCGACCGAATGACAGTATGTCCTGAATCGGACTAAAAGTACAGCATCAGAAGGGTCCGGGAGAAGCCCATAAATTGCGATGCAGCATTTCGTTGTCATGGTTATATCCCGGGAACCGCTCCATCGATCCCGATTGCATATCTGCATGTCTAAAATTAGACTCAGCTCCCTGCCAACCATTCCTCGTCTACTGGCTAAAGTTTGTTGTGCACTTCGCAGTTGAAGTGGGGGTGTAAACGAGGTAAAAAGAATGTTTTCATTCATTGAGGGATTATTTGGGGTTTACAGCTTAATATTTGTATATCTCACATACCACGGCTGCATATTAACATACAAATAAAGAAGACAGTAAGGGAAATATAGTTTACCCCTATGGTTTGTACACAACATCTTAATGTTTTAAACTCTTCAAATTATTATCGGTCTTTGTTTTTGTTCTAGAGACTAGTTTTTTGGTAATTTATAAGATTTTTTTATCAAAAATTCACGAAAACTTAGCCTGTGTAAACAAAACCCTATAAAGTATGCAACACTTTTGGCAATGACCGAATATCTAGCAGGTATTTCGGTATTTCAGACTCAGTGCTCTAAATTAAATAATAAAAACTCGTTGTATGTAAAGAAATATTATTATGTATTTATTATTATAAAGAAAAGCAACTTTCCATGTAAGAATGTTATTTAGTGCTGTTTAAGGGTTTTGAAACCCCTTAAGTTCTCTTTAGTATTTTTATCCTAACAGATTATTATAATTTCAGTCACAATTTTTTAAATATGTCAAGGAGTCATTTTCGATAATATGAACCATATATATTCTTGATCAGCATTAACAAGAGAATCTTTCTAGCCATCTCCGGCAGAAAGATAAATTTTTCCAAAACTTTCAATTTTTGCAAAAAGAGGAAAGGGGTTACAGCGTTAAAATTTTTAAAAATTGTCAAAAATTGAATTTCTTTGAATTTTAAATTGAATATGCAGATTAATTAATGCTTTTTTGGCTTAATTATGCATTTTTTAAACTTTGATTTATCCAAAAACTTGTCAAATAAAAATATTTATAAATATCGATTTAAAGAATGCGAATATTTCAAGCCAATTTATGATCGACTTCCGATTCTATACATTATTTCGATAGCAAACTGCAAGTGTACATAAACTTCGTCTTCTCGAAATTAGTTTCCTGTCTTGTTTAGTTTTGAAACCTATTTTAAAGTTCCAATAAACTGAAACTATAAATTCTATAAATAATTCAAGTTTCCTTTAAATACTTTTTGAATGTTAAGACTTTTTGAATTGGATAATAAATTACCTAAAACCCCAATGCTTTGTGTATATAACTAATCCTTTTTCGCCGTGTGGCAAACTATAAATAGCAAAATGAATTGCTTGATGACATTCAACTTTCGGTCGGTTTGTCAACGGCTAAGTGCCGTAAAATGGGTGAAGGTCAGCGCTGCAATGCGCTGGATGGATGGCCTCCGCCCTGAGAGCCTCATCCGCGTCCTCCTCATCATCATTTAGCATTGGTGGTGTTGCTGGAGGAGAAGGAAGGCCATTAACAATATGTGGCGGCCTCAAAATCAGCAACTGCAGCGAAGGTGAGCAAACACACACACGCACACACACACATGCACGTAAGAGCGGCTGCGACACAGAGATACACCGCAAATACATTCAGATATGTGTATGTATGTATGCCAGGAAACACACATACGCAGTGTGGGCCAAGCGACCAAAACAACCCCCGCCCAGCCGCCAGTGGTCATGTTTACTCAAACTCAAACACAAATGCTTTCATAATTTCCCATACACACACAGAAACACTGTCAGCACACACACACACCGCACACACACAAATGCATGCATAAATCTTCAGATGGCGCCATTTCACTCCTTTGGCGAACTATAAAAGCCAGCCAGCGTCTGCTGGCAAGCTCCTCCAGTAACATCAATGTTTTGCTTGTTGTCGTTTGCTTTTCCATTCCGAGCAACCATCCTCTAAGCCGCCCCCACCCCCCACGAACTCCCCAGCCCCCAGCGCAGCTCCTCACCTCCCGCCCCCCCGTGGCCAGCATCCCTCCAATTACTCACACATTCAACGAGCACTCATTTAAACGAAGCACCCAACGCTTACAGCATAACGTCAAAGTTAACTCGCTGCTGGAGCGTGTGCTTTTGGGGGTTGGGTGTGGGTTGGGTTTCCCGTCCTCCCGTCCTCCCTTCCAACCCCCCAAAGAGCAAGTGAGCCAGGAGATAGAGATGGAGATAGAACGATAGAGAGAAAGGAACAGAGAGATAGAGAGAGAGAGAGAGCGAGGGCAGTCGTGCGTTCGTGACATCCGTTCGTGCGTCCCGCATCGCGCATCCTTTTGCCACTCCGGCTCTCTGGCAACAATGCTCACTGATGATGTACAATGGGCCGGAATGGCGAAATCATCAAATTAAATAAAGTGAATTTCATGGAAAACATGATTCGTAGAAATAATCTAATTCTTTCCAAGAATCTTCTTTGAATACTGAATAATAATTCAACAGTTCCGGAGAATGGCCTTACAAAATTAAACACAAAATTATTGTTAATCGAAATATAAACATTTACAAAAATGTTAAATTATTTACAGAAGTAAAATTAATATAAGGCATTTGGATGGTGAATTTGAGGAAGCGTTTTATAAATAACTGTTTTTAACATGACTTAGATTGAATTCAAATTCGAAACTAACTTAAGGAATTTGTTGATAAGGATATTTGGATGTGGCTACTAAATATTGACAGCAAAAATCTTAGAGAACGAATCCAGAATCTAGTACTTGTCAATGTAGTAATCGTCTAAGAATTTAAAAAAGCCTTTCAACAGAATTTTATGTTTCGGAATAAAAGAATTTATAAATTTTTAATAATAATAATTGAAGGTGAATGCAGTGAATAAAGTCTGAATGTTTAAAAAGGGGATTCCTCTTAATATCTGTGGCTCTCACATGTTTTAGGCTATAACTTTTAAAGTTAAGACCAAGATTCCATATGCATAAAGGAGCCATCAGTTTTTTATCAGTATCATTTGATGCTAACAAACTTAAACATTCAGTACAGTTATCTTTTCCCCGCTAAACCCCATTGAGTGCAAGTCAAGCGGTAAGGGCGCCGATGCTGCAGAGGTCCCTTGTGTGCTTTAACCTTTACGACCAAACTTTATCAAGGAATTTAAATTCAAAATATTTTTTTTTTCGTATTTTAAACTTTCTGAAAACACACCACTGTACAACATACACCCACACACCCCCTCACACACACACACATGCTTACAACTCATTATTGGTACATTGTAGTGGCATTGTCAGATACGGGTACATTCCATTAAAGCGTTCCGAATGTTGTTACGGAATTGACACAGTGTGCAATCGTCCTTTGGCATCCTCCGATCCCATCCTCCACCATCCCCCTTTTATTCTTCGCTTCGATTCCTTTTCTCTTCATTGCTGCTTTCTGTTTTTCCTCATTTTTCGTTCATTCTTTCGTTTTCGTTATATTTTCTGTTTTTTTTTTTTTTGTGCGAAAATTTACGGCCGTACGTTTGTATGTGTACGCGTATATGTGGGCTACTATGTTAAAAGTTTGAGCGGCCACACCCCCTGCCGCCCCCTTGCTGAAGCACGAACAGCACAGCAACTTGTTTGTGTTCAGTGGGTGTGTGTGTGTGTGTATGTGTCTCTTGGCAAAGTTTTTGTCTACTTTTATTTTTTGGTTGTTATTTAATTGTGTTTGTGTTGTTATTGTTCTTGTTGTTGTCTCATGTTTGACTTCTGAATTGTTGTCGTTGTCATCGCTGAAGCTGCGATGTTGCTGCTGCCGCTTCTGCTGCTGATGCTGATGCTGCTATTGGTGTTGTTGCTGCTGTTCTTGCTTGTTGGCTGATAACTTTCGTTTTAACTGTCAATGAAGGCAATTGAAAGTTGTCTCGATTGTTGTGAAACCACCACAAATTATGTATTTCGCCTTTAAAGGTAGGAATTTTCAACTCTCCAAAGCGAGGCTTTAATTTGAGATCGTGTTTTGAAGTAATTAAGAATGGGGGAACCCCCATATTACACGAGCACAGGCACACAAAACGTGAAGCTCTGACAGCCAGCTGGGCGTCCAACTTGGCTTTGGATATACTATATATATATATATTTATATATATCCCCAATACAATGTATATCCTCCCAACCAAACACCACAACCCCGACATTGTAGATATGTATACGCAGAGTCACATAATCCCGACGCACACACACACAAACAGAGGGAGTCCTGCGAGGGAGCGAGCTGGAGAGATGGCCGAAACACAGTTAGCAATTTACTGTATTGTATTATGTATGAATTTTCGTGTGTGTGGCATTACATCTCCTATGTTTTTTAATACCATCTTTGGCACGGGAAAAAAAGAGGAGAAGCCCCGAAAGTCCTTGCATTTCATCCTTAGTTGTTATACACACGAATGCACAGCACAGCACAGCACACAGAATTCGCAAAACTTTTTAGAACTTTTAAGAGATTTTTGCTGTCAACTATTTTTCTTTTCAGCCAAGAACGGAAAAGTTACAGAAATCAATGCGCGAAGCGAGAGCTCTTCACTACGTTTTCGTCGATTCGTAGATACGTTTCTTGAATTATTTGATTTTCACCAGCACTTTCGTTGCCTTTTCCTTTCGCACAGACCTTTGTTGTTTGTTGAAAATTATTGAAATATCATTTATTATATGTATACATATCATATATACACGCGTTTATTTATTTATACTTGTATATATGCATCGATTTTAGAACGTTAAAAGTTTAGTTTAGCTATGCTTTTATCGTTTTTTATTATTTTTCGCCATCTACTTTGACTAGTTTTTGTTTTATTATTATATTTTTTTTTTCTATTTTGTGTTGTTGTTAGTGTAGAAAAATTAAAAACGCGCCGTTGGTATAAAAATGTTTTTCAGCTAATGCGATTTTAACGTTTTGCATGCGAACCAACAACTATTTTGGCCAAGTGCGCGCTGCCAAAGCAGAAGCTCTCCCACAGCATCCGAGCGTTGGACCGACGGATGCCGATGGACGATGCTGAGAATTGTGAGATACTCGTACTCTGAGATACGCGCACGAGCGAGAAGCAGATACTCCTTGCTTAATGTTTTTGATGCCTGCGCTTGCGCCATCTCCTCGCCGGGCATTGCCAGATACCATTAATTGGATCTGCCATTCGCAGCGGTTCCTCGGATGCTGGCGAGCGCGCGAGTTTTTCAAATCACTGGAAATCTCGGGGTAATTAGGCCGCATTTATGACTTAACTGGAACTATGAAATCGAGCACAAAAACAACAATAAGTGAGCAATGAGAGACTGAGGAGCAGCGAGGCGATCACGTGAAGAACTCGCGTGTCACAAAGGCAGGCAGACGCACCGAGATCCGGTGGACGGACACGGGGCAGGCAGGCAGACGACGCCGGCTCTTGATGATAACGATGAACGCTGAAAAACATTAGTTTTTCAAATAACACTTACAGTGAGGACTAGCTGTAGTATGTAACAAACACAATTTAGCCTTTATTTTTACATAAATTATATAGTTTCCTTAATTTTGAGGAAAGTTAAAAAGGTACTTAGAAATAGAACTAAAGCAAGTAAAGCTTTGGGTTTATAGTCACATTTATAGTCTTACCTAAAAGGATTAAAATTATTTAATAAACCCCATTATAATTTATACATTATACATTAATTAGACCAAAGTGCATTCGTTTCTGTTCCATCCACAGCTATGTAAATTATTTAATTATTATTTATTTCCCTTGAAAAGGAACTAGAATAGTTAGGCAAGGGGATTTAAAGGGGATTTATTTAAAATGGCTAATTTAACAATTTGCAATAATAATTAAGAAATATTAAGTCCTAATTAGACCAAAGTTTATACTAATCTGTGCCATCCATAGCAATATAAAATAATTAAGAATATCACATCCTTTCGAATGTTTGAAATCTTAAAGGGACCTTTTCTTAAAAGGAGATTGATTAATGGCTAATTATTTTTAAGATTTTCCTCTAGATTATACTTAATTACCACCTATTTTGAGCCTTAGGTATCTCCTTTAGGAGGTTCCACTGTGCTCTGTTCCCTTTATAGAAAACCAAGCCGGCGAACACCGAGGGCAACTTGTGTTTTCCTTTATCAGCCGGCGGTCAGGTCGATGGCGGCAGCAGCACCGCGTTATGAAATCTCGGACCTCCGGTTCGAGTGCTATAAATATCGCAGGTCTCGTGCTAACCAACTATCAGTGCCGAAGGAAACGTGCCGGACAACGTACAGCCAGCACAGCTCAGCTCAAAAACAATTGCCATAACAATGAGGCTGCAGTTCTTCTTGTTGTGCCTCGGCCTGAGTGCTCTAGTCAGCGGAGGAGGTGAGTCTAAAGCAAAGTCCCTGTGATCTATACTGAAATCTAACCGAACTGTACTACTATTTACTAAAATCAATAGCCACCTCCCATGAGTCAGAGAGGCGGATGCATCCGGTTTTCTCGCTGGTGGGTTCCAACCCCCTGGGAGGACGGTCCAAGCGCGCCATGCCACAGATCGTGTTCGATGCTATTAAGGCCGAAGAGCGTTATGCAGAATACTGGCAGGGACTGGCGGCTCAAACCCTGGAGCAGCAGTTGGAGAGCAAGCTGAGGTTAAACACTCAGCTAGCCCGCAACGTGATGCTCTTCATCGGCGACGGTATGTCCATACCCACAATTACGGCCGGTCGGGTGTACTTGGGCGGCGAGGAGAAGCAGTTCGCCTTCGAGCAGTTCCCCTATGTGGGCCTGAGCAAGACCTATTGCGCCAACATGCAGGTGGCAGATTCTGCCTGCACGGCCACCGCCTACCTGGGTGGAGTCAAGGCCAACTACGGCACCATCGGAGTAAGTGCAGCGGTGCAGTTCAAAGATTGCCAGGCGCAGGCGCAGACCGCTCACCATGTGGCCTCGATTGCCGCATGGGCCCAGAAGCAGGGAATGGCCACCGGATTAGTAACCACCACATCGGTTACGCACGCCTCGCCGGCGGGTGTCTATGCGCATCTGGCTAACCGGAACTGGGAGAATGACGCCGAGGTTTTGGGAGATGGCGGAGATCCCAGCCTCTGTCCAGACGCCGCTGTTCAGCTGATTAACAGTCCCGTGGGTCAGAAGCTTAATGTGATAATGGGCGGTGGTCGCGAGAACTTCCTCCCCAAGAGCGTCCGGGATAATAGTGGAGCACCAGGACGTCGCCTGGATGGACGCAATCTCATCGAGGAGTGGAAGAGCCAGCATACAAACAGTGCCCATTACGTGGAGAACCGCCAGGAGCTGCTTGAGCTTTCTAATTATACCTCGCGGGTATTGGGTTTGTTTGCCCCCTATCACATGGCCTACCACCTGGATGCGAATCCCAGCGAGCAGCCCACGCTGGAAGAGATGGTGCAGGCGGCCATGAACGTGCTGGAACGCCAGAGCGCCGGTCGAGGCTACTTCCTTTTCGTGGAGGGTGGTCGCATTGATCACGGTCATCATGACACCTTGGCCCTGCGAGCCATCGATGAGACGGCAGAGTTCGACAAGGCGGTGAGATTTGCCAGGAGTCATACCAGCACCGATGACACCCTGATCGTGGTCTCCTCGGATCACTCGCACACCATGTCGCTGGCGGGCTACTCCAGTCGAAAAAATGACATCTTTGGGATCAACGACGGACAACTGGCGGCGGATGATCTGCCCTATGCCACCCTCAGCTATGCCAATGGCCCAGGCTATGACAGCAACTACCTCAGGGAGGGCGGAGCCGTCAAAAGGAAGAACCTGCGGGCCATTAACATGAAGAACAAGGACTTTATGTTCCCCAGCACTGTACCTTTGGAGTCGGAGACACATGGCGGCGACGACGTAGCCGTCTTCGCTAGTGGACCCTACGCCCAGCTTTTCACCGGAGTCTATGAGCAGCACTTCATACCCCACGCCCTCGGCTACGCGGCCTGCCTTGGCGAGCGGAACATGTGCGTAGATGGAGGCATCGCCAGGAGGCCACGATAAAGCTTGTCGCGTGTCAAGCAGAAGTCTCAGGGATCACTGTATTATTTTTGCTTAAGAAAACAGCCACTAGGTTAAGTCAATATGTTGGGGGGAGGGCAAAACATTGAATTGAATAAGAAAGTATGAAAATATCATAATATATTAAAATTCAAACTTGATACCTTTACACCGGGAACTATCGATACCATACTTACCATCGATGACCCGTTATCGATTGCACGCCGCCAAAAGCAACCGCGCGTGAAGATTTTCTCCCTACACGAAAACGGTCACACAGCAACGGAGCACAACAAAATACGTATTTTTCTGCCCACCAAAGTGTCGAAAAACAATCTAAGGCAGCACTGCAGGAGCCAATATTCGATGTAAACGATTAACTTAAGTGAGTAACAATGCCGGAGCAGCAATTCGTCACATTTGCGCAGTTCGCCAGACGCTGAACGAGCTTTCCAGAAGAGTGTGCGTTCGTCCGTGTGTGTGTGTGCGTGTGTGAGCAACCAGTTTCCTTGGCTCCGAGACTTACGCTTCTCGGATGGGCATGTGTGTATGTAACGAAAACAATAACACTTTGCAAACGAAGTGCACACAAGGTAGTCCAAAAGTTGGCCAATTCCGGATCATCATCGGCAGCAGCCGCCGCAGCCCTGCACGGCGATTACGTTGACCATTCAGCTAGCTGGGAGCTTGATGTATTAATAATTATTGCCCATTCGCGGACTGTGTGTAGTGGTGACTTCAATTGTTGTCGTCATTCACCTTGAATCTTGAATCCAAAAGTCGCTCCGGATATATGTGTATCGCCACGCTCCATTGGACGCTATGCGATGCCCCGAAAAGCAGTCGCAAAGCAATTTCGCTTGCCATGTGCTTGCATTTCCATCATGACTTTCAGTGGTTACACGTCGGCAAGACAATTGCCTCGACAACGGTCGATGGCTTATCAGCCACTGCAAGGGATCCACCGATAAGCGAGCCACTTCTAATCACAGATTATGACTTGAAACAATTGGGGATATATGTGTGTATCGTAAGGCACCCTGTGTTTAAGCCCATTTCATGGAATATTCAGTTTTAGAAAAAACCAGGTGTAATTTCTAAACCAATGTAGGTTATACAAATTCGACCCTAAATGATATTTATATCTCAACGTCAACGTTGAATGATTTCCTTTCAACTATGGTAAATAGCAGTTTTACAAATCTTTAAAATACGTATCTCAGAAAGTTTAGTTAAATTAAATTTTAAGTATATCAGAATAAGATTTCTTTGGGCTTGACAACAGATTTCTTGTGGAATTCATAGACATTGTTAAAAGCCAAAACGAAATCCAGAAAGATTAGGAATGAAAATAGCTAGGGAAGTCGTAAAAACACCTGGTAAAGTTGGTATTTCATGTTCTGCCAGTTTTAAATTTTTTGTTTTTGCAGATTTTAGGAGTAAACATTCAGTAAGATTTTAATTTATTAAGTTCTTATGGAAAGATTTTATTTGGCAGCCCAAATCCATACATTCATATACATATATTAACCCAATTCCCTATGACTAATTCATAGCATCTCGGGCGCTGCCAAATTTTCTCTCTAATTAATTCTTAAACAACATAACACAACAATGGATGCAATAGAGACCCCTCCCCACCGTCCAATTGGGTGCAAGACCTTTAAACTGATTAATCGTCAATTTTGATACACTCGCACACATGTGCAGCGCTGAATATTTTCTATTATTAATTGCTGCTTTGCCAGCGACGATCAAAGTTTCGCTCACTTTTGGCGGTGGCTTCTCTCCGTATATTCCACACTCTCTGTCTATTTTTCTCTTTGTTTTGGCCATTTGTGCTTTGAGTTTTGGCTCAGTTGTTGCTTTTGCTCGGTTTGTGCAACATTAGCGGGGATTCACAGTCCGGTGAGGGTTTAAAAAATCATGGAATTTAAATTTTATTGCACAATTGTGACGCTCTCCTCGTCATATATTGCCTTTTTTCCTTCGCTCTTTATCAAGCGCATTCAATTGAACTTTGCTTCGATCGGGGAAAGTCGCGTAGAATTTGTTTCGGGCTATTGATTAGCTTCCCCCACAAATACAATCAGCTGTGACATAGAACGCGACTTTATTTGCAGTGCATTTTATGTAAATATTTACATAAAAGTGTTTCAGATTCTAGAGATTGTGTTCTTATATGCAGTAGATGTCGGTTAAAGGATAGGAAAAAAACAATAAATAAAGCAAACTAAATGTATCATCAAGTTTGCAATACTGAACTAAACATATAATTCGTAAAACGATGCATTAAAAGATATCCTATGATCTATTTTCTTTTGAGAACTAGTCAAAACGTAAAGAATAATTTAAATCAAACAATTTTAAACTCACTTAACTGCGTGCAAACACACTCAAAATCAAAATGCAAAAAAACTTATTCGTAAGAGATATTTCTCTTAGCAAAAGAGTGACTCATAACCGAAATCTACTGTCCCTCTGTCTAAAACTAATTATTCTATTCGGCTACACATCTCATCCCATTGACGCAATCGTCTCCAGCTGAGGCATGTATGGGGCAGGGTGTCCAGTCCGCCCGCCACTCGATCGAAGCTGAGGGCATGGCGCGGTGAAGTCATCAGCTGACGTACTCCGAATGCCACGTCCTCACAGCTGCTGCGCTCGCTCGGCTCCAGCTGCCAGCAGTTGAGCAGTAGTTGATAGAGATCCCCGTAGACGTACGCCGGCTGTGCAGGACGTACTGCTACCCTTATGGCTTCGAGGAGCTGCTGGTTATTGGCAACAACGTTGGCATAAGGAGTACCGCCCAGGGAGCAGCACTCCCAGGCCACGCATGCCAGCGACCAAACATCGGAGCGAGGGGAGTGATGATGCTGGTGACGCAGCACCTCCGGGGCCAGCCATCTGCTGTGGTCCGGCTGCTGGCGATTGGTGTTCATAAACTGCAGCGGCCCAAAGACGCTCAGCTTCAGCTTGGACTCACCGGTCACGAAAATGCTGTGTGAGCAGAGCTGACGATGCACAACCTGACAGCTGGTTAGGTAGGACATGGCACTGGCCAGCTCGTAAATCCACTGCAGCACCAGTTGCTCGGAGAGGGAAGTGATTCGCGGTGAAGGCGTCATCAGGCGACTCTCCACGAGCCTACGCTTGAGACTCACGCGCTGCTGCTCGAAGATTAGGTAGAACCAGTCAGGACTGGCTGACACTCCATAGAAATCCAGCAAGTGCTCCTGGCGCTTCAAATGTGCAAGCTGGCGCATCTCTCTTAGCAATTGGGATTGGGTAACTCCATTCAGGTCATCCAGACAAAGCACGTGCAAAGTGCAATCCCGAATAGTGTCGTTCGCGGAAACCTTTCCTGTTATGATCTCTCCAAAGCGTCCGTCCCCGATCACATCGTTCACATTTAGCCGCAAGCCGTTCCTTGGTATTCGCTCGAATCCCTCCACCAGCTGTTGCAGTTGATGCTTAAAGTTTTCCGGCGAATGTGGCAGTGGTTCATCCTCCACCAGGTAGCCGTTGTTCTCTCTCTCAATGATTGGTGTCTGCAGGGTCATTTCGTGGCCATTCCGCCCTGTCAATCTTCGACCGCGACAGGTCTTGTAGCGTAGATAGAAGTATGCAATGAGGCTAAGCAGTAGGCAGGTGCCAAAGATTACGCAGGTAACGGCCAAGGCTACCACTGAGGACTGGCCCTTATCGAAGGTGGCGTAGCTGAAATCGTCCAGGGAGGAAACGTGCTGGTCGTGGGTCCCACGGCTGTATAGCGTCTTAGTCACGCCCTCGAGGGTGCTCACCTAAAGACAGTAAATGCATGAAATCGTATTCTTCAGTTAGCCAATAGAGGCCATGCTTTACTTACCACTCCCAAACTGATGTGGACATGAGCATTTGGCTGATCCAAAGGTGCATTGTGATAGCGTCCATAACGCTTACCATCGCCCACAACAAAGCTCCGGGTTCGATTGTCCTCCGGTCGGTCGTAATCCAACTCTGCGGCTACGTAGTAGGGCACTCCATCCTGTTGTGCCTTTTGCCAACTTCCCAAAAGTTGGGCGTCAAAGGGCTGGCTAAGCGCATTGTCCACATACTCTACAATGACGAGAAGCTGACTCACCGGTCCATTGTCATTCCGTAAGGGAGCAAGTTCCACGGTGATCGTGCGATCGGTGCGGCTGAGAATTTTGGGTTGCGCGGGAGCAGGACTAGGTAGACCCACCTGAAATATGATTTCGTATTAGTTTTGCATGAAATTCTCTTCAGTTTTGAAGCCAAACCCACCTCTGTCCTGGCCTGCAGCGTCGCCTGGCCGCACTCAGCCTCCCCTTGCGGCTGTTCCCGGCAGATGGCACGTACGGTGACGTTGTACAGCGTAGCGGGCTGCAGATCCGTGAGCTCGAACTTAGTCTCCGAGCTCTGCACCATAAACTCTGGTTGGGGAAAAGCCGGCAGCGAAGAGAACGTTTTCAACACCTGGGCGCGAATCAGGAAGCTGGCCAGCTGCTGGTTCGGCAAGACCGCCTCCGCTGCTCCTGCGAGCAGGAGTTTCCTCGGCTCATAGGCGTCCCAGGCGACAGTGAGGCTATTCTCTGTCTTGTTGGCCACATGCAGATGATGCGGCGCCGGCTGCCTGGTCGGCGTCGTGGAGTAATACGAATGCACACCGACGCCGCCGCAGTACTGCGCTTTGTTGGCCAGGCAGCGGGTGTTGCATAGCTGCTCATCCTGCTCCTCCGTCGGCACAATGGCGTTCGCGCAGAAGCACTTCTCCCCCGCCAGGACGGCATAGTGGTGCTCCTGGTGTTCGCAGATCTCAATGCAGGTCTGCGGGGTCTTGGCGTACACGGATTCCTTCAGCAGATCCGTCCTCGCAGTGTAGCAACCGACGTAGTAGTAAACAGGGTTCTCCTCCGGAGCGGGTGCCACTCCTGGCAGCAAACAGCAGCACATGGCCACGAGGCCAAGCAACAGAACTGGGCGGTGTCCGCTTCCAAATCCGCGCGTTCTCGGTTCCATGGCGACTGAGTGGCGTATGGCAAATGAGCACCTCCTGTGCGACGGTTGCCCCTGATTGGGACTAATTAAACACAGCTTTTTTCACGGGCACCCAATTTAGGCGAATTAAACGATTATTCTTTTTCCCCGCTCAACATTTTTCCAAGCGCCCTGTTCTTGTTCTCTTGTTCTTCCTCTGCGGCCGTTCGTTGTTGTGTTGTTGCTGTTGCTCTCGGCAACCGTTTCCAGTTGACTAATCGCTGGCACAACTGTTGCTGTTACTCTTCAGCCTTGTTGTTTACATCGCCCCGTAAGGCAGAGGTACCGCAGAGTGAACGGGATGGCTACTGGCCCAGCTTTGGCTCTCGATCGGCGGAATATAGCGAACCTGCTCACACACCTGCTTGACAAGCCGAGCTCTGGCAGTTAGTCACGGCATTGCCAGGTGCGTTTCGGTTCCCATTTGAAATCTGTGATTCAGCGCGCCAAAGACGGCCGCAATGTCCAATTTAATTATGTGGCCAAGTGTTAATTGGACAGACGCAATTTTGCTAGCATTGCAGCTGCCAGTTGTCCCACCAGCATTGTATGCCCCCCATTCGTCCCCCTCTCTTGGGACCTGCCGCCATGTGGGCTGCCGGAGAGAGTGGCGGCGCTCTCATCTAGCGATCGGTTCTCTCTTTCACTATTCCATTGACTAAGCCAGAGGTGACTTGCGGTGTTGTTTGTGCAGTTTGATTTGGTTGACAGTCGCGCTGGTCGTAATTCTGCGACTTCTATTCCCATTCCCGATCCAATTCAGTTCAATTAAGAGGCCAGCATAGCTTTTTTCGGGCGATAATCGCGTGTCTGGCATAATTCCCCGATCTGCTGTCGCTTCTTGTAGTTGTTGTTGCTGCTGCTGCTGGTGGTATGCTCTTTGTTTTGGCTGCGCTTCCAATTAGAATTCAAGTCACCGGCGGTCAACTGCGTAGTGCGACCAAAGTTGTCGACGTCATCACGGCGCAGCAAATGAAATTAATGTTAATTTTAATGTGTTGCGATTGGACGTGCCATTCTTTTAATTGTGCTGAATGCGTTTAACCCTATTTTGGAAACCTTTAGTGGTTTTATATACATACGTATACATCCCAAAAACCCTTTGAAAATCGGTACAAATATTCAAGAAAGTGTGAAAGTTTTACTTTAATTTATTTGAAAATCTCAGCTGGTAAAACCGGTTTGAAAAATTGTTTAATAGTCATTAATTTTTTTATTAGTGAAAAAAAAAAACATTTTAATAATGTATTAAAAGCTTATTGAAAACATTTTCCTACAAAGAATTGCAATAAACAAATTGGTTTTTGAAGTTCTAAAGCAAAAAACTATAACAAATCCATAATTTTACAATTGAAAACATTTCCTTTTTTTATCACTTGCACAAAACAGTTGTTTTCTTGTCTGGCAGCAAATTACTACTCATTGTGATAACTCTTTTTCTATTTTTGAATTGGCCAAAAACCGCTTTCAATTTTTGTTCACTTATAGCACTTATTTTTCTTATTGTCCATCAAAAGTCAATACATTTATGTATTATAATATTTTTACCACTCATCGGCAGTCATTGATATTGTAAAAACTTATCAGGAAATAATACACATTGATAGTTTAATTTCAAAGATAACAACAATGGAAGCTAACTTCGGAGAAGCCGAAGTTCATATACCCTTACAGATTAAAATTGGACCATAGAACCGAATCCTAAATTGATCACAACTTAGCCAAAACTGCATTAATTTCATTTCGGAAAGATTTCCTATGTTAGTTTTTAATAGGTTAACAAATCTGCATACTCAATTTAAAATTCAAAGAAATTTAAATTTTTATCATTTTTTGACAATTTTAATGATGTAACCCCTTTAAAATTTTGAAATTTTGAGAACATTTCGAAAATTTATTTTTCTACCCGACATGGCAAGATCAATTCGGCTGTTGATTCTGATCAAGAATATATATGGTTTATAGGGTCGGAAATGACTACTTCACTGCCAATTTCTAACCATACTATTTATGCCCTGCAAGGGTATATCTCTGAAATAAATAAGTTTGATTCATTATTTAAAAATGAATAATAAGCTTAAGAAGCTGTAAATCGAGTCTAGGTTCAAGAGTATCTTTTCCTTATTTGTTTATCCGTTTATCTGCACTTCCGGTCTCAAACACTGATTACTTTTTGGTAATTTTCTAAGTATATGCATATATATATCCCACGCACCTGAACAATTCCGATTACATGATGCGGCTGCCGCTGCCGATGAAATCTTCTGACAACGCGGAGCAGCGCATGGTTGGATTTATTTTTGGCCGCCTCTCATAATTGCAGGCCGCGTCGCTTGTGTCTCGTGGCTGTGCCAAAATTAAATGAACTCGCAGAAGCTTGCGCAATTACCGTTAGCCCCCGGACTCGCTTGGTTCCCTTTCCGCCCCGTAACTTGCTCTCCCCCTCTGCCGGAAATGGAAAGGAAAACACTGTTAAAGTGCAGAGCAAACATTCACGTTATTTACTTTACCTTTTTGTCTTTTATTCCAGCTGACACTTTAACAAATTTCCCCAAACAATAAAAAAGTTGATCGTCGGATATTCTCAAAAGGAAGGCCCTTTAGTCACATAAAAAACACCGAAACGCCGAAGGAAAAGAAAAAGAAAGGACAGCAGGCGAGAAATCCAGAATGGGCGGCTCGGCAGTGCAGGTGATCAACGCCTCCGAGGAGCACACGTTCGTGCTCAACGAGGAGGCCCTGAGCGAAGTGCTCATGCGCGACGAGGTCAAGGACCGGTTCGTGTGCGTCGTCTCTGTGGCTGGAGCGTTCCGCAAGGGCAAAAGCTTCCTGTTGGACTTTTTTCTGCGATACTTGTACTCAAAGGTGCATTTACGCTTCTACATTATTATAAGTTGCCAAAATTCTTACTTTCCCTTTAATTCTCAGTATGTACACCATGATGTGTCGGATTGGCTGGGTGATGAATCAGAGCCCCTGTCAGGATTTTCGTGGCGCGGCGGTTCCGAGCGTGACACCACCGGCATCCTCATGTGGTCCGACATATTCCTGCACGACTACCCCAGCGGCGACAAGATAGCCATCATCCTGCTGGATACACAGGGCGCCTTCGATAGCCAGAGCACCGTCCGTGATTGTGCCACTGTCTTTGCGTTGAGCACGATGCTGTCCTCGGTACAGATATATAATTTGTCACAAAATATCCAGGAGGATGACCTGCAGCATCTGCAGCTCTTCACTGAGTACGGCCGCCTGGCACTGGCCGACACCGGCAAAAAGCCGTTCCAGCGCCTTCAGTTCCTTGTCCGCGACTGGAGCTTCCCCTACGAAGCGGAGTACGGGGCCTTGGGTGGTGACAAGATACTCAAAAAGCGGCTGGAGGTGTCTGACAAGCAGCACCCCGAGTTGCAGTCCCTGCGCCGCCACATCTCGTCCTGCTTCACAGAGGTGGCCTGTTTCCTGATGCCGCATCCGGGTCTGAATGTTGCCACAAATCCTCAATTTGACGGAAAGCTCAAGGATATCACGCCCGAGTTTAAGAACAGCCTGCGCACCCTGGTACCCATGCTGCTGGCGCCGGACAACCTGGTCTACAAGGAAATCAGCGGTCAGCGAGTGCGGGCACGCGATCTCATCCAGTACTTCCAGTCGTACATGAACATCTACAAGGGCAACGAGCTGCCCGAGCCGAAGAGCATGCTGGTGGCCACCGCCGAGGCTAACCATCTGACTGCCGTAGCCGCCGCTAAGGAGCTGTACCAACAGCTCATGGAGGAGGTTTGCGGCGGTACGCGGCCGTACTTAAGCACCGCCCACCTGGAAACGGAGCACATCCGGGTTAAAGACAAGGCCCTCTTTCAGTTTGCCACCAAGCGCAAGATGGGCGGCGAAGAGTTTACCGAGAAGTTTCGCCAGCAACTGGAGGACGATCTTGAGGAGGTCTTTGTCAACTATCGGGCGCACAACGAGAGCAAGAACATCTTTAAGGCAGCCCGCACCCCGGCGGTGTACTTCGCCTGTGCTGTCATTATGTACATCCTCAGCGGCATCTTCGGTCTCGTTGGCCTCTACACATTTGCCAACTTCTGTAATCTGGTCATGGGCGTAGCGCTGCTCACGCTGGCCTTGTGGGCCTATATCAGGTGGGTGCTTATTATAGATTCGCATGATATATCAACAAAAGTATAGAGCTCCTTAGCTTACTGAAAATATCGTGAACTTTTATATAGATAGAAATATAGTAAAATATTAGCTTGGTTCATATGTCAACTATATAGATTTAATATATTACCTTGATGGTCTAACATGACTGACCCATGTCCTTTCTTTTTCAGATATAGCGGGGAGCTGAGTGACTTCGGCGGCAAATTGGATGATTTTGCCACGCTCATGTGGGAGAAGGTAACTTATCAAGTCACTAACTTGGGTTGCAAATATTAATCCGTAATTCTTATATTCCCAACAGTTTATGCGGCCAATTTACCACGGATGTATGGAAAAGGGCATCCAACATGTGGCTACGCATGCGACCGAAATGGCTGTGGGTGGTAGCGGCGCGGCCGGTTACCGAACCCAGACATCGGTGAATGCGTCCAACGGCAAGGTGAAGCGCTCATGAGAATACGCCCAAGGAGTGCAGCACAAGACGCAGCAGCCGCAGCAGCAGGTGCCTTCGCCGTCGGCGGTTAACATCAACTGCACTAATAATAACAACAACAACAATACGGTAAACAAATCAAACAAAAGCAACGGCAACATCGAGGCCCGCGGTTTCATCCACAACATCTGGCGGAAGTTCACCAACAGCGACAGCAACGAATCAATGGCCCCAGCCACTAGCCCAAGTCCCTCGGTCCCAGCTCCCAACAGTCGCAAAAAGCGCAAAGCGAAGCGCAACTAAATGTCCAGGGACCCCGAAAGAAATGGAAGTCAGCCCCCCCTCTGGTAGTATGTATAAACCGACGATAACTTTCTATATAGTGCGTGAGAACGAGAACCAGAAACACAAATGTCTAGCTGTTAAATGCCCTGAAAGGAAGTTGTTTTTATATTGCATCCAATTTTGAAGTGTAGTTGGTCTAAATTACGTATATATATATTTAAGGATCATTAGTAAGTGGCTCGCATCCGTTGAGAAGTAACATTTTAAATTGTTTTTTACACACGATATGCGTATACACATAAAAAAATTCAACGCTGTAATATAAAAAGATCGCTAACGAATTTAATTTGTTTAATTTCCTACACTCCCCCTTGCCCCTTGCCTGCTCCATCCCATCTCATCTTTGGTATAGAATTCCATAAGCAATCTATGTATAAAAAGAATGTGCACATTGTTGTTGGCTGGTTTGCTAAGCGCCTCATTTTGCCACCCCCTTTGTTATTACTATTAGTTAAAAAATACAAATAAAGAAAAATAAAAAAAGAAGAAAAAAATAAGTAAATCATTGCCACCCATTAAAGTTGAACACAAAGGCGCAATGCTGGTATATAGGTCATTAGTTTATCTTGTGCAGTTTACAGTATAGGAGTCTTGGTTTTGTTTCGATTTAAACATTAAATAAATAAATGTATGTATGATAACAGCTCATTAGCAGTTATGGCCATCGAGAAATAAAAGAACCGAAAATGCATTTTTTCTCCTCCAGCAGGGACTCGGATTTATTTATTTCCACCGCAGCACTTGCCGCCCTGGGCATCGACTCTCTCCTTAGCTCCCGAAGAAGCCGCCTTCTTTTTGACATTGCAATCACACTTATCGGGACTGGGGCACTTGCAGCCCTCACTGCATTTCTGCGGAGAGCACTTGCAATCTGTAAAGGATAATATATAGATATATATTTCTTGTCGAATCAGAATAAACTTGGCCAATAATCGCAATATAATATTATAGTTTTAAGAATGGTAATTGCTTAACTATGCAGCTTTCGATTTTTCCTGCTGCTTATATGGCAGCTTAAGCTTAACACCAACTAAAGATTCCCGGTGGAACAATGACTTACCTTTTCCACAAGATTCACAAGGCATGTTTGTATATTCTTTTTGTTCACAGAATTTCCTCTTAACAAATTTACGTCTCGACTAATTTAGGTGCACTGAATTTTTTTAGACAAAATGTTTCAGACAACATGCCAGGATTGTGACATTTAGTGCAGCGCATGCGTGTTTACGATTTTTCCGGAATGGAACACAACCGGAAAAGCGGAGCAACAGGTTGAAACAAGAAAGGCAAGCCAAAGTTAATATACTCTTTGAGTTATTATAATACCACTTGGCAACTCTAATTAGAGTTAAACCCATTCCTATATCAGTAAGATTACATATTTTTGTCTGGTATTATCGAAGGACCTTGTGAGAACATTTCGTGTGATACAAAATCCTAGAATCCTGATGCGTTTTAAATCAGAAATTCCTCCCAATTAAGACAATTTTAGTCGATTTAATTACATATCATTTAAACTTATTATTCTCATGATTTTTTAAAGTGTAATTAGTTTTAGTTTTGGGTTTTTTTTTGTTTTTCTATTTTTTTTTGTTTTGTTTTTGTTTTTCAACATTACATTGGGTTTGTGGGGACTTCGATTGTTTATATTTGTGTGCTTAGAACTATCAATATATGCGACCCGCTCTTCGTTTGTTTAAATTTATTTATTTTTGTTTAATCATTATCAATGTTTGTCCTGTTGTGTTTCACTCTGGGACAACTCTCTTCTTACGTGCTAAACATTACATTTTATCCTTCCGTTCGATCGGCTTGCGTTATGCAATTTACAATTGAAAATGATTATGACATATTTGCAACACATCCAATATTTAAAATGGTTCTTTACGCTCTATTATAATAATATCGGTTCACTTCTAACGTATGTATTATTTATGGTGCATTGGGGGGAACAGGGAGTGGGGACTAGGACGAGAAAAGGTAAGCAAATGTTCTTAGCATCGTTTCATAAATGATACTTAATGGATCTAATACAACATATATAGATATTAGCGTCTCGTAAGCCGTTCGCTCGCTCTCCTATTCAAACGATCAATTTGTAGTTCTAGTGCTGCCTCTAATTCACATGTTTTTAATATACTTTTTTGGCATAACAAATTTCTCCAATGGTTTTCATAATAAACTTCCATCTGAAAGGGGGATGGGAATCATCGTGCTTGGAGGAAGTCTTAACTTAATTACATTTATTGCTATATATTGAATATATGTGTGTGTGTTTCCTTCGTGAATGTGATTGAATCTGTGGAGTTACCTCGCTATTTGTTGTTAGATGCTGCTAGGCTAAGCTTAAATAAGTGTCTAACAGGTCCAAGACTCGTTTCCACTTGTAACTTGAGCTGGTCTCCTGGGATAGACATCTTATAGCTTTCGTCTGTCGGATTTATTTAGGTATGTTTCGCCCCCAAGCCCACCATTAGCACCAACCTTGGGTTGCTTATGAGTACATATTGTGTAACATTGACCTTTGGCCACAAAATTCTTACAAGTTAGGAGCTCCGGCGACGTGGCCAGTCGCCCCCTGGTGCCCATTATCAGTCCAGCGGCTTGCCGAAAAACAAAATGCTGAGCAAATCGTTGAATGACAACTAAATCTGTGTCGGACTCGCTGCCTGGGACGTGGACGCAACGGTAGACGAGGCAGCAGGTGTGGGGTCTCCACTACTGCTCGCTGCTGGGGATTCCGCAGGCTGGCTGCCGTTGGTCTGACTGGTCGATGGCGATTGCGGCTCCGTCTCCATGTCCCTCTCTGTCTCCATGTTGCACCTAATATCGCTGACCTCCGGCATAGGTTCGGGCGGAGTGCAGGCTCCCTTGGGTCGGGACGCTTTTGTAGCTGCCGCCGCTGATGTGGAGGCCTCTGCAGAGCCCTCCTCATTGGGTTCTTTATTCACCCCCGTACTGGACAGACTTGAATCCCTCTTTAGAATGGCGAAAATGCTCTGGATGTACGATTCCATGGTTATCAGAGTGATCAGACGTTTCTCCCGATCCTCGTTTAGACGATCTTGAGCGGTCTTCTTGTTAGACGCCTTTTTGTTGCGCTTCGGTGTGGGTTCAAGCTCGTCCTCCAGCTCGGTCTCGTCATCTGATGAGGGTATTGACGTCCTTTCCATTTGCTCGTCGTCACTGCCGGCTGGTGTGGGCGGTTTGGCACTGCCATCTGAAGTCTCTGGTTCATTGCTGCTGCTTCCGACCGTCTCCATGGAGACATCTGCTGGTTTGTCGACGCCATCCACTGATGTAAGGGCGTCGTCGCCATCTGCAAGCTGTGCCAGATCCTTCGTTTTGTCCTTGTGGGTCTCGCGTTTTTGCTTCTTGTTCGGAAATTGATCTGTAAAAGAATTGGTATAAAAGCATGGTAATTATTCCAAATCAAAACGTTATACTGTGAAGACAAATATAAGTTAGTAATTTAAACTAAGTTCGGGAAAACGACGTTTAAATACAATTGTAGTTTAATTATAGAAGGAAATCAGAAATCGAACATAACTAATGACACTAAGAATATTTTTATATAATAATATTTAAAATTAAAAAACTCATAACTTAGTCAAAAACACATTAATTTTAATTCGGAAAGTTTTCCTGTGCTAGTTTTTAATAGCTTAATAAATCTGCATAATCAATTTAAAATTTAAAAAACTTCAAATTTTTGTCAATTTTTAAAAATTTTAACGATGTAACCCCTTTCCTTTTTTTGCAAAAATTGAAAATTTTTTTAACATTTTTTTTTGTGCCGGAGACGGCTAGAAAGATTCTTCTGTTGACGCTGATCAAGATCATTGCGTTTTAAACAAAAATTATAATAAGTATAAAAAGTCATTTTGTTTTCATCTAAAAAAAATATTTTTCCACTTTAAAAGCAATTTATACATATTTACAAAGCAAGTTTATATACTCTTGCAGTTTTCAATTGAATTATGGGATCGAACCGGAAATCAATCATAACCAATGTAACCCTTTATAAAATTTTCAATTTTCGGAAAAATGTCAATAATTTATTTTTTTGACCGGACATGGCTAGAACGACGGCTTTTGATGCTGATCAATAATATATATGGTTTATAGGGTCGAAATGAAATGACTCCTTCATTGAGTTTCGAGCTTTTAATTAAGATTATAATACCCTGAAGGGTAAACAAATGCAGTCATCAGTAGCGTGCTATTGTATCATTGCAACAACCTCCACCAATTTGAGACCATACAATTCACAACTACTTCTCTGGTATAAATTACCTCGCTCCGACTCCTTTCTAAACCTTTCGCTCTTGTTTTGAAGAGCCCTCAGAGATCCTCGCAGCTCCTTGCGCACTGAGGCCGGCACTCCGGTGGCCTGGGCAATGATTCGAATGGCAAACAGATCCCCGCACAGCTCGTCGATGTCATCCTTGGAGTGCATGCCGTAGTTGATGGTGTAGATCATGCGTGCCACCGGCAGCTGGGCTGCCACCTTGTGGTAGTACAGCTCGAGAAACTCACGCACGCATGCATCCTTGAGCATGCTGCGCTCGTCCCTGAGGACATTGTGCAAGTATTCCACCAGCAACTGGTTTTTCACCAGCAGCTCCACGTATCTAAGAAGGTAGAAAAAACGTCCGTCAAAAAGTGTTTCAATCACTGACTTCCTATATAGTTCACAGCATTTGGACTTGGACTACTCACTTGTGCGTTAGGGCATTGTTGTGGATGCCCACCCAGAACTTTGGAAAGTAGTTAAAGTGGAGCGGCGTCGACTCGATGGCCACCAGGCATTGCAGCTTAACCAGCGTGTCGTTAAGCGTGCCCGTGTTTACGCACATCCGCATCATAACGTCAATAAAGTCGTGATAGGGTCTGTAGAACGCCTCCACTTGCGCGTCGTACTCCGCATCCAAGCCGCGCGGCGTCAACTCCGCCAGGGCGATGCACATCTGGACCATGGGTCGCGGCGGTCGCGGTGAGTTCTTGGCGCCGAGGGGCCAAGGCGAGTGCTTAGCCCCGCGACGGGGGAAGTACGGTCCCAGGGGTCCGATGGCATTGGGGGCATTCGCTACGGACAGGTGACAGTTGATCAGGATGGGGGCCAGAATGCTAATGGCCTCGAGGCTGGTGTTCCGCACCAACTCCTTGAGCACCTCCAGGGCCATGCGGCTGATCTCCGGCGAGTTGAAGGTGTTGAGCAACGTGGCCAGCCGCTTGACCGCATCCGGCAGGGCCTTAGCCAAAGCCGAATGCTGGTGCTGCTGGCGTAGGAAGTGCTGCTGCTGGAACTGCATCTGTTGGAGCTGCTGCAGTTGCAGGTGCTGCTGCATCTGCTGTTGCAGTTGTTTTTCCTTCTGTTGCGGCGTTTGGGGCGCCTGCGTTTGGCTCTGGGACTGCTGCTGTTGCTGCTGCTTTTGAAGCATTTGCTGTTGTTGCAGCTGCAACTGCTGCTCCAGCTGCTGCTGTTGCTGCTGCTGCTTTTTCTGTGCCGGACTGTCAGTGCGCGTGCGCAAAGTGGCCAGGAGAAGCAGAAGTTCCCCCAGAAGGTCGAACAGGTCCCCGGCCACATGACAGGCGGTGGCCTCGTGGTGCATGGAATGTAGAGTGTGCAGCGCCTCGAAGCACATCTCGATACCGCCGTTGAAGATCACCATGGTGCGGTCCTCCTCGTTGTCCACTGGAAACCAAGAAGTCGGCGTTTACAAGTCTTCAGGGTGGAAGGCTAAGGGGTAACAAGATTTCTCACCCAGTATCTTCAGTGCACTGATCAGCGTGGACCAGGATACTCGAGCATCCAGGCTGCTGGTGTAGGACACGATCACCGCCCTCCGAAACTGGGTGACATCGAGCTTCTCCTGCTCGCTAGCATCCGGATGGCGGGTGGCGAACAGCGCCATCAGCTTGAACAGCTCATCCACGGCGGCCGCGTACTGGGTGGGATGCGGCGTGATGTTCTTAAATGCCCACTGCAGGTTCTGGTGCTGCGACAGCTGGCGGGTGAGGGCGCGGCTCTGCTCGCAGCACAGACGCAACAGGCCGTAGTAGGCGGGCAACATGGATCGATTGTAGGTGACTATCTCGGCATCGTCATGGTCGGCCCTGTGGGTCGAAGTGCATGGGTTACTCAAATGAAACATCAAAAAAGGAAAAGAATCCTTACAAAATGTAGTTAAATGCTATGTTGCGCGTTATCTCCGGGCAGTTGGCCACCTGGGCAGCGTTCTCTGGACAGTCCACCAGTGAGTGATGCCAGAAGGTCAGGAGAGCGTGCTTGTTGTGATGGGCCGGCACGCTCGGCTCCGATAGCCGTGGATGGAACAGCTCCCACAGGGAGCGCATGAATGAACCTATCTGAAAGGGCGATCGCACATTTAGTAAGGAAACTTCAGAGAGAGAAAGGGAAGCTGCTGCCAAACTTGCCATTAGTTTTTCAGTCTTTGAAACCATACAATAGCTGAGCAGGTTAAAGTAGGCTGTCAGCTTGGTGGTGCCATGGGCTCCGATATCCGCATAGACCCTTGCGGGTCGCAGCAGCCGCAGGAGCAGCGTGATCACCTGATGAAGCACCACCTGGGCATCGCTGTTGATGTCACTGAGAATAAAAAAGAATATAGCCAAATATGGACTTTGACAAGATCCCGGGAAACCTCGTCACTTACCGATAGCTGTGCGGATTTAGGGCCAGCAGTTTGTGCTGCGAATGGGCTCGGAAGTTGGCCCGGAAGGGCTGTGAGGGTACCAGGGCGACCAGCAGGAAGGCGGCAGCTGGAACAGAGATATCGAGTTGTTACCCAATCAGTGAGCTATGGAAGATTAGTCCGACATACCGTTACGCACACGCGTATTGTCATGGGCCAGCAGAAACTGCTCCAGCCACTGTTCGGCGGATTGAAGAATCCAGGTGTGCGCGATCTTGTTTTTGGTGGCCTGCAACGACAACCAATCGAGCACCGACTGTGGGCAATACTCGGCTGCGTCCCACATGCGCGGCAGGATGAGCTGAGTGAAGCACGGCAGGCCCACTGGGCCGGCTTGCGTCTCGGTGAGGAGGGTGAGCAGCTTGAAGAATGGGGCGCACAATTCCGTGTGCTTGGTCACTGAGGCGAAGAGCATGCCAATAATCTGCGTGGCGAGCCGCTCGTCCCAGCGGCAGAGAGCGTGGATTAAATGCTTGGTCTGGTGCGGATTAATGCCGTCCTTTATTTGTTGATACAAAAATGGAAACCCCTACAAAATATATGCGAAACTTTTAACACATGATATGAGGAAACAAGCTTGGAGTAGGGAATATGCATTTGGTTTTATATCTTTTGAACTTTTTAGGACTCTGTTTTGAATGTGTGCAGGTGGTGGATTGGTGAGGTTCTTAATTTCTTGATTGGTGGAATGCTTGATTGGTGGTATGGCTAAACGGAATAAACAACGCCATTCAGTTTTTTGAGGTGGTGGATTTGTGAGGTTCTTAATTTCTTGATTGGTGGAATGCTTGTTTGTTGGATTGGTGGTATGGCTAAACGGAATAGACAACGCTTTCCAGCTTTTTTAGTATCACCTTGCCGCCGGCAATCGCGTTGAAGTCTTTGGGTGACAAACGCAGCCGGAAGTCGGCACCGCGGGATCTCTCCACCAGGCTGGCGCACAGGGCAATCATCTTGTCCAGAGAAGCGGGCCGCATTTTCTCAACCGACAGCGCCTCGTCCGATGAGTTGTCCTCGTTGTCCGAGCTGATGTCGATCTGTAAAAAGAACCGCAGCTGAGCAGAACCCCAAGCCAAGATTACTTTGCATCCAACTAACGCTATCCGTTTGCTTATTGCCCAAATAGAAGTCCACCAGGCTCTTGAGTATTCCAATGCGCAGCAGGAACATGGCCTCCTCGTCACCCATGCGCGAGAACTCGCACAGCAGGCTAAAATACTCCGAGAGGTGGCGCAGGTGAGATCGGGCTCCGTGCTCAAGCAGCGAGATGAGCGAACCTATGAAACGGGTCACGCACGAGGCCTGGCCAATCAACTCTTTGTCATCCTCATCCGTTTCCACATCCAGATACAAGTCCGCATGAGAGGCACTATCGCGAAAATCATTGATGGAAGAACAATAAAAGTTTATTGAGATCTCTTACCGCAGCCGTTGGATTACATGAATGACCAGGCGCTGGAACATTTGTCGCACCATCTGGTTGGGACACTGGATGAGCACCTGAACGGGCCAGAAGGGCTCCAGTGACATGTGCGAAAGGAACCATTCGCAAGCCTCCTGGCTGGCATTAAACTGCTTAGTCAGAAGCTCCACCCAGGGCACCATGGTGGGCTAAATGCAAAGAGGTAAAATAATGGATTTAGTTGTGTTGACAGAGAATATAGATCCATCGATACTAAACTCTATAATTTAATATTTGATATTTAAAATTTCAATACGAAAACTACGATATTTCCAAAATGTTTATCAATATGTCATATATGGCTTTTTTTACGATCCCTAGGATGTACTCGTTAAGGATTAACCCACCTTCTCCTTTGCATGAATGAAGGTCTCGATGAAGAACGACACCGACAGCTTGGCGGCCATGCAAGTGACGTCCGACTCCGATATTAAGGTTTGGGGTATGTGGCCACAGATCTGCCACATAAAGCTGGGAAAAACACAAGGCTCAATAAGGTTTCCTAAGCCTTAATAAATAATAATTTCACTCACTTGAAATATGTATGCTCGAAGATGTTGCGATCCTGCAGGAACTGGCGGTTGTCCTGCCAGATCCAATCCTCTAGCTCCTTATTTAGCAATGGACGAAATAGTTGCAGCTTCTGGACAGCCTTCGATGTGGAGGGCTGCGGGTCGTTGCTGGCTTTGTTGTGGCTATTGTTGCTTGGCTTATGATTATCACAATTGGCTGTTGTCTTCTCCACGTCATCGTCCTGGCTCATCTCGCTCGACTTTTCCTCTGCTGTATCCCCCTTTTTCTCCAATTTATTTTGTTCGCTTTTACCCACTGCTGGCGACTCTGTCTTCTGTAGATCTTCCTCATTAGGCTTGGCCTCCATTTGGTTGTCTTCCTTAGCCGACTGCTCATTTTTCTTCATCTTATCCTTCTCATCTTCATCCTCGTTGTCTACTTTCACATCCTCTTCCAACTTGCTCTCACTGGTTACGCTAGTCTCTAGCTTGGTGGGCTCTTCGACCTCCGATTTCTCCTCCACGGTGGGACTGGGTGTGGGAGTGACCAGCAGCTCTGAGTGCCGGCGCTGCAGGTGCTCCGGCAGGCGCCGCTCGTAGAACAGCATGTACGCGGAGTTGGTCTTTTCAAAGCTAAAGTCTAAATACTTCTCGGTTACCGAATCGTAAGTCTTACTCTGCAACAGGAAAACCCATTAGATGTTGAAGCTTGTAGAAGACACGATCAAAAACTCACCGTCATCTCGCCACCAAAGCACTCGGCTGCTATCTGGGATGGATCGAACGGCTTCACTTCAGCGTCGTTGAAAAGGAACCAGCGCTCGTGCGGATGGTAGCTGTTCTTCGTTCGCTCCTTGATAAAGCTGTAGTAGTGACCGCCATCTGCAGTGCCCGTGTGTACGGTGACGCCCACCAGCTCGTACCTAAAGGGGTTTACCGACATGAAAGAAAATAAGAGGTAAAATGGGTACAGAACTCACTCGTAGCACTCCTCAATGTCCGCGTCCAGCGAGGCCTCCGCCTTTTCGTTGTCGTTCTCATCGCCTCTGCCGGACTCTGCTTCATCGTTCTCCCGCTCCTTTAGCCGCTTCTCTCGCTCTTCCTTGTACTGCTGCGGCATCAAGGTCTTCTCCACGTAGTGGCACATGTTCAGCCGCAGTGGGAATGAGAAGTGGGTGTTTACCTTCTCCTTCAGCATGGTTACCATGTTAAAGGTGTATCGCATGGTGTTGAAGCACAGGATCTGGGGAAGCTTCTTAAAACAGGCCCTCTTCTCAGCTCGCACCTTCTTGCCGCACTGCGAACAGGTGTACATATTGTCGCCCTCCAGCGTGTCTTTCACGGTTACCTCATCCAGGGATTCCTGCAGGTTGCGCATGTCCGCCACCTGGCAGCGCACCGTATAAAACTCCTCAGCTGTGCGGGAGACATGGCCGCAGTCCAGGGACACGACATTGTTGCTCAGGGTTCCGGAGAATAACCTTTTGACCAAGTGCTTTAGATCGGGCGTCATTTCTTCGAGCTTGGACACCAGATCGATGAAGAATTCCGCCATGTCCTTTTGCTCGCCCGTGTTTAGCGGCTGGTGATCCATCTGGTACACACGACAGAAGCTCCGCGGGTTGTAAGCCTTTCGTTCGGATTCCAACAGGTAGGCGAACATCCTTTGCAGCTCTAGCAGCGTGGGTCCGTGCTTCTGAGCGCCAAGCTGGGGGACCCGCAGGATGGCCGCCCTCGCCTGCGGCATCATGTACAGGTGCTGGACACAAGAGGCCATGTAGCAGGTGGCGCCCAAATTGGTAAGTCCCACATAGCCGCATTCGGAGCGCCCCTCGTCGCGCGGCCAGTAGTCCCAGGGATAGGGCTGCTTGGGTCCGGACTTGTGCTGGGCCAGGAGGCGTCCATGGAGATAGGCGTAGTTAGTGGCGCAGCCGCGGCACAGCTCCACCAGCAGATCGTAGGCGGCCGCACGAGAAGTGCCCGACTTGCACTTGGGCTTTTGGCGATCCGCCGGCGAGGGCATGTCAAACAGGAAGCCAATCAGTTGTTCGATGAAGGACAGCGCCTTGGGCGTGTACTTGAAGGTGGTGTCGTACTTGATCAGGTTGGACATGAGGTTAAGCAGCCCCACCAGTCCGTCGTCCTGGAAGCCGTGGCGCAGCTCGAAGTAGTCCCGCGTGAGGATGCTCTGCGAGATGCTTTCGCACAGCATTTCGATGTCGATGTGCTCCTCAGCCACCATTTCCGCCGAGAGGGTATCAACAAGTCGAGCCAGCAGCCAGAAGTAGTCCCGGCAGGCGGGTCCGTACGGTTCCTTCCCCTCCTCGGATAGCAGGAACTGCGTGTGCTGGGCACCCGAGCTCATCTGCTCTGCTAGGGGCAATAATGCTATCAGTTTGTGCAGGAGCGGGACCAGCAAAAGTCGATAGCTGTGCGCGTGTCCCAGACAAATGCGATATAGACCGGCGCAAATCTCCCGCCGCACGGCCGGCTCTGGATCCTCCAGAATGAACTTCTGCAGCCAGCGGCAGTGATCACCATCGGCCTGGGCCCACAGCAGTCTTCTAGCCTCTGCCGAAGCGTGCACAAAGCTCACCAGAATGTTCATGGCAAACTGGATGAGTTGGGCCCGGCCCCAGAAGCCCGTGCGTAGCTGGTGGAACTGGTAGGGAAATACCAGAGAGCTGGCTGATGCCACCTGCTGCTGCTGATAGACTTCGTCATTAAGGATCGACGAGAGGCGGGCCAGGCACTCCGGCACCTCCATCAACTGCAGCATGAAGGTGTGTGGCTGAGACATCAGAACATGCACGTCTGGTGTATGCAGCTCCTCGAATCCCAGAAGCCAGATGATGCGAAGCAGACTGGCCAAGCAGTCATGGCGCCACTCGTTCAGAGCCAACTCCTTGGGATGGGCGCTCTGCTGCAGTTGGCCGCCGCTGAAGATCTCGTAGAGGTGCCGGAGACCTCCGCACTTGACGAACGCCTCGCTCCACTTGTTGTCGCCTCTCTCCAACGCGGCTAGCGGTGGCGGAGGAGCCCCCGGGGATGGGGACGGGGGCGTGGAGCAACCCAGTGGCCGCTCCTTTTCCTGTTGCTCAAAAGCTTCTCCCTTCTTCTGTCGCTTGCTGTGCTGTTTTGGCTGATTCTCCTTGTCGCCGCCACTGCTGCTGCTGGCCTCCGTCTCCGCATCCTGCTGGCCAGAAGTGGGTGTGGGTGTCAGCGCGGCCTCCAGCTCGCCTTGCTCTTTGCCTGGCTTGGAATCTGGGGTGGATGGCGGAGGGGGCTGCTGCTCGTTGCTGTTTCGTCGCCTACCAATCGAGCACTTCTTCACACGAATTTGCTCGGGAGAATGGCCAATGGCCAGGCTCCCATTAGACTCGTTTCCACGCCGGGAACTGCTTAGAGCCAGGCTCTCCACAATGTGCAGGGAGTACATGAATTTCTGTAGATTATTCGGATCGAGAAGGTCCTTAAATTTTTGCTTGATCTGCTTGCGCTTGGTGGCCAGCTGCTCCTCCTCCCCGGCAGCGTCCAGCTGCTCCAGTTCGCTGAGATCCGTTACTAGGCTCTTAAAGGCGTCCAGAATATGTGGATTGGTGGGCAGCATGGCCAGGATATCCCACACGCGGCGCGACAGCAGTTGGGCCTTGGTGTGATGCTGCAGATTTACGGCTGAGACTTGGGGCTTCATGTCGCCCAGGGTCTGCATCAGGCAGAACAACTTCTCGAAATACTTCGGTTGCAGCAGTAGAACCGTGGGCAGGCACTCCTTGGGTGGTGGTGGTAGCATCGACGGGTGCTCCAGGTTCGATTCTTTTCGCCTGGCGCCACGTCCTCCCAGCGATACGTAGACAATCTGGTTATCCTTGAAGCCAGCATCTCCCAGGCTACGTTCGTCGTAGTCAGAGGTGAGCTCCTGGCCCTGGGTAATGATGCGCAACGGTCCATCGCTTAGCAGCAGACCGAGCACTGGAGCTACAAGGCCCGTTTGCAGGCTTTCCCACCACTTGGACACCTCCGCCTTGAGGTCAGCGATTAGATCGCAGGCGTGCATCTGCAAAACGCTTTTCTCGGAGAGTCCAGCCTGCTGTAGGACGATCCGTAACGGCGGGCCCGCTCCCTCATTCTTGAGGTTACTGTGCGACCCAATGCCCTTGCCCTCGATGGCCCAGCGGCGGAGATGGAAGGCGTAGCGCCGCCGGAACGTATCCAGGTGAGTGTTCAACAAGAGCAAGCCACGCTGCACCCGCATCAGAGCGTTCTCATCGTCCATACTAAAAAAAGGTGAAAAATATATAACAGTTGTAGGAGCCTCCCTCACCTTGCAGGGTGTTCCACTCACCTCTCCAAGGCTGTTGCCGTCTGCACCAGGTTGTCCATGCACTGCGAGACGAACTCCTTCTCGAGGCGCAGCTGCTGGCCCATGTAATACATGTTAATGTACTGGATAGCCGCTAGGGAGACCTCGTTGCTCTGGGCGCGCAGGGCAATCTTCCATAGGTGGTACATACCAACGGCGCTGGCGCTAGACGAGATCTGCTCGCTGTGCTTGTCGTACTCGGCCATTGCAATGCGAGCAAAGCTGCACAATTGCTGAAAAAGGCCTAGCGCCACCATGGAGAACTCCTCGGGCCGCAGCTCCGGCAGTTTCTTGAGATACAAATGCTGCAATGCCTCGATGCCGAGGGCGTGCTGGTCGCCACCTTTGGCCTGGGCCTGCAGCCACGAAAAGTAACAGTCGGCGCACTCCGGATCGTGAGCCAGCCACTCCCACAACGCGTCCAGTTGATCCAGCGTCAGTCGAAAGCTCTTGGGCGAGCCCACAGACGAGAAAATCGAGGAAAGGAACTGCAGTCGCACAGAGACCTGGGTCTTGTGCGAGTACATCTGCTGCTGCGGCGGCTGTTCGCCATTCTGGGTGGCCAACTGTTCGGCATGACGGCGCGCATAGTGGCGGATGTTGTTGAAGAAGCTCTGCATCATGCGGTGATTGCGCTCTGCCCACAGGGTCATCGAATGCGTATCCGAGGGTCGGAACTGCTGGAACGAGGCGAACAGCTTAGGCAGCAGGCGCAGGCTGACTATGACACTCCTGTTGTTCGCCACATTGTACAGACAACCTTCGATGAACTTGGTCCGCAGCTGGCGGTCCATACTGAAGCACAGCAGCGTGGCCAGGGCCTTCTCCGCCTCCAAGGCCAGAGACTCACCAAGTTGACCCTAAAGACAAAACGTGAGCGAAAATTGGTAGAACTTCAAACTAGACTTACGATTTTATTGTCCTGTAGCAGATCCCAGAGCAGCGTGTTTCCCGGCTGGCATACATCGTTCAGCTTGAAGGAGGGCTGCACCGTCAGGCCACTGATCTGACTCGCCTTCGGCGATTGATGCTGCTTGCCCCCAGAGGGACTAACCTCCAACAGATCCACGTCCGAGTCCGACTTGGCCTTAGCTGCAGCAGCCACAGCCACGGCGGCGGCAGCGGCGGCTGCTACACTGGCCTGACGGTTCATGGCCGCCAAAGTCTGCTGGGCATTGCCAGTGGCCGCCGCAGCAGCGGCTACGGCAGCAGCAGCAGCCGCCACATTCGACTCTCCGGATTTTTGCAACGCCATGGCCGACTGGGCTACCATCATGGCGGCGGCCGCGGCGGCAAATGCTGGTGGAACATCGCGGCAATTGGCTCGGGAGCTCACCAACTGGGCTAGCTCCTCTTCGCAGGGCGAGACGTCCTCGTCATCGAAGTCGGCCAGGTTTTTCTCCGACTTGTTGCTCATGGGGGAGGAGTAGCTGCCGTCGTTCTCGGCCCCGCTAAGCAGTTCACTGATGTTGGTTTCGATGGCTCGAATGTAGGGTCCTTCGCCTTGGAGATGCTTAAGAACAGCGTCCGGCACCAGCTGGCTGGCTGCTCCATCGCTGCACTCGTCGCTGTCCGCCAGAAGCTCACCTTCACCGTCGCCATCACCGTCGGCATCTGCCTCGTCGCTGCTAGGGACATCCTCGGCTCCGTCCCATATCTCCACCAGCTCATGCGGAAGCATTAGTTGCTTGCTGGCCTTTTGGCGGCGTCGCTTGTTGCTGGTCTTTTTCCGGCTGCGGTGCAGCTGCAGCTCCAGGGCGGCTCGCGACTGCAGCTCCTCTTCGCTGCTGGTGTTGTCAATGATGTTTACAATGCGGTTATTTCTGGTGATGAGTTGAGGGAAAGAATAGTAAAGAGGCTTTAATAATAAGTTTCTACGTACACCATGTCGACCTTGGCCATGTCCTCAGCTCCCATTGGGTTTCCCTTCTCGGTGGTGGGGTCGCAAACGTGTCGTCTATGACGCGCTTGCTTGCATGGCGTTACACCATCTATGGGACTCTTTTGGCCGATAATTGCGCCGCCACCGCCACCGCTTGCTATGCTGCTGTCGTCGGCGACGTGGTCGTCCTCCGTATTGCTGCCTTCGATGCTTCCACTGTCGGAGCTGGAGGCGGTGACATTGGAGCCCAGCAGGTGGTCTTGCATTAAGTTTATCTGACTACGCGAGCAGTCTCGGGACCACAGCTGCTTCGTCAGAGCCGACGCAATGTAGATGCTCTGCTCGGTGTGCTCCTTGGGATCCATGCGGCAGAGCAGCGAGTATAGGTGCATGGCCGGGCGCGGTGCTAAGTTCTTGACCAGCGAGGGCAGTATGTCGTAAATCGTCTTGGAACAATGCTTTAGCTGTGTAGCCTGCCAGATTAGCTTGATGTCCTCTTCGGAGATCTGGTTTTCCACTGCCAGGAAATTAAGCAGGACGTGCGCTTGCTTCACGATTTCCACATGCAGATTCGGACCGAACAGGTGCTGCACAATGTGGTTCTCAGTCAGCCAATTGGCAATGCGCTGGCCAAACAACTCCACCTCGTTCACCGTCTCCGTGGTGCAGATCTCGTTGAAGAGGTTAATGTGCGCGTTGATCTGGGCCATGCCTGAAATTATTGGGATTATTGGAGATCTACTAATCAGCAACTCCTCGAGTAAGATGGTTTGAAGAGGGAGGGAAACTTACCTGCCAGTCGCATGGTCAGTGTCGTCGATGTAAAGTACTTAAAAGCCAGGGCCAGGCCCTCGGTGTCAAAGTTTACAGTCACGTCCAGGGGATCACGCATCGAGGACCACACAAAGTCGGCCATGGCACGAGTGGCAGCGGAGCGTAAGCTTTGGTCCGACAGCTTGCACATGTACTGCAGGATACGACTGCGCAGCGGCACAAATAGCTGCGTGTTGCAGTGGTAGTTCAGCCAGAGCTTCACGTTCGAGATGGCGGCGGTCATCGAGTGCGCGGTGGACACCGGCAGGTCGGGGTGCTCGAAGCACAGCGACATGGCTCCAAAGCCGCCCGAGTTGCAGAAGAGGCTCACATTTCGCAGAAGATAAATGGGCAGGTCGTTGTCGTGCAGATCGCAGATGAGGGCTAGGTGGTGCGCCTCCTCCGCCTGTAGGTCGTCGAGGCGCGAATGCATGCCATGCTTATGGGCAATGTACAGCGGGAAGTTGAGGAGGAACACCTTGGACACTAACACCAGCAGCTTCTCTACCTCAGGCAGGATCCATGGCTCTTCGGTGTACTGCAGGTGGGCCTTTTGTGTCGCCGGCGGCGGCAGTGGCGGTGGAGTGCTGGGACCCACTGGGGTATGAGGCTTCTTGGCTGGTCCATCGCCCGAACCCTGGGATTCCTCGATGCCGGTCGGCTCTTCCTTTTTGCCATCCTCCAAACCAGCGGCAGAGCCAGTGACAGGGGTAGTGGAGGTAGTGGCAGCATCCTTTGCCGCCTCCGATTGGGCATCTGCTTCTTCACGCTGCTGCTGCTGCGCCTGAGCCACCACCTGGGCCGCGCTGGCAGTGAGCCTTTTGTAGTTGTCGATGAGATGATCGATGTGCTTCAGGTGCTGTACCGTTAGGCAGATAAGCGACTGCACCACTAGGTTAAACCGATCGTAGTTCTTGGTGTCCCGGTACAGGCACATGCACTGGCGCTGCGGCCAAGACTGGATGTAGTTGAACGTCGTCTCGATCTCGCTCTTCAGCAGCAGCTGGAATTTCAGATCTGAGCTGGCCACGCGCACCTCGTCTGAAAGTGGAGTAGGGAGGGAAGAAAAGGGAAAAGAAAAGGGGGGAATCAAGGAGGGTTATGAATGCGGGACACTTGCCGATTGGCTATTTTCACTTACACAGCTCAAGGAGATTCTGAAAGTCGGCGCAAACCTCGCACATGGTGCTCCGCTGGCGGCACGCGCGCTTCGTGGGAAACGGATCGAGTCGGTTCGGTGTACGTGCAGGACTCCGCGCTGTCTAGGAGTCGACTCTAGACGGGGAATCGCAGGCCGAGTCGTCGCAGGCGCTGGCGGAGTCTCGTACACTTGGACGCGGTGGTATTCGTTGTTCGCTCGGCTCGCTCCCGGCGGTCGTGCAATGCCATTTAGGATGGCACCCTCGCTCTCACCACAAAACAATGTTTTTCGGCAACAAAAAAATGATAATTCTACACTCGGACATATATATGTACGAATATATATGTATATATGTACAATTACAATCGAAGCAAGAGCCAGAGTTGGAGCGAAGAGGCAGCAGCGACAGAGTTGTCGCCCCGTGGTAAAAAGTTTGCGTCTATCGGCTATCGCAAGCCGCCTATCGATGGTGGTATTTTCCGCACGGGCCCATGTGTTTTGCCAAACGGTCACACTGCCCACGCAGACAATAATCCGCCGGCGAAAAATTTGTTTACATGCTGTTTATTGACTGAAAAACCATCGCGCCCGCCTACCACTGCCATGGAGGAGATCCCGATGGAGACCAGCTCGCCCACAGAGTCCAGCTCGGAGGTGAACTTCAACGCCGAGGAGGAGAAATCCCAAGAAACGCGTTCAGCCGCCGGCGTTTGTTATTGGTAAGGAGGGGAAATGCTTGGCTTGCTTTATTTGCTGCTCACACTGATAAGCCTCTAATGTTTTTAGCGGGAAGGAGCGCAACCTGAATATTGTGGAGTTACTCTGCGCCACCTGTGCGCGCTGGGTGCACGAGTCGTGTGTCTCCTATCAGCTGGGTAAGGGCAAGCTACTACCCTTCATCACCAACTACGTGTTCGTCTGCAAGAACTGCTCGGCCACCGGGCTAGAGAGCTTCCGCAAGAGCCAGGCCAGTAAGTGACATCGAAGTCATTTTTTTTATGTTCGACTGATAATAAGTAATGCATTTCTAAAACATTCAGCCATTTCCCAGATGTGCCACTGCGCCATCGCAAATATGCAACAGGCAGCTGCGCGGGAAGGCAAGCGACAGACCCAGTTCAGCAAGGACAAGGAGATCATTCCCTACATCGAGCAGTACTGGGAGTCCATGACCACGATGCCCCGGAGGCTCACCCAATCTTGGTATAGCACCGTCCAACGGTCACTGGTCAAGGATGTTCAGACGCTGTTCACCTACGAGGAGCACTCGGAGCATGGCTCTATGTACGGGCTATTCCACCAGGATCTGCGCATCATTAAGCCCAACTACGAGAGCATGAGCAAGAGTGGCGCGCTGCGGCTGACCGACGATGGCTATACCCAAGGTGAGTCTGAGGGATGAGGTTTTGGAAAGGATCAATTGGACAAACACCGGTTAAGATTTGGGATTAGGCAGGATTAATGATTTAAGAGTTATTAAATCACAACAAATTTTAGTTTTATAAAAGAGGCAAAATTAGTAAGGATTAAAGTGGTGCTTACATCTTGGCAACACTGGTCGCCCAGCTGACTTTCGCACAGTGGTCGGCGTACCGCCCGCTTGGCGAATATTTAACCTCTTCTCGTGCTGTTTATCATCTGTTCCGCTTTGCACACTCTACGCAAACAAAACAAATCTCGCACTCCCAATCCGCTGCTCCGTTTCGCACGCTCTTTCGGTGCTGTTTGGCAAAGTAAATAAGCGGAAAGGGGATCGCACACACACACACACACGTACGCAGGGGGGGGAGAGAGCGAGCGAAGAGAGCACATCTGGCAGCCCCACGTAGTCAAATTGTGGGCGGGGTGGGGCTGGCAGAAGCGCTCAACGCAACTTGGCTCATTCATTACTAACAAATACGAATACGAATACGAATAAATAAATAGTTACGCTCCGGACACCACTGTACCTGTACCTGTGTGTGTTTGTGTGGGTCTACTGGGCTTGAATGTGTGCGCACTCGGTGGAATTGATTTTGATTTGATTTGATTTTGAGCGCGACGCAATAGGAACTCTCCTGGTTCCGCCGGCCGTCCACTTCTGTCCTGTCATGGCGTCATCGTTTCCGGAAGAGGAATGTAAGCGGCTCCCTAAGGGAACCTCCGCCTCGAACTTTGTCCAGTCACGTAAATAGCTGGTAACTAATGCTCCTCCCTTTTTCTCTCTTCTTTCCAGCTGCCCTTGCCAAGAACAATAGGCAGAAACGCAAGTTTCCCGGCACGGACTCGGGCCCCACAGGGAAGAAGGGTCGCCCCAGTTCTGACATCACTGCCAACGTGAAGCTGCCACCGCATGGCTATCCACTGGAGCATCCCTTTAACAAGGATGGCTACCGTTATATTCTAGCCGAGCCCGATCCACACGCTCCGTTCCGGCAGGAGTTCGACGAAAGCTCGGACTGGGCCGGTAAGCCCATTCCGGGTTGGTTGTACCGTACCCTGGTGCCCCATTCCGTGCTCCTGGCACTACACGACCGGGCACCACAGCTGAAGATCAGCGAGGATCGCCTGGCGGTGACTGGAGAGCGGGGTTACTGCATGGTGCGAGCCACCCACTGTAAGAAATCATTGGTTAATTTCCTCAAGGAAAACACTTATAACGAAATATCATTTCGCAGCTGTAAACAGAGGGTGCTGGTACTACGAGATCACCATCGAGGAGATGCCAGAGGGAGCTGCCACACGACTTGGCTGGGGACGGGAGTACGGCAACCTGCAGGCTCCGCTGGGATACGACAAGTTTGGCTACTCTTGGCGATCCCGCAAGGGCACCAAGTTCACAGAGAGCCACGGCAAGCACTACAGCGATGCGTACGTAGAGGGGGACACCCTTGGTTTCCTGATCGAACTGCCCGAGGAGTCGGCACTGGATTATCTTCCCAACACATTCAAAGATCGGGTAAGGAGAAATAAAAATGAAAATATATATTATCTGGTTTGCGTTCTTTTCTTGCTCATTTAGAAAGCGCATAAGGGTCAAACTATCTAATTAACCCATGTTTATGATAACAGAAATCCCCCTTTAATAGAATGTGGATTAAGTCTCAACCCTTTGATTCCTCATTGTTATGCTTCTTTATAAAGCAACCCTATGTATGCATTCATTATCTGTGCCATCTTTTACAGCCGCTGGTCAAATTCAAGTCGCATCTGTACTATGAGGACAAGGACAAGATCACCGAGACGCTTAAGAATCTGCACATCTTGCAGGGTAGCCGCATTGAGTTCTTTAAGAACGGCCAGTCGCAGGGAGTGGCATTCGAGGACATCTACGCCGGCAGCTACTTCCCGGCCATTTCGATCCACAAGAGTGCCACAGTCAGCGTAAACTTTGGACCCGCCTTTAAATATCCCGAAGTCCTCGTCGAGCACAAGGCAAAAGGAGTACGATATCTCATGTTATCTCATGCAGAAAAATAATAATTCATGTTGTATACTTTTGTTTAGATGCACGATCGCGTTGAGGAGTTGATTACGGAGCAGTGCCTGGCGGACACCCTTTACCTTACCGAGCACGATGGACGTCTGAGACTGGACAACATGGGCTTATAGTAGAATGGGTGGATGCTGAATAATTAAGAGAGAGACTGTATGGGTCTTGTACAGATATTTAAGTCTGTTTGGAATTATCAGTGGCGGTTTCGGAGAAGATAAAATATTTATTTTTGTAAGCGTATCTTCTTAATTGGCAAGGAAAATAAATATTTTAATTTTTGAAAATTAATTAATTCATCAATTTTTAAAACTTTCATATTGAGATTTCTTCTCTTCTTCTGATCAGAATGTTAAACAACTCGTTAGGTGTAAAATATAAAATTTTAAAATATGGAAAAGCTTTGCGTTCAACATTACTATATCTAAAATTTTAAATAGTAATATTAAAAATTTGCTTTATATGTAGAAATTCCGCTGCATATTAAACATACGCGAAAATTATTCATTTCATACATATAAACATGTATCGTAAATTACGATTCGTAATGTATCGATATTTATACCCTTGCAGAATATTATAATTTCAGCCAGAAGTTTGCAACGCAGTGAAGGAGGCACCTCCGACCATATAAAGTATATTTATTCTTGATCAGGATCAACAGCCGAGTCGATTTAGGCATGTCCGTCTGTCCGTTTCTACGCAAATTAGTCTCTCAGTTTTAAAGCTATCTGAATAAACTTTGTAGTTAGTCTTCTATATACTCTCACTCGTATATATGTCGGAACGGGCCAGATCGGACGACTGTATATATAGTATGATCGGAAAATTTTTACAAAAAAAATTATAACATTTTCGGTTTTTAACAAATTTTAATCAAATTTAAGATATAGCTAATTTATATTATTCTACTATTTATGAAAGTCGGACTACTATATCATATAGCTCCCATAGAAACAATAGAGAAATCAGTTTTCAAAAGATTTTCATCAAATTTGAGATATAGCCATTTCATGTTATTCTACAATTTTGTGTAAAATTTTATGAAAATCGAACTACTATATCATATAGCTCCAATAGGAACGATCGAGAAATTAATAGAATTAAAAATTATAACTTTTCCAGTTTTCAACAGATTTTTATCAAATTTGAGATATAGCCGTTTCATATTATTCTACAATTTTGTGCTGTTTATATAGCTGCCATAGAAACGATCAAGAAATTAATAAAATTAAAAATTATAACTTCTTCAGTTTTCACCAAATTTTCATCAAATATGAGACAATTTTATGAAAATCGGACTACTATATTATATAGCTCACATAGGCTTTCACCAAATTTTCATCAAATATGAGATATAGCCATTTCATCTTAATCCACAATTTTGTGTAATATTTTATGAAAATCGGACTACTATGTATATCATATAGCTCACATAGGAACGATCGAGAATTTAATACAATTAAAAATTATTACTTATCCAGTTTTCAACAGATTTTCATCAAATTTGATATATAGCCATTTTATATTAGGCTTAAGTTTTGTGTCAAATTTTATAAAAAATCGGAAGACTGTATCATATAGGTATCATACAAACGATCGTTAGATGTAATTATATATGTAAATATGGTAAGGTATAATGTAAGATGTAAATATATAAATATATATAATTTATATTGTATGGATTCCTAATCATCGAAGTTCTATCTGCAAGGGTATATAAACTTCGGCGTGTCGAAGTTAGCTTCATTTCTTCTTTAGATATTTACTTGAATTGTTGTTTAACTAATAGTTTGCTATTAAGTTAGCTTGATATAAACTCTAAGACCTCTAACCCCACTTTAATCCACTCCCCAAATATTGTCAGCCAGGTCATTTTGCTTTTAGTTTTATTGTTTGAGGTTACTTAAAGGCTTTGAATTTTGAGGCACTGTAGGGTATGTAGAAGGCACTGCTCGGCGCAAACTCGGAGCGTGGATGATGCACTGCTGCTGATATGGACCGCCCCGTCGATGGCGTGTTGCTCGAGACGCTGGTCAGTCCGAAGGGATGCAGCGTTGAGCGGTTGGAGGAACTGTTGCTGTGTCCGTGACTGTTGTGACCGCCGCCGCCGCTTGAGTTGCTCTGGCTGGACGTGGCCGTGGTGGTGGTCAGCTCCCTATGCCTGCCTAGGTTGAGCGAGGGCAGCACAATTGCGTTCTTGTTGTTGAAGAAGCGACTGGCGGCCATAGGCATGTGCCAGGCGGAGCGATTGCCCTGGTGGGGCAGGACAGCAGACTTGGCCTGGTGCTGTTGTTGCTCCTTTTGCTGCACCTGGGTTAGCTGAACGAAGCTGCGGTTGTTGAGCAATCCCCTGAAGCGTCGGTTGGTGTCCAGTACGTTTAGAATGGGCGGCATCCGCAGGCGGGCCGAGGACTGCGTCGTGGCCGAGATCGGCATCTGAGGTTGGTGCTGCTGGCTGCGTTGTCGTTTAAGAAGTTTTACAGAGACGGAGGTAACACGCAGATCCCTATCGAGCAAATCCACCAGTTTCTTTTGGCTGGGACGCAGATACGAGCGGGATACAGGCTGATGATGCCGCTGCTGTATCTCGGCCGTGGGCGTAAGGAAGCCATCCTCCGCCTCCTCATCGTCATCGTCGTCCAAGGAGTTAAGACTGAGATTGGACATCGAGTCTATGTCCTCCCTCGCCTGGCTATCGAAACTGTGGTGACGCATCGGACGCGTCCGACCTCCCAGCAAGCTAGGAAACTTGCGCTGCCAGTCGGCTATCTCGTTGCGCAGCTCCGGTTCCTGATCTGGCAGCGGCTCCTCCCCGCTCAGCAGTCGCTCCACCCGCTCCCAGTCCAGCAAATTTTTCTTAATGGCGTCGTCCGCCCACGGGATGGAGCCCACCGAGCTGCGATCGATACTACTCGAGGAGTACGGCACGTCCTGTAGGAATTCTGAGTCGTCCGCGTCCTGGTCCTGGTCGTCCTTGTCTGCTTCCACTGTCACATCCGCTTCGTTATTGTTTCCCTTATCCTCGATCCTGTCCTTGCAGATGGACGGATACAGCCCGCCGCCCTCATTGTCCTCCACTTCGGCTGTGGCATTATATCCGAGGTCCGCTGCGAAATAGAAGCGTCTGTCAGAGGACATCAAAACTGGATCCGCAAAACGAGCTAGACTCGTTCTGCCTTCGCTTGCGTTCCGCGCCGCTTCTTTCCGCACACGTAAATCCCCGTGAGTGTCCTGCGAATGTAGCTGTGGATGTGTTCCCCTCAAAATCGATGCCGCTAGAGGCGGCTAGAGACAATTGTTGTGTTGTGGCCCATTCCAGTTTGGCTTGTTATTTATTGTCCCTTTGTTTGTCCTGTTTTCACCACCAACAGAGCGCAGGTTCGGCGGTGTTGCCAACAGCTCGAAAAAATAACGAATGCTTGATCAAGAAATGAGTAATTGAAGGCGGTTAGAAAATTATTTCGTTTATGGGGTACAATAATAAAATAATAATATGCTCGAGTATAAGCATTAAAAATAATTCCCATAAGTGATTTCAAGTTCTAGGTGCTGGACCAAGCATATTAGAATGAATTTTCTACCTATCGAAAGGATAAAGGATAGTATGACCAAATTTGAGTATCAACACCTCCGTGTCACGCAGTCGTCTACAAATAACTCATCTTCAATTCTCAATGTGGTTGCTTAAATAAAACAATTGTGTTATGGTTGGTTTATACAGAAACTATATCGGGTTACGCCAAAATCATATAACCAAATTATAAATAATTTTAAAGCCGGCCTCTCTGCATTCCCCGATATTTCTCGGCATTTGCGCTTGCTGCTGCCACGGGCACACTGCGGACACACTCCCAAAGAAAATCGAAACGAAACGAGTAGACGAAGGAATCGGAACAGGACTCGATTTGCCGGGTGTGTTAGGACATTGAGTGGCGAACGCTACTCATTGGGTAGTCGGCACAGCACGGAGCAACATGTGGCACGAGGCTCGCAAGCAGGAGCGCAAGATCCGCGGCCTGATCGTGGACTACCGCAAGCGAGCGGAGCGGCGTCAGTACTTTTACGACAAGATCCAGGCGGATCCCACGCAGTTCCTTCAGCTGCACGGTCGGCGCAGCAAAATCTATCTGGACCCCGCGGTGGCCGCCGCCGGCGATGGAGCCGCAATCATGCAAGTGATATTGAGTTGGAGCTTAAAACCCTCTATGTTCCAGGTTTTGGGTCTGCTGGGATGACTAAAAGTGTTTCCTCCCGTTTGCAGAGTGCCTTGGCAGGGTCAGCAGGATAACCTCATTGACCGTTTCGATGTGCGCGCTCATCTGGACCATATCCCGGCCGTAACCAAGGGTGGTGGCGAAGGAGCAGAGGCGGATTCAGAGCTCACCGCCGAGGAGCGTCAGCTTAACTATGAGCGCTACCGTATTCTGGCTCAGAACGACTTTCTTAACGTCAGCGAGGATAAGTTCCTGCATCAGCTCTACCTGGAGGAGCAGTTTGGAGCTAATGCCCAGCTGGAGGCGGAACGCAATCTGGCCAAAAAGAAGCAGAAATCGGGGGGAGCCACCATAGGCTACTCGTATGATGATGCTAGTGATGCAGCCACCATTGGTCCTCAGCCCTTTGGGGCGGCCAGTTCGGTGGCAACTGCGGGAGGAGGATCAGCAGCAGCACCAGGAGTGATTTCCAAGGGCGACAAGGGGGAGGGCTCTGACGAATCCGATTCGGACATCGATATGGACGTGTCCATTGACATCGGTAAATTGGACACCGCCCAGGCCCACGAGCTTAACGCCTGCGGGCGAAATTACGGCATGAAGAGCAATGACTTCTTCTCACACTTGACCAAGGATGCAGATGAGGCGGATGCCTTGCGCATCGCCCGCGAAGAGGAACAGGAAAAGATGCTGCTGAGCGGACGCAAATCGCGCCGCGAGCGCCGGGCCCAAAAAGAGCGTAGGATTGCCAATAGACCCTTTAGTCCGCCGAGCTACGCAGCCAAGGAGGACAAGGACAAAAAGGCCGGCGGCAAGGGTAACGATAAGGACAAGGAGGAGGACAGCGACTCGAGGTCGCCTTCGCCAGCCGATGCGGGCCCTGAGAAGATCACCTATATTACCTCATTCGGTGGCGAGGACGAAATGCAGCCGCATTCCAAAATCACCATCAACCTGACAAAGCCTGGCCTGACGTTGGGTGAGTCCTGCATTAATGCAAGCAGCGGAGCGGCCAGTGCGTCTGCCGCCTCCTCGGTTTCTTATGCCCAAAAGGTAAAGGACAACCTAGACAAACTGAAGATGATGAATGAGTCGGCCAAGCGCAACAGGCGCCGCTCTCGTTCGTACTCCCGGTCTCGTTCCCGCTCAAGAAGTGGCTCTGCCTCCAGGAGTCGCAGTGGCAGTCGGAGGAGAAGTCGGCGGAGTCGCAGCTACCACAGAAGAAGCAGAACTCGCTCGCGTCGCCGGCGCAGATTCTACTCCAGATCAAGGTCTAGATCTAGGTCCCGGTCGAGATCCAGATCCCGCACCAGGTCTAGATCCAGGTCCCGTACCCGCTCGCGGTCTAGCTCGTGGAAGCGCTACAAGTCGCGCAGCCCTAGCTACAAGCGGTCCAGGAAGCGCTATTCCTACTCCTCGCGCAGCTCCAGTGGTAGCTCCTACAGGCGAAGAAGTCGCTCCCGCTCTCACTCCAAGAAGAAGGTCGCACCCATGTCTGCATCAACAATTGCCGGCTATTGCCTGAGCACCACAACTACTACGACCACATCTACAGTGAAGATGCTCCAGCAGCAGCAGCAGGCGCCTCTGGTCAAAGCTGCTCCTCCCATGATTAGCTATCCATTACCATCACGAGTTCTTAACTTAAACCAATCGGGGACAGCAAGCGCTCCCGCTCCAGTGCAACCGCAAGTAGTGGAGCCACCACCCCCGCCACTAAAGCGCTACTACGGGAGGAAGAGAGCAAATGATACGTCGTCCTCATCGTCGTCGGGGGCGGAGGCCAGCGAGGCCAGCGACAACGAGGATCTGCAGCAGCAGCAGTTGGGCAAAAGAGCTGAGGATTCCGATGAAATGGAAGTGGACACTGCGTAAGTTTGTGCTGCAGCTAGTGGTAAAGTAGAACCGCCAAAGAGTGATCCCCGAAGGTGGTGGCCCTGACCAACGACTAATTCTATGCCCTCTCTGTTTCAGGTCAGAGCGCTCCCATGCTCTCCAGCCGGCCATGTCTTCATCGAGCAGCACGGGTAATCAAACAGGCAAATATAGTTCAGCTACCGAAACCAAAGTCAGTAAGCAAAGCCAAGTGTCTCATGCCCCACCCAACTGGAGTACACCACAAAATTCACGTCTCAGCCTTTCGCAATCCGCCATCCGCAATCCAAGCCAATGAGCAACATTCGGACCCAAGCAGGCAGCACCGTGTTTCTGTTCCATCCCCCGACTAGTGACGCTACCATCCCTGCCTGTTCTGTCTTTTTATTAATGCATTGCGTTCCATGTCCCTTCTTTCTGTTAATGCCACTACAACAGTCATTTCTCATATATGAAAGATGCTACAATGAAATCAAAGAGTGCATTTACCACCCCTTGATACTCACAACTGTTTGGATCTCTTGGATCCTGTTTATGCACGCCTTCTTTGTTCTGTTGCTATGCTGAAAAAAATTTAGCTAATGCGGCCTCTCGGCTGCGTGACCCAATCTAGTGAGCACTGAAAGTAGAAATAGTCATCCTTGCCATGAATCAACCTAGTACTTCTTGACCGTAGGCCTTGTCTTGGCCTCCACAGGCAATAAGATATCTTGGATGAACTCGTAAAATAATATTCATAGCATGAATGTTTTAAAAAAGGCAAGTCGATTGGCCAAACTGTAGGAAGACGGGTTACACCAAACACCTTATAATAAGATTTGTAACGCCAGAAGATGTACGCAATTACCACACAATGAAGGGTAATCTATTAATTTTTTTTAAGAGTTGTGCGCTTGATTGCAAATCTTTATGTATGGGCGTTATACACCTTGTTATTAAAATATATACGGTAGATCATGTACGTGTTGACCGATCCTAAATTCCCACCACACTTTCGACAGCCCGCCCCTGCTCCCCTTTATATCTCAACCTCGTTTCGAGCTTGCTAAATATCCACATCGTGACCTTTACAGGGCTCTGGACATCCGAGCAGTGGTGGTCGACCAAATTTGCGCGAGCGGCTTAAGCGAAAGATGCAGAACCTGCTAAACCGGCAATGTAAGCCCCTCGGAGTGTAGTGTGATGTTCACCAAGCGCCTTCTTTAAATCTTCGAAATGAAACACTAAAGTCCGAATTAATTGCAGATAAAGCTGACAAGCGGGCAGAAATTGAAAAAACGGAACGAGAGCGACTGCAGCAACAGGAGCGGGAGGACGAAATGCGAGAGCTGGCGCTAAAGCTGCGTCGGAGGTGAGTATCGTGGGTGTGGGTGGCTCTGGCGGCCAGTCCTCTCACATCACCATATTCACAGGCGTCGCGAGCTACGCCACAAATATGGCACGCCCTCCAGCGGAAAGCTCTCAGGCAGCGAGGCGGAATCGGTGGCATCGGAAAGCCAGCTGGCCAAGTCCTCTACCCGTCGCAGTCGGAGCAGGTCGCCAAGTCGCCGGCGCACTCCTCCCCCGGATCCGCACAGCAGGCGGAGCAGCAGCCGAACGGAACGTAGGCTACGGACAAGAACGCCTAGTCCCAGGTATAACCGGAGGCAGCGTTCGCGCTCCAGGAGCGGCAGCCGCGTGGAACGGAAACGTCGTTCCCACAGTCGCCGGCGCAGTGGCAGTCGGGATCGCCGTCGTTCACGCAGTCGGCGAAGTCAGTCCCGGCGAAGGAGGCAGCGGGACCGCAGCATTGAGCGAAATCGAGAGCGGGAACGGTACAGGCAGCAGTATCAACAGCAGCAGCACGAGCGGATGCGGGGACGTGATCGCGACAGAGAGGCGGACTACGGTCATGGCGGCAGCGGCAACAGCGGTTCGTCAAATCGAGGGCGCGTTGTTATCTCGGCCCCACCAAAGCTCAAGAAATTGGTCGACTATTGACCTGGCGTATTGCTGTGAAGGAGACTTTTTGTACTCACTTGATTAAACTCTTGATATTCGCTAGATTGTTTATAGCCATAGGACTATTTTCTAAAGCGTGTGCTGCGCTAACTGTTGATTTTGGCCAATAAAGTAATTTAAGCAATAGCAGATCCGATTTCTTTTCTGCGGATATCCTATCTTTATATGAATTTAAATTCGATTAAACCATTATAACTTGAGCATTTTTTGTGTAATCTTCTGAACTCTATATAATGGGATTAAAAAATATATATTTATATTTGAAAAATTAAAATTAATATTTGTTTAAAGATTTCTTAATCCTAGAAAACTTTCTTAAAAGCATATGACTGTTTAACCGTTTTCATTTCAAAAACTTTTACTCGGTGCTCTTATCGATGGACTGCATTAGTTACCGCACGCTTTCGATGACGATAGCTATCCGATAGTTGTTTATGTAATTGACAACAGCTGTGCGAGAAGCATACTGGAATCATGTTAAATTCAACACTCCGCTGCTTTGCTGGAGTTTCCGCCCGAAACCTGAATCAACTAGCACCCACGATCAGCGGGCTGGGACAGATCTACTCCAGAGCCACCATGTCGCAGCAGGCAGGGCAGTATCCACCCATCGAGTCGGCCATGCGCAAGGCGCTGACCACAGAGCTGAAGCCGGTATTCCTAGAAGTCATTAACGAATCGCCGCAGCACAACGTGCCGAAGCGTTCGGAGTCCCACTTTCGGGTGTTTGTGGTCTCCGAAAAGTTCAATGACTTGTCCCTGATCAAGGTGCGTATGAAATCACCACGATTCATAGGTGGCTAATGAGTTTATATTGCCACAGCGCCATCGACTGGTCAACGATACTGTAAAGAACGCACTGGCAGCAGCTGGTTTCGAGTTCATGCACGCCCTGTCCATAGAAGCAAAGACGCCAAAGCAGTGGGAGCCGGAGCAGGAGCCGGAGAAGAGTCCTCCCTGTTTAGGTGGCCACGGAAAGTAAGCACTTATATGTACAGATTTATAATATTAAAACGCAAGTAACAAGAAAAAATTAATGTGGAATCACGGAATTTTGAAAGGGATTTGTAAGCTTAGCAAGTTTAAACCAAACTAATACACTGCTTGCTCCGCTACTACATTGCCTCCACCTGACGTCTGGCGGACAGGATGACGTCGTTGATGCCCACACCGTCGTAAGCGGCTCCGCAGAGCGTCAGTGGCAAGTTAAAGAACTTAATGTAGTTTCGAATGCTCTCCACGCGACGCTTGTGGCCTACCGTGTACTGCGGAATGCACTTGTGTAGCGTGTGGACGCGGCTGAACTTGGGCTCCTCGCTGATCTGCAAAATCTTCTGCACATGGCTAGTGGCCAGGTCGAGGATCTGCTTCTGACTGGGACGATCGCCGAACCATTGCTCAAACCAGTGGCCGCCCATCATCACGGTAAGCACCGTGTTCCCGCCCATATCGAAGCAGCAGCTGTCGAAGATGACGCCCAGAATGGGCAGCTTTTCAATGGGCGGCACCAGCAGACCGAATCCATCCTGCTTAAGGAGGTTGCCCTGGAACTGCAAGTTCACCACCACAACGTCCACGTAGGGAATCTCCATAAGCTCGGCGCACAGCGAGGGATGCTGCTGTTTTACCAGCGGTGCCAACTTGTGCGCTGGCAGCGCACTGACCACATGTTCTACCAGCACGTCCGCATCCTTGATCATCATCTGGGCGCCAGAGCTGTTGAAGGATAGGTTCCGACACTCGTTGCTTAGCTGCACGTTAACATCTCGCTCCACCAGATACTTTCGCATGGCGCGTGGCAGGATCTCCAGTCCACCCTGCAACCCATACATGGCCCACTTCTCTTGCAGTGCTTGAGTGTACAGCTTCGGCAGCCCTTGGGCGAACAGCCCCTCCTTGGTGTCTTTTGCCTTGTTGTTAAAGAGGGCAAAGAGGGTCCCCTTGAGCACACCGCCGTACTTCTGCTCTTTTTCAAAGAGCCCTTCCATTAAAAAGCGGACGCTTATCTCACGGGCGTTTCCCGCACAGATGCCGCAGATCATTGGGCTAATGGCGTAGTCGGCTATCTCCTTGCCAAACCGGCGCTCCACAAAGCTATAGATGCTCTCGTCTCCCGTCTTGGCCGGTGTGCTTTTGGTAAACAGATCCCGCAGCATCGCCTTGTAAAGCGGCTTGGTGAAGGGCGGCAGGACACCGAAGAGACCCTTGGGTCCATTTGGGAGCAGACACAGTTGCCCCTTGGCGTACAGCATCCTGTTGCGGGCTGCCACATGACTGCGCGGGATGGGCTTCACCGCCAGTTTAAGCTCCTCCACCAACTCCAAGGTATTGGCTCCTGGCTCTCCTACGGGCCTGATGGTGCGCGGTCCGCTCTCGAAGATGAAGTTGCCATCCTTGCGGTTCTCCGACCGCACCCAGCCACCGACCCGCGGTAAGGCCTCATAGATGGTCAGCGGCTTGCCAAAGCGTCGTAACAGATAGTAGCCGGCGGACAGGCCGCTTAATCCCGCGCCCAGCACAGCCGTCTTCATGTTCCCCCGCAGCTTCTGGTGTCTCCCGAATCCTGAAGCGGACTCGTACTAGTTATGAAGTAGAGTTAGGATTAGGATGACTTGCGAGGATCGGAGAAAAACTCAATGCCGGTATGTCAGACCAAATTAATAAAGCTTTTTATCCATCCGATAGTGGTTTTGGTATTTTTCCTATCGATACATCGTTAGTTATTTATTAAACACTGAGTTGTTGGTCTAAAATATTTTTATAAAAAATGTATAAATTTCAATGAAACTAAGTTTAAAAAAATGTTCTTAATAAATTTTCAGTCAGGCTTTTAGTGAAGCAATATCAATTATCGATAAATGCTTATGGAAAACTTAAAAACACTATCCGCACCTGGTCATATTGCATTCTGCGCTCTCCAATAATTCGTATTCTTAGTATTCCCTTAATTATTTTTTTAATGCGTATATTAAAAATACAAGTCAATCGTGAATTAACATATTGAATCACCATGCGACCCGACAACCTGAACAATATTTTCCAAGTGCCTGGTGGATCAGCACTTGACTCAACCACTGATAATAATTCGGTAATGTAGATAAATGTTATAATATATATTTAACAAGAAAGGAAGCTAACTTCGGCACGCCGAAGTTTATATACCCATGCAGATAGAACTTCGATGACTAGGAATCAATACAATATTAATTTTATATATATGTACATATATACATGTTAAAAAACAATGCAGTAATGCCCTCTTTCATTTCATTCATCTATTCCAGAGCTCGCAAATAACTGTCGACCGATTTTTTTCTTGCGCTCTCGTTGCGAGCACAACCGAAAAAGTTCATACTCTCTCGCTCTCGCTCTGAGCAAGAGACTCTTGCTGTATTCTTTTAGGTTTTCTGTTGAACGTTTTTCGTTGAGCTCTTTGTGTGTCGCTCTTTCAATGAGCATTGCCTAAAGAGCGAAACGAGAAACGCTCGCACAATGAGAGTCAGCAAAAGACCGATTGACCGAAAAACTCAACGCAAACGGTCTTTGCATTTACTCACACACACTCAATACACGATCGCAATACAGACGCTTAACGACTTGCTTGCCTATGCGTGTGAGTGTATACCAATACATATGCAAAAGACTTTTTGCTTCACTGAACACGACAAAACGGTCTTGGAACAACCAGAACAAAACAGAATTAAAAAAAACGGTTTCGCTCTGAGCGCGAGCGAGCTCATTTAAGCACCCTTATTTCGGTTGCTCTCTGAGTTTTTTCGTAAAGTGTCAGGAAAAGACACTTATTTGCAGACAACGAGAAACGGTCGACAGTTATTTGCGAGCTCTGATCTATTCATACTGTATGTACAGTTATAAATTCACAGCTTTGCATTTTTCCTCTATATCAAACGATCGTTTGTATGGCAGCTATGTACGTATGTATATAATATAGTCCGATTTTCATTAAATTTTACACAAAATTGTAGAATAATTAAATCGGCTATATCTCAAATTTGATCTGTTGAAAACTGAAAATGTTAGAATTTTTTTGTAAAAATTTTTCGATCATTCCTATGGCAACTATATGATATAGTTGTCCGATTCGGCCCGTTCCGACATACGAGTGAGACTCGGCTGTTGATGCTGATCAAGAATATATATACTTTATATGGTCGGAGGTGCCATCTTCACTGAGTTGCAACCTTCTGACTGAAGTTTTAATACTCTGCAAGGTATAAAAACCTCTTGATTTAAGTTTGAATAGCAAAAAATGTATATTGTTCATATTTACACTACTGTTCAAAATAATAATTACATACACGCGTATGACGATTGTTTGAAACTTCCTTAAATTGTTTTAATAAGCTTCAGGAAATGGTCTAATTAATTTTTTAGTTTTTCAACTTATTAGCGATAACAAAAATATAAAAGTGGGTTTGTTAAAAATAATAAGTTCAGTAATTATTCTAAGCTTACAACTTGAATTTTATTGATATTTCAGGAGAGTAGCGATTCGGATATGGAAGTACTGGATAGTGCAAGTGGCGATCAAAATCGCATTGTTCAGGGTCTTAAAAAATCTATTAAGCGGAAACAGAAAAAAATCCACGATTTGACTGCAAAGTTGATAATATCTGAAAATAATTTAGCATGTGAAAAGGAAAAGACCAAGGATAAGGAGGATGTAATTAAATCATTGAAATTATCAATCGATGCAATTAAAGATAACTTTGGTCAAAGCTTAAAAAAAATTGACTGCGATCTGCATGAAACTAAAATTGACGAATTGAATGCCAACATTGAAATATTGGAATGTAAACTTAAGAATAGAAACGAAAAAATCGCCGAATTGGAAGATAAAATGGAAAAATACGAAACAAATCTAAAAGAGAAATCTGGGCTTATCGCCGAGCTGGAATCCGTAATCAAGATAGCTGAAGACTCAGCTTTGGAAGATATAAGAACTAAAGAGGAGAAAGATGAACAGATCGCCAAGCTTGAATCTCAAGCTAAAGTGGATGCATCCATGATAAAGAAACTCAATGACAAACTCTCTACGTTCACTCTAAAAGTTGAGCCCAGTGATGACTCAAGGGAGACAATGATCTACCTTAACTGCACTAAAATGACTTCAATTCAATTTGTCAAACTTCCTAAACTTAGTTTTGCGGCAGTTTTTGAGGATCTCCCATCAGCCGGTCCTGGTTGGATGCTCATACAGCGTCGAATCGATGGAAGCGTCGTACCTCTCCCCGGTTATCGTTGCTCGGAGTATTTTAATGGATTTGGTGACCTTAGTAGAGAGTTCTGGCTTGGCTATGAAAAATTACATATCCTGACTACAAATCAGAGACATGAATTATATATTGAACTTGTTGATTTTGATAATGCGACAGCTTACGCTCGATATGATCACTTTGAGGTTGGCAGCGACAAAGAACACTACGCTTTGAAGAAACTTGGTCAATACTCTGGAAGTGCTGGCGATTACTTGACTTTGACTTCTTCATGCCAACAATTTGTGGTTGATAAGAATGAAGATATCCCTCCATATGAAATGATGGACTACGGATGGTGGGAAAATACTCTATGGTAAGAATAATAAAACATATTATTAGGGATATCTCAGAAATTAGTTCCTGATTATAATATATGCCAATAATTATTTAACATATTAGATTATGACTTTACTAAATATTACAACTATATTTTATTATTTTTTAGCAATTTGAATGGAAAGTACTACGGTTATAAAAAAGTACTGGAGTCTCCTGATGGCATTTGGTGGGGTACCTGGAATATGGGGAAACGACATTCTCTTAAATCCTGTAAGATGTTAATACGGCCAAGGCCATAGCAGGATCTGTCAATAACATTTCCATAAAACTCATTTATTCCTATTCCATGAAAATATGCAAGTAAGAACAAATACCATATGAAGTACAGCATTTTTAGTAAGCATTAAATATTTTTCTAGGTATTTTAAAATAATTTATAAAATGTGGCAAACACTTAATTCTAGGCTTTGTTATTATTATTTATTTACTGTTATTCCCAAAGGCTTGCCATATGCCACATACGCCGCGTGTGCACCGCCTTTAGCAATAGATGTGCCACTGCCACACACGCACACCACCAACCAGAGTCATTCATAGTGAATGGGTTTTGGCGCCAGTTCTAATGAATCGAACACGGAGTCGTCCAGTGGTCCATGGAACCGCGACACCGCGGTACCGCAACATTCCGAAAAAGTTAAAAAGCTCGAAAGGCGAGCTTGGGCCAACCGTATCCACACATCCGTATTTGTATCCCTCATCGGTATTGTCGCCGAGTTGCAAGTCGTCGGAGTCGACAGCGCGCAGAATTGTATACGCTGCTGACGAGAAAGGTTGGTTCCATTGGCCGGAGCGCGACGCGACTGTGCCTAACTGACTGTGTGCTTATATATGTGTTGGGAAAACTGCCTTTACATACACACACCCACACAGACATGGAGGCAGGAAAGTAACAAATTTTGCAAACTGCGTTTTCGGCCAATTATAGTGTACGAATTTGGAAAAAAAAAACATGAACGGCATAAGCGCTCCAAGTCCAGGCAATTATCGTGGAAATTGTGCAAAAATTCGGTATCCGTTAAGCACGGGCTTGAGTGAATGAAAGAAAATGTGAAAATGTGCGACGACACACATACACACAGGAAATTCAATTAAAAAATAGCATGTTCAAGCATGCTTGTGCGTGTGTGTGTGTGTGTGTGTGGAATAATTAAAGTGATGGCAATAAAGTTAGCCATTTTCGACATGATATGCAAGGCCTGAAAGTAGGCTATGGAAATTTAAAAGAGACTTTTTTCCGAGCTGTTTAAGGGAACTGCTGCTGCAGGTTTTCATTTAAAGGATACAACATAGTGACACACACACACACACACACATGCGCATAGATACGGCACAGTGAGCCAGTTTTTCAGTTGCGAACGAACGCACAAAACGAGCACACACCACAGCACCAGTACCATACCACCAAAAGTCCCCAAAAAAACGAAGGGACCCGATGATAAAGTCGATGTTCCAGACCGGAGATACACTTGTATCGTTCGGGACCCCCTGCCTTGTCATCGTCAATGTTATTTTTGTTGTTTCCTACTCGCTGTCCGCCTCTGCCTTCGTGTGTTACGAGTATATGTGTGTCAGTCAGTCACTGGCCGAGTTCCTTCGTGTGTCCCTTTATGTATGTGTGTGTGTGTGTGTGTGTGTGTGTGCGTGGGCCAGGAGTAGATACGCAGATACCTACAAAGCTATCCAATATCCACTGGCATATACTGGCAGCCCAGGCGAGTTCAATGCGCGGCCAGGACTAGAGCTGAGCTCTGTTTACATTTCCCCTTTGGAGCCGCTCGCTCACATTGCTGCCCCTCCCTGGCCCTGCCCCTTTTCCCAGAACGTTAGCGTGCTGCGGGAAATTGTGTCGCCCGCTTATTTATTATGGAAATGCAACTTTGATTTAACTAGGCATTTGTCCTGCTTCCATTGTTTGCAATCGCATTAGGAAGCTTGTTAAGGTCCTATGTTCTTAGCAGCTGTGTGTGTGTGTGTGTGTGTGTGTGTGTGTGCTGGGTGCTTACCGTGCTATGTGCGTGCGTGTGTGTGCGATAGGACACGAAGGAAAACTAAAAACTAGGGCAGTGTGTTTCCGTTTCAACGACATGCCGCAGGCAAAAGGACGAAGCCCCAGGCCCCAGGACAGCAAAGCCCCGCTAACTTGCATAGTTAACTAACATTAAAATACAAATTGTGATTTCTGAGGCATAGTTTCAGAACTTGAGAGTAATATCGAGACTCAGAATTGTAATATTAGTAGCAATATTTTAAAATTGCCTAGAATTCGGTTCCACAGTGCGTATGCTTAACAAAAATCCATGTGCGACGGTTTGCTGGCCACGAAAAAGCTTTCACCCCACGACCATTTTCGGAATCATTCCAAAGCGCAGAAGCCTACCCGCAGCCAGAAAATGAGAGAGAAAATTCTCAAAGCCAGCGAGAACTGAGAATAGGAAGAGAGAAAGGCAAATAGAGAGAAAGAAAGAGAGATGGAAAAATAGAGAGGGGAAGAGCTGGGCTTCTCAACTGCTGATTTTGCTTTGAAGTATGCTTCGCGTCTTTATTTATTTATTTACTTGGCCGCCTTGTTCTTCCTGACGTATTTGTTTTTAGAAAAGGCAACGAGATAAATAAGAAAAAAATGAAATACTTAATTGGGTTATATATTTTAATGTGAAAGACATTCCGTGAAAATTGTAAATGATAAAACAAAAGCAGCGGTAGGAGTCCCAAAACAAAATACGAATATATAAGGATTTTTAAAGCACTAAATAACATTGACAAATGTCGCCGGTCGTAAAGAAATTAAAATGAAAATAATGATGACAGCAGAATAACTAAAAAAATATGAATATATATAATTAATTAACCCTGCCGGTCGCCGGTGCGAAGCCAATTTATATAATATTTAATATATCGCTCGAAACCACAAATAAATCTTTTGCAGCTTAACACATTTGTGAAATTGTGAAGGGAACATGAGGAGCAGTGTGATTAAACGGAATTTCTTATCTAATTAAGTTCAAATGCAACTTTAACTACAAATTCAAATTCAAAAGCAAAACTATCGATCAAAATTACAAAGTACGAGCAAACAAAACACAATCCAAACGCACAATGAAACTGATAACGCCCGTATAAACACCATGCAAGTGAGCTTTGAAATTCGAGTAGCAACTATGAAATAACCGGAAAAAAGCCCCGAACAGCAACAAAGGAAAACGCAAGCCAGAAGAATTCACCTTGCCACGTGCAACAGCAGCTGCAACAACCACAAATCGTCTACACATTGATGTGCGATTTGAGCGTGTGAATGTTGGCAGCCCTGGAGCCCTGCCTCGGTGGTTTAGCCAGTACTAGGTGAGTAGTCCCGCCCGCCAGTAGTTTGCACACACATCCACCAAGCCCGATTGCCACAACAATCCAAATCCACCAATCCAAAATCGAATTACACACACACACACCCTTTTCCGTAAGGAAAGCGAATATGAAAACGGATAGCCGGCGGAAATCAATCACAACTTTCACAACAACCACGACAACCACAACGCGTCCAACGCCAACAACTACACTGGGTCCTCCCATCGGAAAAGCGATCCATCCAACATGGCCAGCTGGTGTCCGAATTGTCACGAACTGCCACCGTTCTATCCACCCATCACGCCAAAGGTAAAGCCCTTGATGTCTTACGTGAATCCCAAAAATACTCGTAAAAATGACGCGCTTGCGAAGAGTCAATCAGTTCGTAGAACTCTCGTTCACTACACTCAATACAGCTCGTCTGTCAATCAATCAATCAATCAATCCATTAATCGAGCTAACGATTACACATTATCACCTCGTTTTGCATATAGAAAACGTTTTTAATGATCTTTTCCACTGGCTCTTGGCCTCTGTCCTTATCAATTTGTATTGCATTTAGAGCTCATTTTAAAGATCTTTGAATCAGTCACATACAAGCTCATAAACATATTGCAGTTATTTGTATACAAATCAATGAGGTATTAATCTCTCTCTATCAACTATTTATAAAGATTATTTACCTTCATTAACAAGGCTTATGCTATTTAAATTATAATATATTAGGATAAGTAATTAATTATTTAGGAGGTATTACATAATATTAAGAACTATTGGTGTAGGTATACTAACAATACGCAGTCTTATCTTTTTGGTTAGTTTTTCTCCTAAATAAATTATTACGCCTACTAAGTCTTATTTCTTTAAGAAGGTTTTATAAAATGCAGAAAGATCGTACAAGAAATCATTTAATTTCCCTTAAAAAGTTGATTTAAATTGTATAAAGCAATCATAGTATTATACATTATTTATTAATAACTTTATTGTTTATTAGGTTTCCTTTTACTTCTCTTGTACAAACTATATATATGTATATTATATTAGCCATATGATTTTCCTAAGCTCCCTTTACTATTCATTTCGAATTCGTTTCGCTTCATTTAATAAATGGGATTTCCATCGCTTGGCGCCCATCCATTCATCTAGCAATTCAACCCTTCGCAGTGGCTCGCGTGACCTTTGAGAATGTGGCACACCGAGCGCAGAACGCCGACCATTGGACACGGCACTCACTCACTACTCACTACTGACCACCGACCAAGTGCAGCCTAAGCCCTCTGGCCTTGGCCAGTGTCCAATGGTCAGAATGGAGGGGCTGCCAGCCGGCGGTGGTGGCCGGCAATCAACGGACCCAATCAGCGGGCCAAGTGCTGGCCATAAATTGCTCAAAAAGTCGAAGGGTATTTGTCAGCTTCGTCAGTTGTCAGCTCTCCGTCTCCGTTTTTGTGTCTTGTTCTGCTCGAGCGTTTCGCTTTGACGGACATGCGTCAAGATAGGGCTGGTCAGGGGCTCGCCCACGCCCCCGAAAATCGATAGTTCGCAATGTAAATTATTATCAAGCCACTGCCTATGCCGCCGACTGCCGCCGTGTGACTTCATCCGTCAGATTGGTGTCCGCCACTACCTCCCAACCTGATCCCGCCGGAATGACAGTGAAATCGGCCTGGCGGCATAATTTATATCTTTCGCTATCGCTACCACCCGCATTCATTAGTCGCCTGTCCCAGCTGACTTGGCCCAGTAGTATAGTATCTTTGGGCCAGCTAAGGCGACTTGGTCGAATAAAAGCCATCCATGACTCTCGGAGTCTCGGGGGCTCAGTGGCAGGTTATAAATAATTCATTCATTCAACGTCGGCAACTGCATTTTCGCTTGGATCGATGAAAGCGCTGGGAAATTAATCCAAACACACAAACAGGCAAGACCCGTGTAATATTAAGGAAACATGTCCGTGTGTTTGTTCGAATGAAACGCGATGACACTCTAAAATTCTTAACAATTTCGTTAGTGTAAAGAGTTTGTCGTTCCCAATAACAAATTATGGGTTGGATGTGTAAACATAATTGACTTAATGGTTTGTGTATTTGCATTATCCTTAAAGAGTTATTTTTTTAGAGGTGGAATGTATTTTTAAAACCTTTGAAGGAATACTTTAAGTTGTAAGCCACTTCTTTATTTTTGGCTAATTCTATTCTGATTCATTGTAAATTTGAAGGTTTTCGAAAAATATTACGTATACGCCTCATTAGCCCTCAACTGCGAAGTGATTAAAAGTAGTATTGACATCATAAATATTTATACTTACAAATTATTTATTTATTTATTTTATACTTAAGATTCTCAAACGAGGAAAAACCCTTTGACTTTCACTTTGCATATAAAATATTAGAAATATTGCGCATTCGCCATGGTAGCCCATAAATTCAAGGTGAATCCTACTTAAAAATAGTCAACAAAATTGAATTGAATAACAATTTTTCTCTTCTTCGCTATTTATAATTGCGTAAATGCAATGAAGCGAAGAACCTAACCGCCCAAGCATTGAAAAAGAAAAAAAACCAGAGAAAATAGAAACTGAAATGAAAACTATAAATAATGTGCACGCCGTTGGCTTATGATGATAATGTTGAGGATGAGGCTGTGGCTGAGGGATGCCGACGTGATGTGAGGGCCAAGGGATGATGAGCAATTATGGCTAGTGGAAATAGTGGCATGTGCTAACAAACTGGGCCAACTTGTTACCACGGCTGCCCCCGCAGGAAATAGCAAACAAAGCGCGTAAATTATGAAACGACAGCTAACTGGCGGCGGCATGGCGTGACTCGCCCGAGTTAACTGTAGCAGTAACCGTTAACCATTAACCTTCCACCTTCCACCGCCCACTAACTGGCACCCAGCCCCACCCTCACCCTCACCCCCCCTAACCCCCGTTCGGGGGCGAGTGTTGCCCGGGGACCGTGGGGTCACACAAAAAAGGAATGCAAAAAGGGAGACACAAACAAAAATGTATAGAAGCGAACTCATAATTTATTTATTTATATTCGGCCTGCCGTTGTTTTTCTTGTTGTAACAATAATTCATTGTTGGCAACAAAAACACACAGGCACACTCACACACACACGTGCAAAAAGTTCTTTAATGTGCCACATAGCTGCCCTTGCAAAGGGTACTTCCAACATTAGCAAGCATCCTGAATTACCCCATAATGTAGAGTATTTAACGAAACCTTGTTAATTGAACATAAAAGGAAACTCATGTACTTCAGGAAGCCGATGTATGTATACCTTTGAAGTTTGTAATTGACGTCTTAACCAAGCTTAATTCGCCTTCTTTAAATATTTATTAATATATGATATTTTTATATGACAAATTTAGCGACCTATCAAAATTTTAAAAACTCATAACTCATTAGTTTAACAAATCTGCATACCCAATTTACAATTTAAAAAAATTTAACATTTTGCCGATTTTTGATAATAATTTTACGATGTAACCCCTTAAAAAATTTTGAAATTTTCCAAAAATTTTAAAAATTTATTTTTCTGCCGGAGATGTCTAGATCTAATCGGCTGTTCATGCTTATTAGGAATATATATGATTTATAGGGTCGGAAACGACTACTTCATTGCGTTTTAAGCTTCTGACTAAAATTATAGTACCCTAAAATATTTATTTAAGTATAAGCTAAGACTATATCAATTTATTTAAGCACATGTAATTTATGTATATAATAAATCCTTAAAATCCCAGCTGTATCTGGCACTAGTTATAAACTTAAAGTTAGGGTATATCCTCATTATTCCAATACTCTGGTCAATTTTCATTGTCTTGACGCTGCCTTTTAATTAAATTCAAGTTTGTCGCCTGCCCTGACACTTTTGGCGGTCAGCCGAGAAGGCGTATTCCCGTAGAGCCTCCCAGCCGCAATCTGCAATCCGCCGGAGAGCGGGAGATATGGCGAGCGGCCCGGAGAGTGGGTGAGCTGGGCGGAGAGAGAACGAGCGAGTGGATGGGTCTCCGGCAGGAGATATATGTATGTAAATAGAAGCGTCAAGAGCCCGCGTACCGTCGTTGTCGTCGGCGGAGCAATTGGAAAGCGGCTCGTTCAGTTGGTGGACGCCAGTTGTGCGGTTCGCTCGGTGCCTCCTTTTTCACTCAGCTCGATTCCGGATCGCGTGCGTGTCCGCCTGGTCGCGTCGTGTGTGACATCCACCATTATAGAATAATATATTTGGTATCCAAACATATATACGGGAAGGGGGTGCCCGTGCCCGTGCCCGTGCCCCATTCCGCATCCCACACCCGTATCCGTGTCCGTACCCGTTTCCATAGCCATAGCCATAGCCATATCCATATCTGTGCAAATTGCAAACACACATATGCGTGTGTGCCGTGATTCACCGAGTGCGTTGGCCTTTCCGGCTGTGAATTGTCCCCAGTTTGAGTTCCACAAGTCCCAAGTGAATGCAGGCGACAATAGCACCTTGAGTGGCCAGATCGGCAATAGATATAGATCGGAACCAAGAGGCCCATGCCCAGTGTAGATGGCCTTTGGCCGGTGTTATGAGATTTTTTTGTCTTCGCCTTTCGCCTTTGTCGTCGTCGTCGCCCGTGTCGCTGTGCGTGTGTCCGCCGAGGAGATCACTTTAAAAATAACAGATTTGTTTGATGCTATTTATAAAAGGCGGGCCAAGTTTTCGTTCCGTTTCGCATTGTGAGGCTCTTGGCACTTGGCTTTTGCCGTTCAGTGTTTAGCATTCGGATTTCGGTACCCATTCGCCTGCACTTGAATATCCATTCGATCAAGTGAATATCGTGGCAATATTATTAATAAATTAATTCGACGACGTGTGTGTGTGTCAGTGGCGCAATGTAAACAGCGAAAATGTCGAGCGATTTGATCGGCACGAATTTCAGCAGCACATTGACAAATGTAAGGAGGATGCATCTATAGTATCTAATCTAAATTAAGTCTAAAATCTATATGAAAGTGTGGAAAAAATTAATTTTAATGAGTTTAAATCTATTCAATATAATTTTATATTTAATCTGAGTAGAGTTTGAATATAATTATACTTCTATGTGAAAATTATTTTATGTATTTCGAAACTAAAGAGATTGGTCTTGATAGTTGTGTTCAAGATTAAGTTTAAGTGATAAGAAATAATTAGAAAATCAATGATTACCCTTAACCAAATTTAAATTTATTAATATAAATGCATTCAAGTCTTTGGCATTCCTTCTTTTCCGTTTAGAAATTACATCTTTTGCGGCTAAATAAACTTAAGACTTTTATTTATGAACTCATTTTGCGCTAAGACTTCTCATAGTGGCACCCTTGGCCGGGCACAATTTTTGTTTACATTTGCCAGCGTCGCCAAGATGGGAAATATATGCTATAGACTATATAGTATCTATATAATTTTGTGTAGCGAGCGAGTGTGCCACCGTATATATTGAGAGAAAAAGGCATTCCGTCGATCCTAAATGTCAAGTGTATGACGTAAACATTGTTTCCGCCAGTTATTTGTATTTGTCGTATTGATTTATGCCAAGTTCGGTTAACAAATTGCAAAATAGCTAGAGCTAATTGGTTACCTTGTATACCGATCTTCTTCCAGGGATGTCGGGGTGTGACCAAAGCACTGTCGAATCATTGGCCGACGATCCAACAGATTCACCATTCGACGCCGATGATTGTCTCAAGGTGCGCAAGTACTGGTGCTTTCTGCTGTCCAGCATCTTTACATTCCTTGCTGGCCTGCTCGTGGTGCTGCTATGGCGCGCCTTCGCCTTCATCTGCTGCCGGAAGGAGCCGGACCTGGGGCCCAACGATCCCAAGCAGAAGGAGCAGAAGGCCTCCCGCAACAAACAGGAGTTCGAGGGAACCTTTATGACAGAAGCGAAAGACTGGGCTGGGGAGCTTATCTCGGGTCAAACAACAACTGGTCGAATTTTGGTAAGTACCCATTGGCCATTCACTCTATTCACTATTTACCATTAACCATCCATCCATCATTTATGAATTTCTTTTGTTGGGGTCACTGGGTTTTCTTTGGCCGCGCATATGGTGGCATTAAAGCACTCGAAAAAACGGTTTAGTAGTTTGTATAATATTAAAAGGGATTTGTCCAACATTGATTTATGTTCTGTATATATTTTTTAAATTAATAAAAGTGGGTTTGTGGGGGAAAATACGTAAGATTTTTATCAAATCAAAGTTTTTATTTCTTTTGCAAATATTTATAATTTTCGAGGTGCCTGCCAAGCCTAATAAATTATTCAATGATCTGCTTTAGTTATTGCTAGTCATAGTCAAACACAATGTCCTTGTCCCTGGCTACAGCTGCGAAAGTTCACCCAAGAGCTAGGAGAGTGCTTTTGGTATTGCAATTGGCCAAGTTTCGAGCCATGTTGTTGCTGCTCCCACTTGCGTGTACAATTTGTTTGCGATTGCTGAATTCGGGCAGCCATTTCGTGTCAACAGCGGAAGCAGCAAAGTAAATGTGCCATTTCCATGTACAATAAATACATGAGCACAAATTGACTGAGAGGAGTGTGAAGGGTGGTCTTTTCCATTACACTCTTACTTGCGGAGGAGGAATTAACTTCAATGGGTTCCAAGACCGATTGGAATCAGTGGTTTGTCCAAATATTACGCATACGTCATGGCGTACCGCCGCCCATCCATTACTGCGAGTTAGTTAATTACTCAAGCGAGCTTGGTGCCTATTTAGTGGGTCTTATTGGGGCATTTCGATAAGCATTTCTTGATTTGAAGTTGCCGACACTTTGGACGGAAACTTATCGTTTAGATATTTGCATTTGTCTGGGAAAAAGTTCTTGTGTAATCTATTCACAAACATGTAAATCCTCTGGTGATGTGTCGCAAATAATTTGGATAGAAAGTGCACAGGGAGAAACTAACTGGTTTTTATTGTTAATATAAAGTTTTAACCGATTGATTAAAAATATAATGATTTTGGGAATGCTTCGGAGGAATATTTAAAGGAAACTGATTTCATAAGTAATATTTACTAAGTAAACTTTGTTATTTCAAATGGAACTATAATCTAAAAAGTATTAAACTATTTTCATTTTATAGAAATATTTATTTTCCTGACAAAAACCATACATTTTCTACTTTATATGCTCTAATCCTGGGTTACAAGTAAAAGTTTGATGGCCTACAAAGCCAAGGAAAAAAGCAATCTTCGGCAGTCAAGGACACACCGCCTCTGTTCCGTAGTGCGAAGGCTCTGGCCGATTGCAGAGGGGTCAAATGTTCAGCGTCCAGCCTTGGACCACGCACTATCCCGATCCCCGCAGCTGGCAGTTCAATGCTGCTGCCTCCTTGTCACAGGGACAATGGCAGGCACACAATTGCACAGCGGTCGAGCAGGACTATTGCCATGTTCACGACACACCCTCGCCGCATGGTGCCCTGCGTCTGGCATGGCACATTTATCGATAGTTCCTTCCCTCTGCTCTTGCTGCTCGGAGCTAATAACGGAAAAAGAGGGATCCAAAAAATGATGTATGCATATGTTTGGGGCGTGTGCTTGTGTGTATGTGGGTGGCAAAGGAACCACAACAAATAACAGTAAATAATATGGTAAATGCCAGGATAGCAGCCGCTTAAAAGGAAATGCCACAGGCAGGAAAATCGATGGAACAGCGCGCACATCCATATTCCCTTTCCCCGTCACCTTCCCCACCTCATTCCCATTTCCATTCCCAGTTCCATTTCCATTTCCACTTTCACCCTTGGCGCGGGGAGATTGTGAATGTTTATTACCAGGCCTAGAGTAGCTGTTTTTATATCCTTTCCAAGGGTACTATAATTTTAGTCAAAAGCTTGTAAAGCAGTGAAGAAGTCATTTCCGACCCTATAAATCATATATATTCTTGATCAGCATTAACAGCAGAATCAGTCTAGCCATATCTGGTCAAAAAATAAATTAAAAAAAATTTTTCAAAATCAGAAAATTTTATAAGGGGTTACATCATTAAAATTTGCAAAAATGGATAAAATTTGAATTTCTTTAAATTTTAAATTGAGTATGCAGATTTATTAAACTACTTAAAACTAGCATAGGACAGCTTTCCGAATTGAAATTAATGCATTTTTGACTCAGTTATAAGTTTTTTAAACTTTGCTTAGTCGATGAAATCGTTGTTGATAAATATTGATAAATAGAATGCTCAAATTTGTAGCTTATTTATGATATTTTTCCCTTACGATTCAATAATTCAATTGCAAACTGCAAGGGTATGTATAACTTCGGCTTCCCTAAGTGAGTTAGTTAGTCTTTTATATTTGTAGTCCTGCGCTTTGGCAGCCAATTGGCTCCGCTGTTTGGCAGACAGCGTCGAGTTGCCTTTCTGTGGGCTGCAGCTGTTTTGGCAAGTCCTTTTGGCCCTTCCGTGTCCTATAGCTGCGCCTTTCCCTTTGTATTGTTTATCCTTGTTGTTGTGGTTGGCAAAATAAATGGCTTTGCCATTTGAATATTACACAATTTCTGAGGCTTTTGTTATTTTTTTTTTGGTCTACTTACATTTTCACTTTCACTGGCAATGGCACTCGCTGGTTTATCATTTGATTTCCCTCTGCTAGCTGCCGTTTTGATTTCATTGAACTATCTGTAACTCTAAGCGGATTAAAGCCATGCTGCTGCTGCTGGCACTAATTGGCTTTGGAATCCGCGCGACGCGACTCCAATGCGGAAGTCGGTTGCAACGGCTTAAAGCCAGCACTTATGGCCGCAACGCCCACATCCGATTGCACTTGGTCACGCCACAAATGCTGAGTGCTGGCAGAGCTGGTGCCACAGCGAAAGAGTTTTTCCATCTGCCCATAAAAAATATATATTTAAATTTTAACTGAAGCAGACAGAAATGGAATTAGTTTTTTAAGTATTTCCCAGCACACACACTGGAAGGAAAATGGAACAAATACATAAATATTTGGTTTCTGGTTTTGTAAATATAATAATATAAATATAAAGTCAGCTTTTGTGACTTTCGGTTTATGACTAAATATATATAAGAACTATTTCCTTAATTGCTAATGGTTTCCTTATTAAACTTCTTGTGGCTTTAATTACTTGATTTAAGTTATTTTTAAGTTTCCGAGCACAAGTACTTTATCCAAATTATTTTTTTGAAAACTTTTTATTTTCTTGCCGTGCATTTGCGGCCATTAAACTGACGTCCGCTTTTGTGGGCTCTCGGATTGATTGACCTATTCGCAGCATTATGGCCAGAACAAATCATGGCAGAGGGGGCAACAAATCGAATTGAAAATGTTATGAGTGGGACACGTGTTTTCTCGCCTCGTGACCCAGATTCCCAAGTTCGCTTTGCTGATGCAATTTGGTGGCAGCGGGGCTTAAGTGCTTTTTTTTTTCTTACCAAGAAAAACTCTGATGCTTGGCTGCTCTGCTGCTCCGCTGAGTGATTGACCCAGTTTTCACGCTTTCCAGCAACTTCATGGGCGGCAGGCGGTGTTCCGGAAATCTCCGCAGAGAGTGAAAGTGAAAGGGATGTCAAAAAGGTTGTCGCCATATTGAAAAGGACTTTGCATTTATTACCTCCCATCCCTTCTGACCTGTCTATGACGTCAGATGAGGCTTGGACTTCATTAGGTTGGTGTCCTCCGCCTCCGTCTCCGTCTTCATCCCCGTCTCCGTTTCCTGGGGATCAAGTCGGCTAATGAAAATGTCAGTTGCCTGACACCACATGACGTATACGCAATCCCAGCAACGTTGCGAACTCTTTGCAATTTACTTTAGAAATTCTTGTCTGGCTTCTGATATTAGCAAAGTTTCTCCGCTGCCCAAAAAAACTTTATTGCGCAACTAACAACTTTCTAAAAGGGGACTCCTGACAGAGGAAGGGAGGTTCTGTGTGTAATTTGCATGCCAACAAAAGGCCGCAGAGCAAGAATAATGAGTAACCAGACCGGTCCGGGCCAAGACATTTCAATTTATGGCCCTAAGTAAATAGTTTGCGTGCCTGTTCCGTGCCAAATTTAGTTTTTCTCTAGTTCTCCTCTCTTGGGCTCTTCGCTTTCGATTATCCAAGTAATTACGAAACGATAGCACATCAGCTATTGCAATTACATTGCCATTAAGTACATATAACCAGATACAAATTTAGCATACAGCTACGAGGAAAATAAAAGTCATTTAAGCATATAGCAGAAATCCAAATATGAAAGATATATAGGCTTATTTAGGGTTTTATTTATGTTACCAATTTTTTCGTTAGAGCATTAAATTATTAACTGAGTTGAAGAATTAACATATAACTTGTAAATGGGAAAAACTACCATAAGAAACTATTTCAAATATATATTTTAAATCAATTAAAAGATAGCATAGGTATTAATTCTTTATAAACTCTATCTTTTCAAACACAACTGTTTAAAGCCTGCCGGCTAAAGTTGAACTACCTCGATTGGCCGCCATGAAACTGTTGTTTGTTGGCAAGAAGCCCTGACATTTAAGCAGCTTCCACCCAGAATTCTCACCCTCTGGTAATGCATTTCAATGGATGGCCGGTCGCATCCAAAATTACCTTGTAAAACTTTCATGACTGCCGCAGATTTATCAACGGGGCGCCTCGACTAATTGCCCAGCAACCGGCTGAGGCAAATGATCCGTGGCAAGAGTCCCAGTCCGAGTTCGAGTTTGAGTTCGAGTCCGGAATCCGGAATCCGTGGTCTCTGCCAAAGTGTGCAATTAAAAATGCACATTACTGCGGTTTCCTCTTTCTCTCTCTCTCTGTGTCGCAGGGGCAATTTCCGATTATCCTTTCTCCGGCTGGCGGCCTTTTCCTTTTTCCAATTTATTTCCCTTTCCTATTTTTTTTTTGGTAGGCTGTGAGTTCAATGGAGCGTTCGAATGTGGTTGTCATCTGACAAGGCCGTGATTTATGGAATTGAATTGTAGCAGCTGCTCCCGATTGGGTGGCTCCTGTGTATATATTGTTCATGGGTTTATTTCATAACAGCCAATGAATTTATGAGTTATGAAATGAACTTCACGTGGCCTTTAAACATAATAACTGCTGCTACATTTCGGTTACATATTTCATGAATTTCCGATGGGAGAAAATCAATAAAAGGTCAATAATTGCAAGTTCCTTTTTATACGCTTCCTTGCGTATAATAATTTTAGTCAAACGCTGTGAAGGAGTTATTTCCGACCCTATAAAATATATATATTCTTGATCAGCATTAACAGCCGAATTTGTCTAGATATCTCCGGCTTAAAAACAAAATTTTAAAACATATTTACATTTTTTGAAAAAAGGAAAGGGGTAACATCGTGAATATTGTCAAAAATTTTAATTTTTTGAAATTTTAATTTGAGTATCGAAATTTGTTAACATAATAAAAACTAACATAAGAGTGATTTTTGAATTAAAATTAATGCTCTTTTAGCTTGGTTATGAGTTTTTAAAATTTGATTTTTCGAAGAAGTTGTCATAGAAAAATTTATGATCGATTTCCGATTCGATCCTATAATTCAATTGAAATTCAATCACTGGGAATTAATGCTATATTTATTATTAAAATTTAGGTTAAAAAGCAATAAAGTAATGTCAGCTTTCATTTCATTCACCTATACATTTTATATTTACAGTTATACATTCACAGTTTTACATTTTTCTCTATTTTTAACGATCGTTTGTATAGCAGCCCGATATTCATAAAACTTTACACAAAATTCTGGATTAATTTTTAATGGTTATATCTCAAATTTGATGAAAATCTGCTGAAAACTAAAAAAGTTGTAATATTTTCCACTAAAATTGTCCGATCGTTCCTATGGCAGCTATATATATATATATATATATATATAGTTACCGATTCGCACTGCTCCAACTTATATACTAGTAAAATTATATAGAAGAATAACTCCATAGTTTCACTCAAATAGCTTAAATTTGTTCCAAAACACATCTCGCACATGTGTGCCTATGATTCCCAACTTGTACAAACATCCCCGGAACGAAATGACTTCTCCCGGCCAAGTCTCAGAAATGTGTAGTGTTACATAAGTTGCAAGTCATTGTTTATTAGTGTTCAAAGTTTGAAACAGATCATTGATGTTTACTGGTCATTGATACTTACTGATTATAGTTACTTACTGGTCATAGATACTTAATGTTCATTGATACTTACTGATCAGAGTTACTTCCTGCTCACAGTTACTTATTGTTTTTAGTTAAATTAAATATCAGCTCGCTGCTCCTTTCTGCCTCTCCTCCTCTCACTCTATGTTAATCGCTCTATGTTAATCTCTAGAGGCAACTCCTCTCCCGCGCACTCACACTCACTTTCTCTGCTCTACTCTCTCCTCGGGAACTATAAATAGAGGCGCTGAGGTCGCGCGCGCCTCAGTCTGTCCTAGGGGTACCTAGTGTTTACATCGATAGTGATAGTGCAAGTGATCAGCCTTCGAGCTCAAAAATATGACGTGGCCAATGCAAATACTTACTTACTGCTGACAGCCAAGACTCTGGAATGTGTTGTATTACAAAAGTTGCAAGTCATTGTTTATTAGTGTTCAAAGTTTGAAACAGATCATTGATGTTTACTGGTCATTGATACTTACTGGCCATAGATAATTAGTGGTCATAGATACTTACTGCTCAGAGTTACTTATTGCTCATAGTTACTTAGTGCTCATAATTAATTGCTGATCATAGTTACTTACTGTGCATAGTTACTCACTGATCCAAAATCACATCTCGCATATATGTGCCTATGATTCCCAACTTGTACAAACATCCCCGGAACGAAATAACTTTTCCCGGCCAAGTCTCAGAAATGTGTAGTGTTACATAAGTTGCAAGTCATTGTTTATTAGTGTTCAAAGTTTGAAACAGATCATTGATGTTTACTGGTCATTGATACTTACTGATTATAGTTACTTACTGGTCATAGATACTTAATGTTCATTGATACTTACTGATCAGAGTTACTTCCTGCTCACAGTTACTTATTGTTTTTAGTTAAATTAAATATCAGCTCTCTGCTCCTTTCTGCCTCTCCTCCTCTCACTCTATGTTAATCGCTCTATGTTAATCTCTAGAGGCAACTCCTCTCCCGCGCACTCACACTCACTTTCTCTGCTCTACTCTCTCCTCGGGAACTATAAATAGAGGCGCTGAGGTCGCGCGCGCCTCAGTCTGTCCTAGGGGTACCTAGTGTTTACATCGATAGTGATAGTGCAAGTGATCAGCCTTCGAGCTCAAAAATATGACGTGGCCAATGCAAATACTTACTTACTGCTGCCAGCCAAGACTCTGGAATGTGTTGTGTTACAAAAGTTGAAAGTCATTGTTTATTAGTGTTCAAAGTTAGTAACTGATCATACATACTTACTGCTCATAGATACTTACTGCTCATAGTTACTTACTGGTTATAGATACTTACTATTCAAAGTTTCTTAATGTTCATAGATATTTACTGTTCAGAGTTACTTACTGTTCATAGATACTTACCGTTCCATAGATACTTACTGTTCGGAGCTACTTAATGCTCATATTTACTAAATGCTCATCTCGCACACATGTGCATATGATTCCCAACTGGTTATAATATCCCCGGAACGAAGTGACTTTTGCCGACCAAGTCTCAGAAATGTGTTGAGTTACAAAAGTTGAAAGTCATTGTTTATTAGTGTTGAAAGTTAGTGACTGATAATACATAATTACTGGTTATAGATACTTACTGATCATAGTTACTTACTGGTCATAGATACTTAGTGTTCAGATTTACTTACTGTTCATAAATACTTCCTGATCAAAGTTACTTAACGGTTATAGTTAATTACTGGCTAAAATTATAATACCCTGCAAGGATATAAATACTTCGTTGATTTACTTGCTCTCTATACTTTTTACTCATCGTATCGTCTTTAAATATCGATTTTCCATTTATTTTCTTCTCATTTCATTATCATATCGAAATTACATTATAGAAATATATAATAAATCTTCCATTTATCTTTCAGGTCGTACTCGTATTTATACTCAGCATCGCATCCCTCATTATCTACTTTGTTGATGCATCTAGCGAAGAAGTCGAAAGATGCCAAAAGTGGAGTAATAACATTACTCAACAGATCGATCTCGCATTCAATATATTTTTTATGGTTTACTTTTTTATACGAGTAAGTTAAACACTGGCAGACAGACCGACGCACACACTGAGTTGATTTAACGAATTATTTGAATCAATTGGAGTTGGAGCGATGATTTATGGTTTACACGAGAAAATTCTTAAACAATCTTTCGTTTTTCCTTTCGTTCTTTCAATCTGACAATCTCCTTACAGTTCATAGCGGCGTCCGATAAGCTTTGGTTTATGTTAGAAATGTACAGTTTTGTAGATTATTTTACAATACCCCGTCCTTCGTATCAATATATTTAGATCGAACATGGATCGGTAAGCGAAACAAATCCCTATTAAATTATCCTAATACTATGAAATTCCAAACCAATCCAAACAATTATATGCATACAAATCGGTGTTGATCAATTGATTGGAATGCAATCAGATACCAAAGACTCCCATTTTCCCGCACACACAATTAATATGCCTCACACACACACGCTAAGACGAGTCCTGATCGATTTGTATGCATGCAATGTGCCTTACTCTACATTAGACATCGAGGTGCGTGCCTTTGATTACATTGAGTGTGTATTATCGTGAACAGGTCTTCGATTTCTTCGAGCGCTACGTCTCATGACTGTTCCAGATATTTTACAATATTTAAACGTACTAAAAACATCGAGCTCCATACGCTTGGCTCAACTAGTATCAATTTTTATATCCGTGTGGTTAACAGCAGCGGGCATTATACATCTGGTATGTAGAAACACACACTACACACATTAATCCCTAATCAGGATCGGGTGTGCCCGCTTGGGTGAGTGCCTCTGTGGCAAGAGTGCAGTGCGTGCAAGAGAGCCAGTTCCAAAATATCACGTATACGCCACGTTGCAATCTGGCACAGAGACCGCCTGTGGGCACGTCCGATGCCACACTATATCTGTCCATATATATGTTTTTATACATATATGTATGCGCCAGGATGTGTTTATTGAAGTGTCCAAAAGTAGAGTTGATGATGATAAAATTGCATTTGCATTTACTTAAAATTTAGCTGGAGAACTCTGGCGATCCGCTGGATTTTAATAATGCTCATCGTTTATCGTATTGGACCTGTGTCTATTTCCTAATTGTGACCATGTCAACGGTAGGATATGGTGACGTTTACTGTGAGACTGTCCTGGGAAGAACATTTCTCGTGTTCTTTCTGCTCGTCGGCTTGGTAAGTTCGCAAAAGCAACGCTCACAAAAATATCAAATTTAACAAAATAACTCCGACAAAAAGAAATACACATAAGTCTTAGCCTTGTTTTAGTTTTAACCAAGTATATACCATATATATCTTATATATTATACAGATGTAGCCAATGTTTTCTCTCTCTCCATTTCTGTCCGCCTCGATGCCCATTGAGTTTAGGCCAAGCCACAGCGGGGTTGCAAGTGCTGAAGTGCTGAAAAGTGTGTGAATGATTTAAGTTTTGGTTGCCTTGCCGCCTAATCTACTTATTAGTCCAGTACGAGTACAGTACAGTACAGTACAGTACAGTATAGTACAAGCGCAAGTACAGTTGTGCTCAGAATAATAGTTGAGTAGCCAGAGCGATACAAGTACCAGTATCCATGTACTAGCCGATAGTATAATCAATATACTCAATAATCGATACTGAATTCGAACTCTCTTAGACGTAACATTATAGAGTAACCATGCGTTGACCCCGTTGCCCCTTGACCCCCTCTCTCTCTCTATCTGTCTTACGTAACAATAGACTTAATACTCAAAATACATTTGTTAATTGCATTTCTACTATGTACATGCCACGTTTATGTAAATACATAGAACGACTTAATACCGCTGCACAAGTTTTGAATTATGAAAATACTTTATTTGAGGCCTTGCGGCCGCGTTTCGTATTTGCGTTTATCCTCCTCCAAAAAAAGTTTCGTTAGCTTAACTCATCACCCAAGCTTAACGCGTTTTCTTTACCTTTACACCCACATGACCACATATGGACGGAGGCATATCCACCCGATATCCGCCAGATACGATACTATACTATACTATACTATACTATATATACACGAGGGTCGTCAGTAGCCTGAGGCCCTCGATTCATCCTTTCACGCAGCCCATCCGATAATCTCGATACTTATGCATGCAGTTACCTTAATTCACTTTTCAGTTGAAACTTTCGATTTGATTTGGTTTTTGTAATGGAAGATTTTGTAGAAAAACCGAACACCAGAAGAAATACCCACAATCAACACCATACACACACAGCCAAGAGTCAGGGCCCCGAGCAGGGATATATTCCGGTGTATCAGACCAGGAGGAGCCTTACCACATATATATATTCGTACTTGTTATAACCAAAGTTAATGTTATGCATGCTTTAATGCTGGCTGCCGCATATTTATGTAACCAAAAACCAAAGGACCGAACCAGAAATGCTTTAGGTTTTAGCTATTCTTTTGGGTGTGAATGTCCTGTCCTGACTTCGTACCCATTAAAGAGTGATTCGTTTTTTTTTTGCGATACATAATGTTAACAACTAGACTAAGCCTAAGACACAATCACAAACTTATATCTCTTTTCTGAATTGATTTTTGTGTTAATCTCGTGTATGATGGAATATTTTAGGCAATGTTTGCCAGCAGTATACCGGAGATAATTGAACTCGTCGGTAGTGGCAATAAGTATGGCGGTGAACTGAAAAGAGAACACGGAAAGAGGTAGTCTATATAAAACCATAATAAACCCAACAACAAAAAAAAAAAAAAATAAATATACATAAACGCATTTGATGTGAAAAACACCAAGCTACATTCTTAAAAATAATCCACAAAAAAATTATAAATAGCAATAAACCTAAAAGTATAACTTATGAAACATATATAAAATACCAACGAGAATAGTCAGTCAGTTGAGGAACTATCTATGTTTATCTGTCGAGATTTTTCCAAACGAGAACTAGGTTTTACTTGGACAACAAAAGAAAACCTTTGTAAAGAACACACAAATTCCTAGTATACTAGTATATTGGAACCCTATGGGGTTATCCAAAGTTCCAATTAGATGAATTGAAATATAAAATTTAAAGTCGATAACTAGTCTGTTACCCTTTCACTTTGTTTCCCTTATTTCATTGTATCTCTATGACTCGCATATATACAGTTGACTTACCCGCATCAAAAAGTAGTTCAGCCGACTCTAAAGTCGTCCGTTTTTTAACTATTTTGTTTCTTGATAAATAAGTATTTGAAAAATCAAAAAACCAAAACCAAAACAGATATGACTACATTTGATAAATCATCAAGCAAGTAATAAAGTAAAGTACAATTTTATCACAACGATTTGTACTTTGTTTATTTCCTGAGTTTTATATTCCTATTATTATTTTTTTTTGTGTCAGCAGACAAATCAGAAGATTCGAACACACACTGATCTATTTGTTCCAGCCATTAAACATTTTAATGTCCCCATTCACTTAGGTTTTCCAGTTTAATTTGTTTATTTTCTGATGTATTTGCGTTGTTTTCCCTGATTTATTTCGTTTCGTTAAACACTTTTTTTGAACTTGACCATGTCCATCATATAAATAACTTAGTAGGCAAGCGTGAGTTCATATAATTTTTCGCTCATTTTAGTTTTGAATTTTGGATCCAGAATACACGTTCGGACTCAAGATATTATTATCCTTTAACTCTTTATACTTTGCCATGCTTTAAACGTTTCGTATTAACACCAGAATTATGATACCAGATATGCGTTTATCAATTTGCAATAGTTTCAAGGTTCATATATATATTTATTTCGATATCTTAAAGCATTTGTGCAAACTATTTAGGCGCATTGTTGTAACACATCCTACACAGATTTATAGTGCCCCCGAGCCTCACTTAAAATAAAAACATTTATAAACACACATGTCCCTCAAAATATAGCATCGGTCACGCATTGAAAAAAAAGAAAGTAATATAATTAATTTATTCAAAGTCATAAGTAATATTTTTGATATATTTCGAAGAAAGCAAACTCCAGCCACATATTTGCAATTTGTATTTTTCGATTCATAACTCCCTTTTTATTCCTATTAAATTCAAAACACATTTGTCAGAGTCTCGCTGATCCTTTTATAAATATATAAATAAGACAAAGTTCACCCAGAAGGCCGTTCCCCAGCCAGGACTCCCTCTTTAATGATTTGCGAGTGGAAAATGATGTGGAATTGCCTTGGAAATTCGGCAAAGATCGAAGTTGTGCTTTTCATCACCCCTTTCGACTTATTTAATCCGAAGAATCAGCAAGTCAAACTTATCCCCCCTTAAATGCATAGTAACATAGGATTGTATAAAGTATGTTACGGTATTCTTCATAGCGTAATACTAAAAATCTAGCGCACTGCGACTTCCGGATGAGTCTAACGCCGATCTAACTACGTAATACCTGTCTCTATCTAGGCCCCAGCACTGTCGTGTATTGTAAACTACAAATGTAAATTATTAGATGTATCTATCAAGTAAGAGTACAGTAAATAGATGCCGTTGATATAATGCGAACTACATATTGGCAAAAGCGATTGTGTAAAGTAATGTACAATTAGCCGTAAAGTATCTCTGTGTGGACAAGTGAATAAATGAATGAATGAATGAATGAGTGAATAAGCGAGTGTCGAGTGAGTGTCCTTGTAAATAAGGAGTGAGTGCGATGTGAGCGAGTGACTGATTACGAGTGTGACTTCTATGAGCGGTCTCCACTCTGCACTGTTCTTCGTCGTCAGCGAAATTGTCAACTTGGTCGTTGATTATGTTCTTCAACAATTGTACGCATAATAATTTTGTCCATTTCTTTTCAAAAAATAGTACAAATAAAACACACACACACACCCGAAACAAACACACAGCAAAACATAAATTTGTTAGCTCAACAGAACAGAAAAAATAATATTTAATTAAAGAAAATCAAATACTACTGAAACAACCGAACTGAACCCTCTTTGGCACCTCTCAATCAATCTAAATGTGTATGTGTGTTGTTGAATTTAGGCCGTTTTCGCTAGTTGGATACCAGAAATCACTGAACTGGCTGCCCAAAGAAGCAAATATGGTGGAACATATAGCAAGGATCCTAGAAAAAGGTACACGAACACGTTGCTGGCTGTACCGCTAAGAGAGAACTATATAAGATCAAAAACTATATATACAACACAACCAATATCAAGATAAACAAGATAATGATTATAAAATCAAACAAAATACCAAAAAGAAAACACCGCAATCGCAGCAATCAAAGAATCTTAAATTCTCTTTCTATTACCAACATTTTCTTTACTAAACTTCAGTCAACGAACAGCTTAAGTTTTATTTTTATTTCCTATTTCGTTTTTTTTAATTTTACACCCTTTACTTTTAAACATTTTTCGGCGTCACCTGGAATTGCATAAAAATAATGCCAAACTCTGTCGAAAATCAGGGTTACTGAACAAATTAATCAAATATTTTAATTTATTTTGTTATTTTCATAAAAAGCTAAGATAAAGGAAAAATAAATGGAAAAATAATTAGGACTTGAAGGCATTGGTTTCTTGGCGGCATGTGTCTGTATTTAGTTAACCAACAAAAATAACCAAAAAGGAAACACATAAAAGAGTCATTGCAAGAATTACACAAAAAATATGTACGAACGTTTTAAAATGATTCCGCAAAAGGGGAATATATATTATTATAATGTAATTTACTTGTCAAATCCTTCTGTAATTCTCGTTGTCGTTACTTTCACACACACTCTACACTCATTGTCTACAAACTATATTGCTTCATTTTTGCGTGCGTTTCACTAGGCTTGTTATTAGATAGACGGATAAATTGTTGAAACCATCAAATGCTTCTAAACATTATTAGTAAGATAAACGAACGAACAGAGATGCGATGTTTTTGATTTATTTACCTATTAATTTGCGGTTCCCGAAGATGTTTGCTTTACTTTTTGCAATCTCTGGGCCAATACACTAATTTTAAATGTAACTTTTTAACGGAGACTAAGTACTATTTAACTTTCTGGAGGGGTTTCCTCATTTGTTGAAGCATGCACATTTCGAAGACGACAGTCAAACCAAGCTATTCACTCTCAATAATACTATCACCAACCGACACAATCTATATGTATATATATATATATTTTGGAGAAGACAATTTACAGAAGTATTTGAAGAAGTTGTTCCCCTCCTCAGCCCAGGTCTGTCGATCGAGAACGAGAAAGTTGAAAAGAGCTAGAGACTCGCCGCTGTATTTGAAATGTGTAATTTTTGAGTTGAGTTCGTCTTTTGTTTCCGTTTCCGTTTTCGTTCCGTTTCAAATCTTCTAATTTTCAAATTTGATTTTTGATTATTACCGTACCTAGACCAGAGCCACTATTTGCGTGTTTTTATGCAACTTCAGCTGCGTCATTGATTTTTTGAGTTCGAACTGTTGAAGCTCCAAGACTAGCGCTGAACCAATCTACATAACATATGTGTATGAACTTGTTCGTATATTCCTTTAATGGCTTCTCTTCCTGAGTTACCGAAATGCATTATCGTTGAGTTAATTGTTTGTTCGTTTGTACATTTTCTACATTTTTCTTAATTTTCTGTTTGAAAAAAATAAACACACTTACACCCAGTTGCTGCTTTGGTTTCCCTCATATAGAGTCTTGATTTCCGGATACGAATTTTAATATTTGTTTGATTTCCTTTCCAATTGTTTCTATATGCGATACATACATAAATAAAGTTGCAGTAGTTACGATTTTTGCAATTTCAATTTATCCAACATACTATATCGAATTTACTTGTAATTACTTACCATACCAATACGAAACTAATTCCACACTTTACCCCTTACCTAATCAAACTAATCATCTCTATTTCAAAGTCGTTAATTTGCTTGCACCCACTTTGTATGCCGCAGCCACGCATAGAAAAAATAACTAATAAAAACTAAAACTTACAATAATTAAAAGCGAAATGAAAGCAGTACGAAACCGGCGTCATCGAGCGCTGAGATATATTTTTTAACGATGATCAACACTTAGAGGAGCATTGATATTTGTATACTTTATGATCAGTAAAGAGTTGCAGTATCCCGTAATATCGTATTCAGTATCAGCATCATGTCTTCACATTATTTGTACTCGTTACTCGTTACACGTTACTCTATACCCGTACCAAACCGAAACCGAAACCGAATCCTGCCCCAAAGCACACACACTCATAGTACGTGCGGTTTAGTTTAGATTCCTAGATGAACGAGCACACACACACCATCGATTTTGGTAGCGTAGATTTGAGGCACTGATTAAAAGAGAGAAGCGGAAGTCGATAGCCGACTTCCGGTCGCTGTGTGTGCGTGTGTGTACTTGGCACCGAATTACCACCACTGTATCTAGGGTTAAGTTTCTCCACAAGATATATAGTTTGAACTCGTTGATATCTGTATGTGTTAACTCGTTATTTAACCACACAACACGTAACCCCAAGAAACCATTAGAGCCATAAGAACTTAGCTGCAAACGCTGCTGTTGAAGCGGCTTATCGATTTATGAAGATAATAAGATAATATGTTACATACCTTCTGTTTAATTTGATCTCATTTACTGTGTTTTGTTTTTTAATTTGTGTGTTTTCCTTGTTTGACAACGGTCCAAGGTGATTCCGAATAGATATACTTATTATATAGAGCGTCCTGGAAGCCACAGCAAACACAACAGTGTCGTCAGCAGGATACCGATCCGATGTCTTCATCATATCTAGTGCTTCTAGGGGTCCTTCTTCGAGTCTGTTGTCCCATCCCGACCCCCTCGTCTCTGTTTCTCTCCCCATCTGTGTGCCCCCCATCTCTGTTGATCCTTCGTGCGACTCCTACTCTCTGTCTCTCTCTATCTCTCTCTCTCTGTATTTCTCTCTTTGTTACTCTCTATGTGTGTCATACGAAAATTTGTGTAATGCTTTTTATTTAAGTTTAACAACAACTACAACAATCCAAATCGAAAAATAGAACAAAAATACTTCACTGTCATCATTATCTTTCATACTGTAAACAGGCGATTTTTGCAAGTTGTATACCTGAGATTATAGACTTGATTGGAACAAGAGCCAAATATGGGGGCACATTAAAAAATGAAAAAGGGCGAAGGTGAGACAAACCAAATTTTCTTTCAATCAATCAAACCAATTAATCAAACAAAACTGATTAAACCAAAAGATATATAAAAATACTACAACAACCAACAACTACAAATAAGACTACTTACCACAAAAATAAAAAAACAATCATAATTTTTAAGCAAAAAAAAAAAAACAAAAGAAAATATTATAAAACTAACCAACAACCGAGTATTTATGTTACCAAAATAAACACCAAATCAAAATGAAATTTCTGCCCAAAAAAAAGCAGTAAACCCTGAAAAATTTATAGACTTTACTTTTTGTTTGCGCTTCCATTCATGCCAAACGTTTTTATTCCCAGTGTGGACGAGTAGCTGGAAATTTGATTTTGATTCTAAAACACTAGAGAGACACACTCTCACACCCACCAAGCCTAACACTAGTCATTCACACAAAGCCACCAAGAACATGGCCATTATAAAAAAATAGAACCAAAGCCTAAAACTCAACCAATCACAATAATCATTGTCAGCGAAAAACACACATATTACTCATACGCCCTGTGGGAAAGCCAACGATGCTCTGGCTGCTCGACAACAACAGTGACAACAACACCACATTTGTACATTTCAAGTATCCAGGCCATCAATCAATCAATCAATCAATCAATCAATCAATCAGCCAATCAATCAGTCACCCAGCCCAAATTCAAAACATTCAATCGATCAAACATCCGCCACAACAACACAGTTACAGTTACAGCCACAGCAACAGCAACACAGTCACACAACAATTGACAAAAAGAAAAGCAAAAATCAAAAATCAACAAGAAAATTTAACTAAAATACTCATATTGCTTATATGAGAATACGAAAAAAAAACAAGTGTATATGTTTTAGTTCTCGAGCAAACTCATTTTGTGTTCGTTGCCTTTCAGTTTGGTTTTTCGTTTTCGTTTCGACCTTAGACGTATGTACGTGTGTGTCTACGTAGTTCCAGTACGTGAGATACCCGAAAAAAAACATAATTCCGACATAAGACGTAAGATATATCGTTTCAGCCTCGCCCCAGGAATTCTATGACACATTGCGTATTATATAATAACATTAGTTTCCATTACGTTTACGTTGAGCCCATCGATTTGCGTTTTGATTTGCGCCAGTTAATTTGAAAAGTTTCTTTATTTTTTGGTTTTACTTTGAATTGGCATTTTGCAAAGATACTCGTATCGTATTTGAGAACCGTACCGTATACCGTACCACATATCAAAATCAATTGTTTCGTACTTAAAATACTGTTCTGAGTGTATCTACTATATCATGTGCGTACTCTGCTATCTTGTTGTGAGTTTCCATACTACTACATCCTGAATTTGAACGCCAAAATTATCAACTTACTCTTCTCTGCTACTTTCTACTCTCTCTATATCGTACTCGTACCATCCTGATCTTGATCTTGAATCTAAATTCTTTAGCTTTCCTATCCTATCTTTTTGTTTGATTTGCACGTTACCTCTTCTGTTTTGACTCTCTTGAGTTCCTTGAGAAAACAAAAACGCGGCTTAATCGTGTTTGATTTTTATCTTTCGATTTTCGATTTTTGGGTTTTTTTTTTGGTTTTAACTTTTGGGTTCACCTAGAAACGAATTGGTTACGTGTAATTTGCAGGTCGAGTGTGAAGTCAGATCAGAGCTGATGATTGGCATTAATCGAAATTCAACATGCGTATTGCGTATTGCTCTTAAGTTTTGTCTCTTTTCTGTATGCCATATCATCCTAGCCTCGTTTTGCATTTGTATTAGCCCTTGAAGTGGATCAGTGATTGGTGTTTATTATTGTGTTACATTATCGTAATTGTCTATATAGTCCTTGATATCGAAGTCGTAACTGTATATCCATCTTAAACGAACGATAATAATGCATATTAAATACTGAATACTAAATACTAAATACAATAATAATAATAATAATAATATCCGATCGATTGTATACGTAAATGTTAGAATCCATACTCAAAATATGTACACACACACGACTCGAACTCGAAGTCTCGATAGATTTTTTTCCTTCCAAGTACAGACAGCAATTTGTAAATACCAAGCCACTCTCACGGAAGACTTCAATTTGCTTCATAATATATACATATACATATATATATATATTTTTTTGGCTAGAAAATGTACGATATTAGAGGCAGCAGGTGTCATCTGAGCAACGGAACCATCGACAAAGTGTGTGTAAAGCGAATCAATAAAACCTATCAATCAATAAAAACTCATGTATCTTCCCAGCATATTTTACTCTTACTCTGTATATCTTTCTCTTCTCTTCAAACCTTCAATCAGTTATATCGATCTGCTACTCTGCGTGTTGTAGTTCTTGGACATACATATATACCCTATACTATCTATCAACACTTCACTAAATACACAAACAAACTTACGATTTACTTATGATTTCGACTTTCCACTTCTTTGAGAAACATTCGAGTACAACGGTATGATCAATCAATATAAAGATATAACCCACACATAGACCTAAACCGGATGACACTGCACTCCGCTCCACTAAAACTGTCGTAGACCAGTTTGTTGTGTATGGATGCGCTCGGCGATCTCATTCGATCTACTATACCCTTTGCCCGCCTATTCGGATCAGGTAGGAATCCAGAATCAAAATAAAGCCGAGGTCCTGCATCGTTGTATGTTTTGACTCGATACGTGGCCCCTGTAAGCACACCACACCACTCTGTTGTCTCCAGCTTAGGGATCACTGATCAGGAGAGAGTAATGCTCGCCAGAGTGTACTCAGAATACAATCCTTAAACTGCAACCGTAACCGAAACCGTAACCGTAACCGCATCCGTATCCGAGTCCCACACATCTCCTGACTGTCTCTCTATCTCGCTGTCTCTCTTTCAAAAGATCTCTCCTATCCATAGTTCTTGTTTTTTTCCATTTGATTTCCTCAAAAAAAACCCACTCACCTCTCATTGCACACTTCCGAGATGATAGTTTTTGGCGCATCTGAAGAACAAACATTGAAATTATCTTATACTTTTGATTCATGTTGATCAGCAGCAAAAGCTGCCAGAAAATGTAACGATCAAAATGCGTGGCCAGGCATCAAAATGTTCAACCTTTTCACTATGTTTATATATCATTTTCAGAAAATAAAACCACAACCAAAAAAAATATATGAATTTTTCAATCCAAAAGTCACCATATGTTTCTTTAGCTGCAGCAATGATAAAATAAAAGAAAACAGCGACACAAGAACTAATCGAATGTAGAGCATTTATTTCGTTTGTTTGTTCGTTAAATGCAAATTGAAGTTCTTCTTTTTCCAATTTTTTTTAGCGAAACCCCGTAGTCAAGCACCAAATTTTTTATTGCCACCGTAGAGGTAACCAACGAGTTTGCCAATTGTATAGCCCTGCATCCGGATTTGATCAACCGAAACACAATAACACGGCATCTAAATACACTTTACCTCAAAACGTAGTAGGAAAATCCACTGACTTTACTGGAAGTATTTTCCAAGGACTCTAGAAAGGACTCTTCTGTATTTGATTTTTATTGATTGTTGTTTTTTAGTTTGACTACCTTTGACTGAGTAGCTAGACACCTAGGTGATCTATGATATGATATACACCAACAAACAGCAAACCCATACACCAAAACACATCCACACCCATATACACACACACATGGAACAGTAGCAGTATGCATGTGTAGTGGCACTAAACACACCACCTTTAATGTATTAGGTATTTTTGGGAAGAATGCCTGCCGGTTTGCCTGACTGCCTGATTGCATGACTGTGACTACAGTAATAATCTACCTATATTATACAATGCCTAGCACATGTAGAGAATAATTATAAATATATATCTTTAGTATATGGAATGAGCGTAGTGTATCATACAATTTGTATATAGAAAACAAATGCGTTGGCCAGTTGCTGACTACTTTTGATGCTTTACTTGATGCATGTAAGTTGATTACAACAAAATAAATACAAAACTGATGTGCGTAGCTAAGCCTTTACTAGAAACCGTATTGATTTTAAAAACTCTTCATTTTCCCCTTTGGATATTGGCGGATTCAGAGTCCGAGATCCAACCAGATCCTCATTTTATGACTCTTAATTTATTGCCATTGATTGATTACTTTTTTAATGTACAAGCCCCTGGGGTAGCAGACTAAATTCATGCATTTTGCATTTATCATTTGAGTTTTAAGTTTACCAATTATGATTTCGTGTTTTTTGTATAATTTTGATAAATGTTTGTTTTCTAAGAAAAATGCAAAAAAAAGTAATTATACTTTACCACCAAATAATACTGACAAGCCATAAAGATAACCATAACCAGGCAACGACGAGCAGTTGATAAATAATACAAACAGATCAAAGCCTAAATCAATATAAAGAAATATACATAAGACGAAAAAACAATGAATATACTCGTATCTATAACCTCACCACCAACGACATGCACTCATTCGAAGACATACATTCAAGGCACTCACACACACATACATATAAACTAATACTAACACCGAGACACTTACACCGCAAATATGTATATTATAGACTCCGATTCAGATTCAGATTCATGGAATGTGATTAAATCTGAGAGGGCTTAAGCAGATGCATTTAATTCAAGTTAATCAAATTAAATGCATTTTTCTTGGCCCCCAGGATCTTTTGTCGCTTTAATCGCACACTTACACTGAGACACATCTCATTTCATACACTCTCACAAACGCCACACACACATGTATAGAGCTTCAACGCATTCCACACTAGATTTAAGCCAAATTGTTGCATTAATCGTTGAAAGCGAAGCCACTTCTCCGGAACTAATCTATTTATCTCTCTCCCAAAATCAACAATACCCGAACCTGAACCCCGGAACAGACATATTGTGGTATGCGGTCACATAACATACGAGTCCGTGTCGCATTTCCTGAAGGACTTTCTCCACGAAGATCGGGAGGATGTCGATGTCGAAGTGGTCTTTCTCCATCGGTAAGTTCATCAAATGACCAATTCAAAATTAAGCAGAAGAATAAACCTAATTACAATCGTATTGCTAATTTGTTGTGTCGTTGTTAAGTTGAAATTATCGTTTCCTAAATGTATTTTCAATTCAGTTTTAATCAGTAAAAATCAGCAAAGAGAACAAAAACATAGAGCAGTACCTAAGCAGAATCAAAGATTTAAAAGGGGTTTGTGGTCAGCAGCTGCGCGGATAAGTAGGCAATGGTTTTTCTTACGAGATTGAAATAAAACGTTATCCTGTTAAATACAACATAAAATATGTTGAAACATAATTAAGTTATTTAACCAATTAACTTTGTTCTTGATTTTATAAAAAACATTTCTTTAAATTTAATTTTTAAAATTTATAAAAAGATGTACTTAAAATACTTTATTCTTGCTCTTATATATAATCTGGAAATATAAGTTTTTTATTTTAATAATCAGCTGCTGGCCGCTGACCCTTTAGTTGGGACTAAAATCCCCAGCCAGTTAAGTTAGTTCAAGGCACTATTTTAAGTATTTGCATTAATTTAGCGATTAGCGAACACACAGAAAGTGGAATTCAATTGATTTTAGTTTTGATTTTGAACAGTCCCTTTCTTTTTTTTGACTGCATAACTACTAATACCTAAAAATACAACTATATATATATATATATGTCATATCATGTAATGTAATGTAAACCAAAATAGCAAAGAGCCTGACCTGGAGCTAGAGGGACTGCTGAAGCGTCACTATACCACAGTGGCCTTTTTTCAGGGCACTATGATGAACGCAGTCGACCTGGAGCGAGTCAAGGTACACAAACACACACCGAGAGCACACCAAAAAACACGTCAAACATCCAACACCAAACATACACACACCACACACACACACACACACCCCTCAGACACAGACACAGACACAGACACAGACACAGAACAAACAAAGAAACACACCTACAGACCAGTGAGCAAATACAAGAAGACACGCAGAAGTAACGATAAACGATTGAACCCAGGTGTCCCAGCAAATAACCACAAACAGCAACAGCCAAAACAATAAATTTAAAAACAATAGAACAATAGAGAAAATGAACAACAAAGCATTTGCTCATACTTTGTGAATGTTTTTGTGACCGTGAAGGATGCAACTTCACTCTGTCTGCCATCCTTCTCCGAAGTGAATTAGGAATCGCATTCGCTGCTGACATCTTTCACAGCAATCGAAGATCAAAAATCGAATCAAGACACGCCCCTTCTCCCTCCATAAATTCTATAAATATATATAAATGCTCGCTCTTTCTATCTCTCTCTCTCACTTTGAACTTGAACAATTCAATTATGTTTATTTTTATTGCAATTTTATAGCTTTATTATGATAGCATTATTATTATTAATGGTTTCCGGTTGCTGCTGACGAGGCTTTGAAGAAAACGGCATTTTCTTTGAAATTTCCTCCCAGTGCCACGTGATAAATGATGTTATTCATAATTTTAGATAGACCTTAGTTTCACATTTTTAAACGTTCCATTTTCGTTCGGTTCACTTTATTTTTTGCGTTCGCTTAACATATTTTATCCCCGCTTAATAATGGAATGACCTACTTAGCTGAATTTTTTCCAGTTTCCATTTATTTTTCCAGTATTTACAATATATATTTCCTTTTGATTCGAATTCGAGCTAAAGCTTACTTGACATTACATTAAGCTACATACATATATCTCACGTTTTATTATATATTTTCAATTTTTTCAAATCGTAGAAACCTTAAAGTAAATTCAAATAATCCTTTTGTAATATACTCGTGACATTTTTATCCTCCCATAGAGTTCTTTGAGCCTTGAGAGCCTAGTTAAGTAATGTTAATTAGTTATTTAAGCAGAGTTCCTTGTCTAGAGTATAGAGACGTACTATATAATATAAGTAAGGAGATTACGATTTATTTCCGTTTTATAGTTTAGTTTTAATGAATCACGATTTTTGTTGCACCTTCGGCTTGAAGACTTTCTTTACCGACAATTCTGTCTGCATTGTTTGTTTCTCTTCTTTTCATTTGCATATATTTGCGGACTCCGAAAATCGCACAATAACCACACATATATACTAAATATATCTATATATATATATCTGTATATTGTTTGTTGTGTTTCGAAAAAAACACGCCCACAAACCCACACACATGCAACGATATTCTTCTGTTTCTTTGAATACAATCCAATCTACGTATTCTCCTCCGTGTGTACATTGGAATCATTGAAAACTCTAAAAACTTTGTATTATTTCCCCACAAAATAAAAACAACCACAAAAAAAATCAAATAAATTCAAAAAAAAAAAATTATATAAAGAAAACCACCCGATTTGGAACTTGAGGGTTTGTTCAAACGTCATTTTACCACCGTGGAGTTCTTCCAAGGAACCATTATGAATCCGATCGATCTGCAGAGGGTTAAGGTAAAACAAAAATGTATTTTCATTTTATCCGTTCCACTATATGTTCTATATGTTCGTTTGCCTTTCGTTCCTTACCGTTCATTTACCCGATTCCGTTCAGTGTACTCTCGTCTCGACCCGTGCGCTATGCTTTCGTTTATCATTATGAATTAACCGAGCCCCAGAATAAGCGTACTTACTACTACTACTTACTTACTTACTACATCTCTTACGTACCCGTATACTTATTTGTGTAACGAACGCTCAAAATGTAATTACAACCCGCCTATTAATCTATACCCCTGTACGTGTGTGTGTGTGTACTGTCTATCTACATGTACAAGCGATATTCGTGTAATACGTATACGTAATATGCATTTTCTGGTTTTTAGTTTGGTCAACAGCAACAGCATCACAGCGTTCATTAGTACATTCGTATTGGCCCCGGCACCTGAACATAAAACAAATTACACCAAAAATTTACACAAATAAACAAACTGTGAATAGCAAGTAAACAAATAAAGACGCAAAATAAATACTTAAACAGTACACACGGACACTGTAAATTGCTGTTGACATTGTTGTGTAAAAACATAAACGAATTCCATTGATTTATCCTTATTTTAAGCTGCATAACCTACAACATTAAAGTAAATGTAATTTCTTCTTTATGTATGTGCTAAGTATGTTATTGTAATTGCTAAGTTAATTGTTAACTGTATAGTTTGGATTACTAAATATTTGGCAAGTAACACAAAACAAAAAAATCGAAGAGCTCTAAGAAAATTGCTTATTGTTTATTCTAAAAATGCCATAATAGGTTTATCATATTTTGACATCAGTTTAGGTTTAAATAGCCTGAATATATTTTAGTTTCAAAATTTAATACAATTTAATTGGCAGAAGTATAAAATATTTATAATTAAACTATTGCTCAAATTGTATTATGAGGCATCTAAAATAATATGTTGATATTAAAAGCTGTCCCATTATTTTTGTCACATAAATCTCAAAGATTTTATAATTAAAACACTTCTAACAAGAAAGGAAACCATCTTCGGGAAGCCCGAGTATATAGCATATACCTTTTCAGTTTGCAATAGAATAATAGAATCGTATCGGAAATCGATCGTTTGATCCGATATTAATACATATTTTTATATGATCTTTTGTTTTTTTTTACATTCAAAGTTTACAAATCTCATAACTTAGCCGAAAATGTGGTAGTTTTTGTAAGGGGAATTATTCTGCATACTCAAACAAAAAATTTAAAAAATTAAGATTTTTAAAAATTTTAATGATGTAACCCCTTCAAAAATTTATTATTTGACCGGACATGACTAGATATATTCTGCTGTTGTTCCTGATCAAGAATATATATGATTTATAGGTTCGGAAATGACTCCTTCACCGCGTATTAAAATGTCAAATAGTAATTGGAGTATGTTTTAATGTATTTAATTATATTATTTACAAATCGTTTAATTTTGTTCTTAATATCTAAATTGGTTAGATAATTATATTTAGTTGAAGGTTATTGTGACATATCCTATCTAATAAGCAATTAGGGTTACATTTTTTGTGAAAAATAATTATCATCAGCTCAGTTAAATATGTGTAAACTTAAATATATTGTATAGTATGCCTCTATTAAGTACATGTCTTAGTCTGTAAAGTAAATATATATATCTATATCAGCTTAATCGATATCCTTTGAATGGACGCCTTTGAACGGCCTTTGCTAGTGCCATCGCTTGTCCTTGTAAAGTGCGATAACCATCGCATCCTTTGCATGCGAGCCGACTGCATGTATTTGATCAGATAATGATGCTTGTAATTAGTGCTAATCCGTTGTCCAATGCCCACTTGAGTTTGCTCTTCAGTTGTGCGGGGCTTTGGTATTTAATTAAGTTGTTTTGAACTGCACCGATCCCCCGCCGACACCCACAGCCCACTGCAATGCACCGAGCGTTCGCCTTATGATTTCTTATTGTGTCCTTAGTTTGGAGTTGAAACCGAAAGACTGTGTCCAGCAACCAAATCCACCCAACCAAACACCCAGCAACTGTACAACCGCTTATTATCTTCCTTTAAATACAGCCCCTAGTGGGTTCTGCTAATGAAATACTACTATTACTACTACTCCCCTTAAAGTACCCCAAAAAGAACCCTACTACGTACGCAATGTATATGCAAGATATGGCCTGGCCTCGATCCGAGCCAGATCGAACCAGGATCAAACCAAAAACCAAAACACTCACCTGTGGCATTTTAAGTACTCATACTCGTACCATAGTTGTCCAGTCGATGTGCGTGTAAACCGCTTACTAATTGTTATATTGTGGACAATGCTCTATACGTGACACCTCTGCAATATATATTCACAATAACAGTAACAATAACAATCACTGAACCATAACAAACTACTTTGAACAGTTCAACATAACAAAACTAACTCACATGAGACAAAACATCAAATGCCCATAGACATAGTCTGACCATAATCAGCTAACACCATTCACCTCACCACGATCCTTTTGCTAATCGATAACTTATCCATTTCTCAAACCGGAAACCGAAAACCGGAAACAGGTTCATGAAGCCGACGCCTGCCTTGTGCTAGCTAACAAATATTGCCAAGATCCCGACGCAGAAGATGCTGCCAACATCATGAGAGTAATCTCGATCAAGAACTACAGCGACGACATTCGAGTCATCATTCAGTTAATGCAGTACCACAATAAGGTGAGTTAGCTGAGGATTTTGTACACAAGAGTATTAATATAGTAAATATGCGTATACTTGATATTTAGGCGTACTTGCTGAACATCCCATCGTGGGACTGGAAGCAGGGCGACGACGTCATCTGCCTGGCAGAGCTGAAGCTGGGCTTCATTGCCCAGAGCTGCCTGGCGCCCGGATTCTCGACCATGATGGCCAACCTGTTCGCGATGCGTTCGTTCAAGACGGTAAGTGACGAGAGGTGGATGTTGTCGCAGGGCGACAAAGGCTCACCAATCAAAATACCAACGAAATACCTGACACAAGCACACTACTGGCGCCCAGTGAGAGAGAGCAGGCCGGAAGTTAGATATTTTTTTTCAGATTAACGATTTACAGATCCGCAGACATTGTACCATACTGTCCTGCCCCAAGGAGGCGCGCAATATATATATATATATCTGTTATATGTGGGGTGTACCTCCTGCCGTTTATATCAAATCAAAAATTGTCTCTATATTACGTGTCTTTAACCCCTAGTCGCCAGACATGCAGTCTTGGACAAATGATTACCTGCGCGGCACTGGCATGGAAATGTACACTGAAACATTGAGTCCCACATTTATTGGAATACCATTTGCTCAGGCCACTGAGTAAGTCACGCAGCAGGCAGTTTTCCAATTTTCCAACCATATGCTATATCCGTATTACTCGTACAAGCAACCAAAAAAATAAAAAACCAAAAACAAAATGAAAAAAAAAAACAAATTAAAAATACTATATTGTATCTACTACTACCTATTCTATTCTACTTGTTAATCGTGCAGCGTTGAACGAAAAATAAAAATACAACACCATGAACAACATAAGATATATCCGGCTCACAGGATAACATATCTCTATTTAGAAATTTTGCTTTAAATATATGATTAAGATCCTAGTAAAGTGCTTTCTGTGGGCCGGATGCAAACACCTCACAACTCTCACACACACCACAAGTGTACACACACATTGTTATTTGTTTTCACTCAGTTCGGATAGTCGTTGTAAAACTCTCTTCCGTTAATTGTCTTTTCATTTACCTTGAAGATCGATCGGAGATCCGGCACGTTTACACCGATGATCTAAGTGTTGCAACGTGTAAATGTGCCTGCCAATAAATAATGAACTTAGCTTATGATTTCGATTCTCCAAAACCAGACACACACACGAGACACACGAGTCCAGAGAACACCAACAATAAATACACTAAAAACACTGTGAAAATTAGTCGTTGTTTCAAGCAAATTCTTTGTGTAATTGAGTGTTCTAAGTGTTCAAACTGCCTTCAGTGTTTGCAAATACAAAATATATGGTTTCTTATCCTTCATTTTCAAAAGCAAACAAACTTCAAAGCTGCCCAGACAGTTCTATTGACATTCTTTATTTAAGGATACACACACACACACACACACAATACAAACAGACTCAAACCCACACATACACACACTCAATCGCTAAATGTATGGTATCTGTGTGAGCAAAGCGCTCCAAAAAATCTCTCTCAATATCTATCTGTATCTCAGTATAATAATAATATTTAAAAAAAAAAAAACAGTTCTAAGTTTTGCAGCGTGCATTTTAGTTTGTGATTTGATTTCCGTTTGATTTCCGTTTCCGTTCCCTGATGGTTTCCGTTTTGACATTTTGATTTCTGCTCATTTGACACACGTTCGGTTCGGTTGAGTCTTGATGCCACCCCCAAATGCTCGTGCCTTCTTCAATGCTGTAAAGTTCGCCAGAAAGTGTAAAGACAAAGCCAGAGATATGAAGCAGTATTTCTATGCCAAGCCAAAGCCAAACCAAAGCCAAAACCAAAACCAAAATCAAAGCCAGAGTATGCGTATGCAATGCCATGCCTGAAACTGACCCCCTAAGAAAACATGCACCAACCAAGAACAGCCACACACTCTCAGCACCGAATATCGCCAGCCAGCTGTTGAAAACAATTGTAGACCCAGCAGAGAGTCCCCCAACTCCCAGTTCCAGTACCAGTACCAGCTCCAGTTCCCGCTGTGAGATGTGTAGGATCTGGTCAGACGCTTGAGTCTGCCACTCAGTACTCCTGCCACCTGCCACACCAAACTGCCAAACTGCCAAACTGCCAAACTGCCAGACAGACAAACAAACAAACCTATGAATTATACCATTTAGTACAAACCGATAATGCGCCACGTAGTTACTTTAGCGAATCTACTAAATGCAAACCACAACAAAACCATTTTCTAACTTTCAGTCACCAGACACACAGGCCTGGCAAAATGATTATCTTCAAGGTACAGGGTGTGAGATGTACACCGAAACCCTATCACCTTCATTTACCGGCATGACATTCCCACAAGCCAGCGAGTAAGACTCTAAAATGAGACTCTAAAATTAGCGAAAACTTAAAAAAAATTATATGCAAACTGTATAAAAAATACTACTACTACTACTACCTACTACTACTACTTCTACTACTACAACCTTTTTGCATTGTACAAAATAAGTTTGTTTAACAATTCTTTTTCCTATTATTTACCAACTTGATTCAATTCCGTTTGATTTAATATCCTTCCTCATAATAACAACAACTAAACAACTGTTTGTCGCCTCTCAATCCCCCTCAAAAACTCAAATTCAACTCGCCCCCACCTCTGGCCATATATATACATATATATATATCTCGAATACTCAAAATCCATACTTAGTATCCACTGAAAGAAATATAATAAACTAGCCACCAGTAATCCCGAATCCACCAATAGTAATCGAACCGAAAACCCTCTCGAGGGCGAACGCATTGAACAACCTGTATTGTCGTATATCGTATATCGTATATAACTCTCCACACTCATTGTAATTGGCTCAAAAACCGTATTGAATCCGTAACCGTAACCGTAACTCTACAATCGCTTGCTAACCGAACTCAGCTCGCTGCGATTTGTAGACTCGTACACTGCAATTAATTCTAGAGACTCGTACACTGCAATTAATTCTAGAGAATCCCACCTGCCCCGGTCAGCGCTCACTTCCACAGAACAGCTCCACTTCTGACTCCACCCCGAACTCCCGAACTCATTGCATGTGCAGAATGTAACGTTTTTTGTCCCCCACCTAATTTTTTAGAGTGTACTCTAGTTGGCAATGGATCGCAGGTAGTGTTTTTGCTATCTGTAGCTGTGCTGCCAAAGGACTTTCATAAGATAATAAACAAAATATATTTAACAAGATAAGAAAAGAATGCCGAAGTTTATAGGATTATATCAAAAATAAATCAAATCGAAATTTATCATTATTTTTATTTGTACATTTTTTTCGACAAATTAAAGTTTAAAAATTTCATAACTAAGCCAAAAATGCATTAATTTCAATTCGAAAATCACTCTTATGTTAGTTTTTATTAGGTAAACAAATCTGCATACTCAATTTAGAATTTTAAGAAATTCAAATTTTTATCAATTTTTAATTTTTACCGGATATGGCTAGGTCGATTCGACTGATCATGCTGATCAAGAGTATAGATGATTTATAGGGTCGGAAATGACTTCTTCATTGCGTTTCAGGCTTCGGACTAGAATTAAAATACCCTGAAAGGGTTAATTAAGATTAATTTAATTATATTGTATGCGTATTTAAAAAATTAAGCTATTGATTTTAAATGATTTTAAATTGTGTATAAATGTTAACTCTACAGAATTCTGTGGTTCTTTTTTCAAATATTACAACTATGGCAAATGCACGAAGGATTTTATTAAAGTTATCCAAATTAGTTGTCGCAGAAAAGGATCCTTTGGCAGCACTGAAATGTAGTTTTTATTTATTTACAATTTTTACAATTTTACAATTTTTTAAATATTTTTTCTTAGTTTTACCTAAGCATTTTGCCAAGCATGCCAATTTTTTGACTCGTCAATCGTCGTCTTGATTGCTCTTCGTTTTTCGTAACAGTGTACGCTTTGAGAGCACCCACGAACACCGACACTTGAATACACTTGAACACCCCACCATACACACTCACACACAATCACTGACACCAAGTGCATGCCCTGTTTTTTGAGAGAGTTCGACTACACCTTTGTAGCATACTAAACTAGGTTCAATTTAATTGTAAAGCAAAACTCTAGACTAAGTTGAAGCCGAGTCTGCGAACAGGCACTGATTACCGCCCATCTTCCCCGCGTTTAGACTGTGCTTCTCCAAGCTGAAGCTCCTGCTCCTGGCCATCGAGATCAAGGGCGCCGAGGAGGGGGCGGACAGCAAGATTTCCATAAATCCAAGGGGGGCCAAGATCCAGGCTAATACGCAGGGTTTCTTCATAGCACAAAGCGCCGACGAGGTGAAACGGTAAGAGATTGTTTCTAAAAAACTAAAGATATTCATCGAATAGGAGATATAAATATTAATAACAAATGTACATATATATATATAATAATTTAAATGGATGATTTAAAAAAAATAATGTGCTGACCTTATAATTCCCACAAATCTTTACTAATATAATTATTATTCCTTTTCGTAGTGCCTGGTTCTATTGCAAAGCCTGTCACGAGGACATCAAGGACGAGACGCTGATCAAGAAATGCAAATGCAAAAACTGTAAGCATACTTGTGTACCGATTAATTCCGATCTAGTTCCTAGAGCATTTATGTATCAATGGACTTAATTTAACTTATACGTTATAAATTTTTTAATTTCCATATGTATTTGATTTGATTGTTTCTTTTGTGAATTTCGAATCGAATCGAATCCAGAGAATCGAATAAGCCAAACAGAAACTACTTACTTAATAATTACTATACCTACATATATAGGAGATTAACAGGTCGATTTTAGTTTGTAAGAGAAAAAAGGTCCTCTCTAGCGAGAGTTGAGGCAGATCCTAGATATAAGGCGTAAACTCTTCAGCTCGTATGAATATCAAGATATTTTAACACTCTACCATTACAACTATTCGTATATTTCTAAATATTTTATACATAAATATCCATGTTTTTATTATATATTTATTATGTATGTGTGTTGGCGCGTGTGGCCCTCGCTCGTCAATGAAATCAAAACCAAACAAAAACTGCAACAAAATCACAAAAAAAACTAACTATTTATAACTATAAACTGCTGGTACACCCCTCGCACACACACACTCACGCTGCTGTGTGGGTTGGGTGTGCCGCACCTGCGATGTGACATAACAAAATACAACCAATTAAACCAAATCGAATCGAATTTAATACCAAATAATACAACCCAATGCCATAACTTTGTCCCACAGTGACTGTTCAGCCCAGGAGCAAATTCGATGACTTAGGTAAATCAAGCAACAAACCGAATACCCCAAAAGAATAAAAGAACACACACTAATTTCCCCACAAAAAGCAGAACACTACAGAAACCAAACACACAACACACTTCTCAGTTTTGAAGTTTTATCCAAAATCCCAAATACCAATACCATTTTACCGCCGATTCCAAAATTACGATTTCAACTTTTGTATAAAGTACATTTTGCATATTCCCCTCCTCCGTTCCGTTCCGTTTCCTTTTTTAACAAAACAAAAGCGAAGGTCCTTGCTCCCGATCCGATCTTCCTTGCAGCACCTCTCACCTCACAATCAAGAGCACGACAAAATCAGATTTTCCTTTTGGTTTCCGTTGATTGTCATTATTAATTTTGAAGCGAAATCATTGGACTGCCCCCTAAGTGCTCCGCTCCTCAGCTCAGCCCAGCCCCCCGCCCGGCCATAATCGTTTCCGATATCATAACCACCTATATACTTATATATATATATTATATATGAACAACGAACAACCATATCCGTCCTCCTGCCCGTTTATCTTGCCCACGTGCAGTTCTATTTTGGTCACTGTTTGTTTTGACATGCGCCTCTTTGTAACCCACGAAGTAACAGTTAACCACACCCACCCACACCCACCGTATAACGATTAAGAAAATATATATATCCCCCCATACATCCGAAGGACTACGCGGCGAGGAGAAAGCCAACCGAACATAAAGTACCATTGACCTTGTAAATATGTTTGTGCGATATGCAACCCCAGTTCTTTGATAACCTATACTACTACCTATGTACCTACCAGCCACAGTCAACCAGCAAGAAATGTTAACCCAAAGTCTGCGCTTTTTCTTTAACCATCACACAGCCCATTTAGAGTAACACCAAGATAGTTGACACTTTCGATTTTGTGTTTTGTGTTTAACGGGGCGTATGCGTGATGCATTAGCCCGACAATGGGATCATGCCGGAAGCGAAATACAAAGGAGTTGCAAACATTAGTATATACAGGGGCCACTTAAAGTATTATATTTCAAAAGACTCTCTTTAAATCTTTTTTGCCGTCAAACTTAAAGCTTTGTATTTCATTATGAAGGCATGACCACAATCTTTTCCATTCGTATTCTTAATAAACTTCATTCCCATTGACAAACCTCTCTTTTGATGATCAAGTTTTTTAAATTCCAAATCAGAAATTGCACCATTTTTTTAAAAAGTCTGTCTCGCTAATCCTCGCTCTTGCTCTCTCTCTCTATCTATCTATATCTCTCTCTGTCTGTCTCTGTAACTCCCTCTTAATATTTGTACTTTATACTTATGTGTTGAGAATAATACCCTTGAACAAAATAAGTGCATGGAAATGAGCACAAGATTCAGTTTACATTTTATATCACAAACATCACCATACCGAATTAATACTAAAAAAATATACTCTCTACTTTTCGATCAATTTTGACTCACTTTTGCAGCATCCAGCTCTAATTTTAATACTCTTCCTAATACCTATGATTAAATTACGTTTAAATACTTAACGGTAGACCTAAGTTAATGAAATGCTGCGCCGCCCTCACGAATCCCTCTTATAAAAACACACACTCTCCTTTGATTTGTGTTCTTGGCGTGGCACTTACCACCTCACTCACCAGATCTCTCTCTCTCTCTCTGTACTTATATTTATCTACTTTACTATAATTAATATTTAATGCGAATTGTATATAATCGAGAGTAGCTGCAGCAGAGAGTGTAAATAACATTAGAGCAGGCTCCTGGCAGAAGCGTTGCCAGGGAATAACTAACCTTTACGTATTTGGTTTCTATGTAGCGTAACACCTAAAACAACTCTACTTATACTCTGTGATCTGAATCTTAATCTGTAAACACCCAACTTAGCTGCAAATGTTCTCAAGTAGTTAGTAAGTTTTGCCGAGTTTGCGTTGCCTGCGTTATGGCTTTGAAGCGGCGGAACGGGATCCATCTGGCAGCTGATAAATAAATCTGAAATCGCAGTTCGCAGTTCGCAGTTTGCAGTTTGCAGTTCGCATTTCGTAGTGCCTAGAGCTTAAGTTTGTGAACCACTCCCGATCCTGTGTTATATCGATATCTAAACTATATATATATATACAACATATATGCATTTATGTGTGTGCCTGTGCGAGTGTCTACATGAATACCGATCTTGCAGATGTGGGCATGATTATGATGCAGACGGGCATGGTCAACCAAGGCATCACGTCGGTGATGAATACAATGGAGGGTACGCTTTCAAAACCATTTCCACAAAACGAAACAACAAAAAATAATAATAATAATTTGCGATTTTCGGCGCTCTATCCAAAACTATTAATATCACCTTATATTTTACCCAGCCAAAAGACTTATTCGTTGCTGCTAATCCTAACCTAATCCTAAACCTAAAATCAAGGAGCGATGGCCAAATCCGTCTTTAAAATACTATAACTTTATTGTTATATCCCCAAAAAATGTCCGTTTAGTTTATTATAACTTAAAATATTTAATACCTTTGTTAAATAACGTATACAATGATAATTAATTGAAGGAAACTTGGTGTAATTTGTGTCTTTACTTTTGGCAGTCTTTAAGTGTTTAATATCTTCCTGATTAAATAAAATCTTAAATGACTTTTGGCTATCGCTTTTTAAGATTTGGCTGGCCAAATTGTTAATTAAAAATTAGCTCATCCCTAATTAACTAATTGAACGTGGAAACTAAATCAACATTACTAAATTGATGTACATCTGTCAGCGTTTGTGTGCCTTAGTTAATGCTAAAATCCATAAAAAGCTCCTAGCCGCTAAATGCCAAAGAATCCTGCGAAGTATTCCAGTATAAAGCTGGGATGCTGGGAATATAATATTTGGGTACAATGGGAAAAGGGTTCGAGGGAACCGGGGGATTAAGGATCAAATTTAATTGCGATAAAGTCGGGTTCAGTTTTAGTTAAGAGCTCAGTTCAGTTTGTACTTCTGCTCCTGCTATCGCCACTATATCGTTCTCTCTATCGTACTCAGTATAAATATAACATACTTAATATATATATTACATAGAACTAAATTAGTCTTTCAACGATTTCTGGTTTGGTTCGCCCGATGCGCGCATAATGTCATAAGCAGAAGCATATACTTAGTATATACTCTCAGTATACATTGCATATATCTATTTATAATCATAAACTACATACCACATATGAATATATCTGCATATGTTTATCGAAAGTTCAAGTACAACGTGTGCCGTGCGATTTACTTATGATTTCTGTTATAGCGTACTTTAGTTCCTTATACTTTATATATTCTCATCATTTTGTTGAATGATGTTCCAATGATAATAAGCAGACGAAGACTGCGAGAAGATGAAGATGAGAATTATATTGAAATCAACAATCATTACCTTGCCATCATTTACCTATTCACACGAATCCTATAAAATTCTGTTTTCATGAAACAAAAACAGTGGCCACCTTCCGGAAAGGCGTCCGAGCCGTACAAATGGTTGGGCGTGCAAGTACGTATAACTTACTCTACTCTCTCACTCTCTCTCTCTCTCTCTCTCTCTCTCTCTATCTCTATCTCTCTATCTCTATCTCCTGTCTCTGTCTCCTACAACTACTACTACTTCTAACACTACTACAATTACTGTAACCGAATAAGCACACGAACATACATTCCATGAAAAGACTATAAAAAAAAAACACTTGCGTTGGGGTTGCCCCAGAAATCTTTAGAAATTTAAAAAAGCCTTAAAATTATGTTATAATTTCTTTAAAATATCTCAGCTAATCAGTGAATCTCTAGGGATTTTCTGCGGCTTCCCTGATAATGAATTTCAATTGGCAAACCAAAATTTTCCATTACATCAGCCCTAAAGACTTTCGCGCTTATATCAGTTTTTAAACGCCAAACTAACTAAACTAACTATCAAACTAACTCTAATTGCTATTGTTAAGCTGCATTTGCAATTCAGCAACAAAAAAAAACAGAACCAATCGAAAGCCAAGCCAATCAATCAGGCAGCCAAACAATCGAAAGTCAATCAATTGTTGTCAGTTCACAGAAACAGCCACACAACAACACACACAGCCCCTGAACCCTGACCCCTGACCCCTGACCTGACCCTAGCCCAAAACCCCACCGCACACATACCACACACACACCACACACAACACCAACAGCCACACACATGTTACGTTTCTACTCGTTCGTTCTATAGTAATTGTGTACTTTTTCGTAACCAACTTTAAACTTAGTGTGCGTGTGAGTGTGTAGTAAAGTCAAGAGCTAACCGAACTTTGAGTCCAACCAACCATTCGAACTATCAAAAAATTTGAATACCAACATATTCAGAAAGCATTCACTCGCTCGATTTCGTATGTAATTGTTACTACATGTAGCACCCACACGTCGCCGAGTCGGTGTGTGAATAACTCATACTCTACATACTTATCGTACTCGTACTCGTATCTCGTAAAGTATATTTTGTACAAACGTTAACTACTACTACATATATTCTATTGTACCGTACCGTATCTATCGTTTAACTATCGTATCGTATATCGCATCGTATCATGTCGTATAGTATCAAGATATATCGTATCGTTTTACTCGTGATACTTTTACAAAATCAATCATGTATCTTAGACAAATATTTCAAATACTCTTTCTATATGATATATACCCCCCACACACACACACACACTCCAAAGAACACGACACACCAAAAGGTTCAGGATCTGAACCAAAGACACTATATACTACAACCACATCTCTGTAAAATATATAAACTCGTTCTTCTTCTACGCCCGGAGCCATGTTCCTTTCTACTCGTACTCGTATAATATATATTTCAAATTTGTAAACCTATCATCTTTCTATTGTACTCCCCCCGAACTCCCTATCAACTACTACAACAACAATACTCCTATTTATATGTCTCTGTGTGTGTGTGTAGAAGACGATGAATACTCGTTGTCAAGTAAGTCAAACTAACTCAAAATGTTGTATAACCATTAAAAAAAAAAAAAAAACCAAAAAACCCTGATCAAATTCCCTCCTACTATATCTAAATCGCATTTGTACTCGTACTCGTACGTCTAAAAACATTTCGTTAATTATTATTTTACCATTTTATTAGAGCAGTTCTTTGAGAAATTCTTTCCATACTTTCTTTCTACGGTGTGCCAGTGCACGTTTTGTTTTTCTTTTCAGTTCTCGTGATTTGTATTGTACCTCAAAATCGTTTTTCTTTTGTCTCTCTCTCTCTGTCTCTCGGAAGGGAGATCCCCGTGAAATTAGACTTAAATTATCATATAAGTTATTATTTTACCATAAATATACATAAACCAAACATGAATATAAATGCAAATGACTTGAGAAAGCAAAGCAACTGAAGCCAACAATTAGAGCCACAATCAATCACTCGAAAGAAATTCAAAATCAATATAAAATAAAGCGGCAATCAAGCAGATAGCCCTCCTTCCCCGCACACTGCACAATAGATCATAGATCATAGATCTTAGGGGGAAGGGATTGGATTAGCTACCAAAGATATCAGAGATATATATACAAATTCCAAATTCCACGCAGTTAAATTGCTGAAACAAATAAATAATCGCTAAGCTCAGAAGTTGGGGCTGACCTTAGATAGATGCAACTTGTAGTTGGAGCGATCGTGTTTAAAGTGTTCCTCTTAAGTGGGTGTTAGAGCAGTCCTAGCAGTCTAAGTATTAAATGCTTCATTAATCGGATACTGACATCCAGATCGAGCCTAAGCTAAACAGCTAAACGAATATATGTTGAATAATCTGTTGCTACTCAGCTTGTAATCCGCACCTAGTCAGCGTGTTGCTTAAATAATGCTTCAAGCTTTAACCGATTTGGTTTGTATAACCCGATACCGATACCAACACCAAATGCTTGCCTAGCCTTGTTTGTACCTATTTATATATATATATATATGTATCTGTTTGTATTATGTGTAAAATAACCATCACAAGTTCCGTTCCAAACTCATATTTATTTGCATGTTTTTCTCCGATATTAATCTATAAAGCAAATACCCTAAAATGAATCCCGAAAGCCATCCCCCGACCATCTTGAACACCTTTCGTTCAGTTTCAGTTTCCGTTTTGATTTGGTTTGATTTCTTTGTCAGGTTTTCCTGGGTTTCCCCAAGAGTCAGACTAATTTCACTATGATTTCCTCTCGAATTTTTCAAATTTAATTTACAAACAAACCAAAACTTTTACCGCTTCAGTTCTTACAAAAAACCAAACACAAATCCCCCTTAAAAAATAAATGAAAAAAACAGAACCAAAAACAAACGAATTTGTTGTATATTCAAAAGCAATTATGAGCTTCACATAAAAAAAAGCTTGACATATAAAAAAAACACAAGAAATGCATACACAACGAATCTGATTTACCGAGCCGTGCCATAACGAACCAAATATTTTACAGATGAACACCATCCTGCACCCACATTTACGCCTCCAGAGCTACCCAAGCGGGTGCATGTGCGTGGATCTGTCTCGGGTAAAGTCTCCTCCTCCAATCGTGCCACTCACTTGCAAATATGTATCAGTATCAGTCAGAAGCTCAGAAAGGGTTTTTTGAACGCCAGATGACAGGTCGATTGATAGGTCGATCCCGACCCACACCTACTCGAACTCGTACTCGTACTCGTACATTATCCAACCAGATTTCGTTTCATTTTGCCTTGGTTTGCTTTTTCCCTCAGTTGTCAACGTAAAAGAGTATCCAATCCAGTCGATAAAATATGATAACTGTTTAGCTATTCGTTTGCATAACTATGTTTTTGCGTTGATTATTGAACCAGAACTCGTTTCTCTGCTAATGTAACTCGTTAATGTAACCTATCTAAGGAACTGCTATAATATATCTCCTATAACCTAACAACTAACTAATCGAACCCATATTGATGTCTATCTAAAGCATTCTTTACTTACCATACTTATTTGTACACAGCACCCAGTGTGCCCTTCGTTTTTAATTGCATAACCGATCGATCTGCTTGTTACCAACCAAAAAAACTATTTATTTCTTACTGTCGCAAGTCACATACACGAGATGACACAACAATAAAAAAAACCAGAACTAAACCAAACCAAATGCAACATGCAACACGCGGCTCAAAAATACCTTTCTTGAATTAACTTTGACTAATACTTAAAGCCAAAATGAGTATCTCTTCACACTCTGACCAGTGCGTCCAGGCCGGGCCAACTTACTAATCGATTGACCTCTGCTCTTGTTCTCTGATCTCTTCGACTGCCGCCGAAACGCTTCCGCGAATGTTTCCGCTACCTGTTACCGCCACTGCCACTGCTGTCCATCGTCCTGCCACAGGTGATATCACACGTGACAGAGAAGATACGAATCGTAAGTTTAACCCAGACTAATCTAAGCTTAAGATAGGGCTTTGTAAAGATAATTTAAACAAAACGATAAATGTATATGTATGGAATAGATGGAGGATCCTAAGTGTGCTTTAACTCCTTGTCCTTACAGTACTCAATCGCAATGTGCGCCGTCCGAATGGCACTGGCAACGGTACAGGTGCCATGCACCACATGAACAACACTGCGGCAGCTGCCGCCGCTGCCGCTGCGGCGGGCAAGCAGGTGAACAAGGTGAAGCCCACGGTGAACGTGAGCCGGCAGGTGGAGGGCCAGGTGATATCGCCATCGCAGTACAACAGGTGAGTGCATATGCCCAGGCATATGGCGGGGAGCTGTACATACCGGGAGGGGAGGAGAAGGAACATGCAGGAGGATCTATTACCATATAGATGTTGTTCACATTTTAACAGCACTCTGTTCAGTTACGAAATAGCAAAGCAAAGTCGGTAATCGAGCAAAGAGCAATGAAAACTCAATGAAATACAACACTTCTTAGGCCTACCAGCTGCATCAAATATGATTTTCCACTTTTACGTTGCCTTTTTGAACAAAGTTACAGCCAACAGCAAAAACGATATTGAAACCAAAGCAAAACCCACACACACTTGATTCAAGTTAATTTAAGTTAAGTTTTTACCCAACACACAACACAGTGAACAATGAACAATGAACAAGGATGATGAACGATGAGGGTCTGAGGAGTCCTGGGAGGTCAGCCTTCCGGGTTCCTTGCGCCCATGTAAATGCTCTTTAACCAACTAATCCCAACACCTCAACTAATTGTCTCACTCACCTGCTCACCAACTCGAAACTCGATACTCAAAACTCAAGAAAAGACAACCAAAACCAAATACCAAAAACCAACTAATTACTTTTAACCAGTCTAAATGTATAAAAACGAACAACATTTTGTTTCAGGCCACCAGAGAATGATGCTAACCCTTATGCGGGCTATCAACTTGCTTACGAAGTTAAAAAGCTCATGTATGCGTCCATAATTTCCTAGAATTTTAACTTACGAACTCTATCAACTAAAAACAAAAAAAAGCCAAAAAGCCTTTTTTAAACTATACCTTAGTATTCGTTAATACTTAATCTAACTACATTTTATGCGCATTTTGTTTAACACACATTGATATATTGATATATTGATTGATCAAAGCTATGCCATTCCATCCAATACGCGTACTAAACCATAAGCGAAACTTAACCAAACCTGTGCGTTACTGTCATGTCGCTGTCTTCTGTATCTGTGCCTGTGTCTGTATATGTCTGTGTGCTGTGTGCGTATGTGTAGGTGTTTGAGCGTGTGTGTATGGGTACGCCCCGTGATAATTTCGCATCCTCTAAACTATAAACTAACCCCAGCATAACTAATCGCATTCATCAATCATTCTCTGTCTACTAACATCTGAGGTCTCCACTCAACAGCAGAGTGTGTGTGTGTACGCGCCTCTAACTAACTATATACTTAATCCGTACTAACTTTAAAAGGTCTGCTTTGAATTGATCTTATTTGCTTAAGCAATTTTTCTCATCTTATTAAGATAAGATATGATTTTTCCTAGTCTACAAGCTCTGTTTCAATTTTTGTAAAAAGTGTAGCATACTTTTTTGGGCAGGCTGATCCTTCTTCAAGTTAATTTTTTTGACCCATGCAGGATAGTATAATTTTAGTCCGAGTCATTTCCGACACTATAAACCATATATATTCTTGATCAGCATGATCAGCCGAATCGATCTAGCTCTGTCCGGTTGAAAAATAAAATATTCCAAAATTTCCCAAATTTTCAAAATTTTATAAGGGGTTACATCGTTAAAATTGTCAAAATTTGATAAAAAATTTAATTTCTTACACTTTAAAACTCAGTATGCAGAATTGTTAGCTGTATAAAAACTAGCATAGACCAGTTGTCCGAATTGAAATTAATGCATTTTAAGCTTAGTTATGATATTTTGAATAACTTCAATTTACCCAACAAATCCGCATATTAAAATGTCGATTTTACAATAAAAATAAAAACAATAAAAAAAATGTAACCAAAAGTAGCTGACTTTGTGCAAACACAAAAGCTTTCCAAATTAAAATTAATGCATTTTTGGTTTAGTTATGATCGAACACATAAACCTATGGGTAACTCAAAGGGTTTACAAACTTCGGGTTCTCGAAGTTAGATTCATTTCTTTTTAACTATTGATTAATTGGTCTTAGAGCTTGAGAAGCATACATATTTTCAATCTCAATAATCGCCCATATCCTGCATTCTCTCTATCTATCTACTATATCTTTCTCTGGATCATTTCCACTTGAATTACAATATAATTGTTGTGTGTGTGCGTTCTTTTGTGTTCATCTGTGTGTCAAAACTTGCACCCGTGTACCATATGTATATTTAAAATCTTTCTTTAAAATTACACCAAAACAGACTTAAGTATATTGTAGATACAAAACTGACCAATCCGGCGGATATGGAGGGTGATGGTTCGGTCATTTGTGGCATCTCCCTGGCGCATGCGAGCACCTGAATCACAAATAGAACACCTAGAGGGAGATAGCCGGCCACTAAGCAACACTTTTAGTATAATATTATTATATTATTTATTAAGCGATCCACCCCTCAGCACCGCCGGACGGCAGAAAGAGCATTATGCGTAGTGAAATTATTCAGTTTTTTTTACTCAACAAAGTTTGTTGTTCGCCTTCATTTCAAGACTTTTGTTCTTAGCACATGACCTTCTCTCTATCTGTATCTCTAACTCTTACTCTTACTATATTCTTTCCATTCTTACTATTTCGTGTATCTTTGTAAATGTAAACTCTCTTAAAACTATCTTTAACTATATCGTATTTGAGATCACATTTTTAATTCAATATGCTCCAAGTACTCGTACTCGTATTGAAAGTATTTCTCACATCATTTTTGAACGAAACACGTACTCGTAGCGTTTCCGATGAACACTTTGCATTTGGATGTAGCGTTTGTTTTTTTGAATTGGTTGATAATCAGCATATGCAAGTCAAAAGTTGAATCGAAGTAAACCCCATTAAGAACGAATCGCCCGATCGTCGCCAGCACAGACCGCCGATGGCTAACACCCAGTCTCTCTCTATATCGATCTACTTGCATCTAGGCCGACGAGTCGCAGCTCCGGCACGGGTACACAGAATCAAAACGGAGGCGTCTCATTGCCAGCCGGCATTGCGGACGATCAGTCGAAGGACTTTGATTTCGAGAAGACCGAAATGAAGTACGACTCGACGGGCATGTTCCACTGGAGTCCGGCAAAGAGCTTAGAAGACTGCATACTGGTAAATCCCTTTAGTAGATTCAGCATTGGAACTATTTAGTGACTCACATTTCTCTGCAGGATCGCAACCAGGCGGCCATGACCGTACTGAACGGCCATGTGGTCGTCTGCCTGTTCGCCGATCCCGATTCGCCGCTGATTGGGCTGCGTAACCTGGTGATGCCGTTGCGAGCGTCCAATTTCCACTACCACGAGCTGAAGCATGTGGTTATCGTGGGCTCGGTGGACTACATCCGGCGCGAGTGGAAAATGTTGCAGAACCTGCCCAAAATATCGGTGCTGAACGGCTCACCGCTGAGTCGCGCCGACCTGCGGGCGGTCAATGTCAATCTGTGTGATATGTGCTGCATCCTGTCGGCCAAAGTTCCTAGCAACGATGACCCCACGCTGGCCGACAAGGAGGCGATCCTCGCCTCCCTAAACATCAAGGCGATGACCTTCGACGACACGATCGGCGTGCTGAGCCAGCGGGGCCCGGAGTTCGACAACCTGAGCGCCACCGCCGGCAGTCCCATTGTGCTGCAGCGGCGAGGCTCAGTCTATGGTGCCAATGTGCCCATGATAACAGGTAAACTGCATCGCACTAAGTTGGCCGAGTTTGCGAACGACCGAACGAATGTGAGGCTGGCCAGGGTAATGCTAAATGGGGGTTGAGAATTCGGCAGAAGATACTTGATGGAAAGTGTCCAGAAATAAGGGAGTTTTGAATGAAGGTTCCATGGTTAGGGTCCTTGAATGGTGTCCTTGCATGTGACCTTTATAATTAATATTTTGTTTAGATGAGACGTTTGTGAGGGGGGTAAAGGGAGTTCTATAATTAAGATATCGGGATAACAAGGGTCTGCAAAATACTGATTCCAAACTGAGAACTCCAAAAGACAGACTTCAGATAAAGGCATCTATAATGAAGATTTCAATTAAGGATTGGGGAACAATTATTGCAGTTATGAATCTTTGAAATAGGTATTTGTACAGGACAGTAACTAAGTAGAGATTTAAGTGCAGGTTTTTCCTGGCCAGCTTCACCCGCCTCCCTCGAAAGCGGTTGAAGTGTGCGCTCTACTAATTGCTCTCACATGTTGGTTGTCGTTTAAAGAACTGGTCAATGATAGTAACGTGCAGTTTCTCGATCAAGACGACGACGATGATCCAGATACAGAACTATATCTGACGCAGCCATTCGCCTGCGGCACAGCCTTTGCTGTGAGTGTGTTAGACTCGCTGATGTCCACGGTAATGTCTCGCTCCAAAGTCTCCTGGGACTTGTCTTGCCTTACTACAACTTCATATACTTAATTATTTTTGATTTATTGCCCCCGAATAGACATACTTCAATCAAAACGCCTTAACGCTGATCCGCTCACTGATAACGGGCGGTGCCACGCCCGAGCTGGAACTGATCCTGGCCGAGGGAGCTGGCCTCCGAGGAGGCTACAGCACAGTGGAGAGTCTGAGCAATCGGGACAGGTAAATTATAGTACATAATAAGTATATAATTTCAGGTCAGTAAGGAATACTTTCCCGCATATAGTTATGATAGTTTCTTGTATAGTTTGTAATGTATTAAAATTCTTATTCTTACCAGATGTCGAGTGGGTCAAATCTCGCTTTACGATGGCCCCTTGGCTCAATTCGGAGAGTGCGGCAAGTACGGAGATCTATTCGTGGCCGCACTCAAGTCTTACGGAATGCTGTGCATCGGACTATATCGGTTCAGGGACACCAGCTCCAGTTGTGATGCGAGCAGCAAACGTTATGTAATAACCAACCCACCCGATGACTTTTCACTACTGCCAACAGATCAGGTGAGCGATAAATCATTACATCAGATCAGATCAATAAGAATTCTTGTACCTTGAGATATAAGTGACTAAATATTTACTCATAAAACCTCCTTCCAGGTATTCGTTTTAATGCAATTCGATCCGGGCCTGGAGTACAAGCCGCCAGCGGTACGAGCACCGGCCGGCGGACGCGGCACCAATACACAGGGCTCCGGGGTCGGCGGGGGCGGCTCGAACAAGGATGATAACTCTTGATTGTTACTGTGTAGCGCCTTAACTGATGGTCCTTATTCGTACATTTGAACGATGGAGAAGCTAATCGGATGCAGAGCAGCGCATTGGTGTCACTCACCTAACTATTATCTAACCATATTGGCCTAAGATTCACCCACAAAAAAAGATAGGGTAAAAAGACATAATTGTTTGTACCATGTACAAAGAAGAAAGAAATTTGAAATCAAAAGCGATTGTTATTAACAAGTTAGAAACAAACTACCAGAGAGAAAATCCTGAGTGCCATACAATGCGTTGCTCTGCCCTTTTATGTGTGTGAAGGCATGCGGCCCGGTGTTTTGTGTCCATCCCAACTAACAATCAAGAGACAGCCCCAAGCCAGAAACCACTGATGGCCAGAAGAGCAACTTTATCAGCAGCAACCAAAGCCAAAGTCGACGGCAGGGCCACCTGTCTTCGCACACATAAAAAGCTAGTTCAGATCGGGGCCTTTAAGATCCACAGCCCCGATGTCCATCGTTCAACTGCCAACTGATTGCTTCCCACATCATTCCGTATGCCTTTTTAGAACCTTGAAAATTATCATCTATTGTTATCTATATACCTTTAAATCTTACTCTACATTGGTTTATCTTGTATCCTTTTGTTTATCTTTATCTTTATCCATATTATTTTGTAATCGACCCAATAAATATTATTATCATTTGAGTTTTTGGTTTGGATTTTTACCCCGACTTTAGTTTCTTTCCAAGCAACAATCATTAGTTATTTCTATGGGTATGTATCTTATGTTAGATATCATTTACTCTTAAGAATCGTTTCACTTACATTTACATTTAAACGTTTACATTTTGAGTTCAGTTCATGGCGCTATCATTGCATAAGAACCAATTGACAAATTGAATTCTAAACGAAAATCCATCTCAATGGTGTGACGTAAGCAATTGGGAACCATTAGTGAGGTAAGCTACACATTAAACAAGAAAAAAAACAAGCTAATCAAATCAGCCACACTGAGCGAAAGAAACTACCAAGTACTACTAGGTCTATGTACTCTCTCATGTCTCAAAATCTTTCTCTGAGCTGCCGAAAGCGGCCACAACAAACAGCAACAACTACGCAACAATTCCACACATAATTTTACACATTTAAACACGACAATTAAACTGAACACATTGCGTGAGATACAGATACTGAACACGAGATACAGATACAAAGACAGCTACAAGATACAAGATACAAGGCAATGAGGCTATAAGCAAATGTTGTGCCAGCATAAGAATTCAAAAACTGCATTTAGAAGATTCTGAGCAAGCGCAAAACGATTTATATAGAGCAGAGAGCATATTGTAATCATATTAAACTTTTAAAGTAAACGAACACAAATATCGATTATCGATTAACAATTAACGACACTTAAAGCCAACAATCTGCTAACTAATTCGTAGACCTAAATGCAAATACAAAGCTCTACTTGGTCCTTTATCAAAGCAAAACCAAAGCAAGGTGAAGCCAAGCAAAAGCAAATGAATTACACTTAACTAGAGGAATCTCAGCTTTTTCACTCGACACTCAGTCAAGTCGTCAAATTTGCTAATTCTAAATTGAAACTTCTTACATTCGCATCTCTACATACACACGAAAAACAAAAAAGTAAAAACTAAATGCAAAGTGAGACGAGAAACTCTGTAAGTAGCATCCTTATACCACTAATTATATATATATATATATATATATAGAGGACACCGAGACCGACACATCTATGCTGGAATATAGAGTGCGGGGACGTGAAAAGCTGATGACAAGTGTAGTTAGTAATATTTTTAGTGTATGTGAATGTGTGCGCTTTTTACCAGCGATTTACGAGCAGCAACTGTGGTGTTCTAAACAAATTTTGATAGATACAAAATCGGTAACCAACAAAAAAACAAAAATGGCGACATACGTTATGTTTCTTTCTTCAACTATATTTCACCGACTTCTTCTACAATATAACTTCTATAAATCCTTCACGCACTTGCGCTCGAAACGCCGCCAAAAGGGAACGCTTTGTTTTTTGTACATAGCCTGTAAATATGATAAGAAGTATCTCGAATATACGTTATCCTTATCCCTTGATTCGTTTAAATCGTGTATCTCGTGCTGTTTCGTTTTGCTGTTCAAGAGTTATCGGTACCTACATTTTGTAATTTGTTCAAATAAATAAACACTGCCAAAGCGTATAGAAATCACATTAAATGTAGATCAGACAGCAGACAGCATTCATTCGAAAAAAAAATAATGGAAAAACCAAAAAAGCGTAACAAGAAAATGGCACAGAACAGCATTAAATGAAAATGAAAAGCGATTAACGACTAATGATAACTGGTAAATGAGTTTGTTTGTTTCCATACACAAAATGATTAGCGAATAACAAATTTAAGTAAAACGAATTCGAGCTTTTAAAATTAATATGATGGAAAAGAAAACCAAAGATATAAAAACAGTTGATAAGGGAATGCGAATAAAGAAGGACGGATTTCCATTTCGGTTTTATATACTTATATTTGATTTGTAGTGGATTTTTGTGTAGCCTAGGCTTACCCACAACGTAAAGATTTAAAACAAAAAATATGTGAATATTATGCGCCTTCGAAATTTATGTAAACGTGTATGTAGCCGTGCAATGTGAGAAACATTTAAACTCCATTTAAAGTAAACTTAAAGCTAATGGTAAATGGTAAAAGGTAAACGTAAACGTAAACGTAAAAGTAAACGTAATGGTAAACGTAAATAGTCAAGTGTAAATGTTAACGAATCGAGAGCATAGCATAGCTTAGCGTAATCATAAGACGACTAGATATCGCGACGAGCAGTTCATATATTGTTAACGGTAAACGATAAACGATATAAATTATATATAGTAATTAAATCGACAAACAAAACGCATTTGCAATCCTAATATAAAGCGAGATAAATAGATGAGAGGCGTAGCAGAAACCCAAAAGTTAAACATAATTTTTAAATGAATAAAACTAGTTATTAAATTTATAGAAAATCCCCCCACTCACACACAAAGCTACACGAATACATATACTAGTACACACCCACACACACACTCGACAGCGATGAACCCCAACAAGAAGAACAAAATGAACTCTCGATGTTGTGAAACTTGATAAAATCATGTTTACGCTATAGCCGATCTACATACATAAAGGAAATGCAAATAAAATACATACTCAGCCACAAAAACCGAAACTAACGACAAATGAAAATGTGTATCCAAAAATATAGAAGAGATGATGAAAATCCTGCAGACAAAGCTGCCCTTTCCCATTTTGGATAACTTCGCTTGTTTCAAAACTTTTCACCAGTTTTCCCACCATATTCACGAGCAGCTTTGTTCGCAAAACAAAATAATATATATACATATATACACCATGCATATATATTAATTATGTCGCATAAAACTACTCAATGCCGTATAAACTAAAATGTAAGAGTAAAGGTTTTTGTAGAAAATTCGTCAATAAAAAGCCAAAAAAATATTAAAATAAAATATATTATCATACTCGTAAATGTGAAGCTATGCAGCATTTTACTGTAGTTAGATTTTTTGTATAGAATCAACGTTCGCAGCTAAAAAACCAAAAACGAAAATCAGAAAACCAAAAACTAATATGATAATTTTACAGGTTTAAGGCAGCAGCAGGAGAAAAATGTTCATTTTTTTAAGGAATAAAGATATTACAACCAAATATCATAATTAATATAAAAAATAGCAAATAAAATCCACAAAAAAAAATCGAAAAAACGAAATGAAAAAATATTTTTTATAATTTCGCAGCACTTTCACATGATACCCGCACACCTATACACATCCCATAGTGTGTGCTAAAAAATTGTATAAATTATGCAAGCCCAAAAAAAAAATGCAAATCATATATTATTGACGACATTATTGTAGTTTAATTTTTTAGTTTTTACTTGCTATTTATATGAAGTATATTTACACAACGGGAAAAGTAAATGTAGACATAATTAAAAAACGTAAAGCGATAAAAATCATTAATTTATATTAAAAATAATAAAAAGGAAAATAAAGAAACCGAAAATAAACCAAAATCAGAGCGAAAAGCATTAATGACAAATTAGTTTAGGCTAAAGCGGCCCCGAAAAGGGCAACAAAACAAATAACAAAATAAATAAAATTTTTAATAACAAATTAAAAGCTAAATGCATATTTTAAACATTTGTCTAAAACGCAACCGAAAAGAAAAACAAACAAATGATAAATGTATGAAATAAAAGGTATAATAATAATATTATGTTGTTAATGTTTAAAAAACCTTGTTAAAAATAATATTTCAAAATAAAATATAAATACTGAAAAAAATACATTAAAAACTGGAATTTTTGGCTGCGTTACGAAAGTGAAATTTTGAGTTATGGCCGAAAAGTTTGGGCCGACAAAAATATTGACCCACATAAGGCCGGGCGCTATAAAATTCCAATGACCAATTGCGTTTAGAAATTGGGCATCGCGCCCTGCATAAAATGCCGCCAATTATTTACACTTGGGAGCGTTTCATAAGCGCATAAGGCTCATTATCATCCAAGGGCCTTGGCTATAAAGCGAAAATAAGTGGACAAGTGACTTGAGCTCAAAGGGCACTCTGTGGGCTATGGAAAATGCATGCCTTTGTTTTTTAGGACAGCCCATGGGTTGATTCGCATTAACATAAGATGTCACTTTAAAATCATTCCAGGTTTTCCCCAAATACCAGAGCATGATCTTGATCACTTTGGAATTTAAAACAAGAAAGGAAATTACCTTCGGAATGCCGAAGTTTTTATACATTTGCAGTTTTGAATTAAATAAACTTCAAATATTTGCATTATTATAACAGATATTAAACAATATCTTTATTCGACAATTTTTTCGATAAATCAAAATTTAAACATTTCATATCTAAGCTAAAAATGAATTAATTTGAATACGGAAAGCGTTCCTATGTTAGCTTTTATTAGGTTAACAATTCTCCATACTAGGATTCAACATTGAAAAAATGATGAATTTTATCAATTTATGAAATTTTTCATGATGTAACCCCTTTGCTTTTTTCGCAAAAATTGAAAATTTTAAACAAATTTATTTTTTTGCCGGACCGATCGATAGATCGATTCGGCTGTTGATTCTGATAAAGAATATATATGATTTATAGGGTCGGAAATGACTCCTTCATTGCGTTTTAAGCTTCGAACTAAAATGAGAATACCCAGAAGGTATAAAAAGATCATTTTTGTTTCCCTCATCTAAAAAGTGTTAAAAAAATATTCTAAATCAAATTATACAAAGGAAACTAGCTTCGGGAAGTTCAAGTTATATATAAACCCATGCAGTTTGAAACAGAAATATGGATTGGAATCGAAAACTGATCAAAGCTAAGTTTAAAATTGTCGATATTTTTATATTAATTTTTATGGAGGAATTTAATGGTAACTTTTTGGATAAATCTTGGATTAAAAGTTCAAACCTAAGTCAAAAATAGATTAATTTGAATACGGAATGCGTTCCTATGTTAGTTTTTATTATGTTAACAAATCTGCATACTCAATTTTAAATTTTAAGAAATTCAATTTTTTGTCAAAATTTGAAAATTTTAATGATGTAACCCCTTTCCTTTATTGCAAAAATTGAAAATTTTACAAAAATTAATTTATTTGCCGGACATATCTAGATCGATTTGGCTGTTGATTCTGATCAAGAATATATATGATTTATAGGGTCAGAAATGACTCCTTCACATTTTTAAAAGCTTCTGGCTAAAATGACATTACCCTACAAAGGCGTAATGATTAAATAATTTTTGGCCCCATCTAGTTTTATTATTACACCCTGGCTATATATAATTAATAAATTAATTTCTCGATTTACATCCTCTATTTATAAATCTTTAAAAGATGTATGATTACAATTTAAAACTAGTTCCCCTTTCTTTCGTTCTAAAAACAAGCACATTGCCCCACAGGTTGGACCACTGTGCCTGCCACATGTCGTAATGTCAATCGAGCTGGCTTTGCTCCTGTTTGCCACCAACAGCAACAGGTGGCAGGCATCGGGTTGGAGCTGTGCTGGAGCTGGAGACCATCTCTGGTTCATGTGCGCCTGGTCCGCATTGCTTTTTAAGGTAAAGAGCGACTGCTGACGAGCGACAACAAGTTCGTTGCCTAAGTCTTTTGTTTTTCCCGAGTCGCCACTGCTGTTGCTACCGCTGCAGTTGTTGTTTTCCTTTCTTTCTTTCTTTCTTTCTTTTGCTGGCCAAGAACAGTGGTAGTACGGGGCAGTCAATGGCAAAACACTTTCGTTTGGCACTTCCATTGTGTGCTTGGGCTCTGTGTGCGCGATTAATCGTTCACATTTGCGGCCAATTCATGTTGCTGCTGGTCGCGTGCTGCGTTTTGGCCACTGCAAACGAGTTCCGACCACTTTCTTTGCGGCGCTCGCGCACTTCCAGTGGCTGCTAGTAGCTGTTCCAGTGTGGCTCCAGCGGATCGGCACATGGTTTTTGTCCGGGCACGCCGACCGAGAGGCACTCAGTTGTCTACGCGACTCGAACAGGTGCAGACGTCGCAGCTCCGAATCGCTTGTGTTCCAAAAACCTCCGAAACCGAATCAAAATTCGAAACCAAATTCTGGGTACTGTCTTCTTTTAACGTGCGTGCATTTGAAACTGAAGAAAGCGCTCTCGGCGCTCGCTGACATGAAGTTAATTGATGTGATCATCTACCTAATTGCCATCTTGATCTTCATCTACTTGCTGCTGGAGTAGCGGAAGCAGAAGCCGAAAGTCACTCAACTGCTCTACTCTCTGGCCAGAGCTTTCTACACGACCCCAACTTACCGTCAAAGGTTGACCATTAAAGCAACATTATTAAATCCAACGAATATCTCTGCAAATCCCAAACGAAAGATGAGGGTAAGTGATTCACGCCGTGATCTCGGGTTTGTTAACCACAATTACTGGTGTTTAAAAAGCCTCTCACTGTGCAGGCCGTAAAAAATAATTACTTGGATTTAATTCCAATGCAAATGCATTGGTATTTCTACTAAGCCGCGTGCAACGACTTCAAACTGCAGCACCAGATTCACCTTCACCTTCGATAAATCCCATTCCAATGACAGTCACAGTACTCATAATAATCACAAGACAATGCCGCAGCTTCTTCAATTGAATTGCTATCGCTGCCGTGAATATTTGACAAATTGTAATGTGTGCGCCGGCAAGGCGAGCACTTTCATTCGCAATGGGAGCACTTGATGCGCCAAGTTTCGCCAAGATCCACCAGATCCAGCCAGATCCACAGCTCTAGACAATGGCGGTGGCGATGGCGATGGCGATGGCTTTACGTGCACCAATTACACTGGCGACTGCCCGCCCGCCTTTGCCTCGATGTGCATCGGGCTTGAAAATAAAATGCTTACTTGCCGCTAAAATAAAAGTTGCATTTCGAGTTGCAATTTGGGTTAACCGCACCGTTGTTTATGGCCGTCGCGACTACGTCGTCGTCGCTGGTGACAGGCCGCTGATCAATAGTTCCGCCTGTGGTCAGTGGCCAGTGGTTAGGCAAATCCTTTGTCAAGTTCATTGGCACTGGGCGCCAAAAGGAAACCCGAAATTATATGAATTCCAGGCGTGGCCGGTTGCCCAGACCGACATCCGTCTCCTGGCAGTTCATTCACTCAGCTGATGCCGACGCTGAAACTGAGGCAGAGGTATTTGCATATGATTATGCATACCGCAGAGGCGACAAAGTAACTAACCACTCTATAAACAATAAGCCACCAATTTTCCACCAATTACTGGCTGTGCCCCCTCTTCGGGATTGCTGCATTCGATGGCTCTTTTTTTTGCGTTGCGATTAGGCAAACCCGGCACGTAATCAATAACGATACGTATTGGACTCTGTTAGGCATTTCACCCCATTGATTGACGTCTGGCTAACGGCACACAGTACATTGTCATTGTCATTTTCATTTTCATTTTCATTGCCGCTGCCGCTGCCGCTTCGATGAAGCTCAGCAAGTGAAATTGCCACGTCCAGTTGCTGCCTCAAATTACCGACTTCCACTTCAATCGACCACGACCCAGGCTAGTCAAGCAGAGAGGCGGGATACTCCTTCTTTGAATGTCTTTTAATTATCAAAGATTGAATATTCTCACGGAGATGGATTAACATTGAGTTACTCCACAGAAGTACCCTCTTTATTTATATTTGAATATACCTCACAAATCACACTTTTAGATTAAGCTTATTTCTGATAACATATAATATTATAAACATTTTATGAATTTCTTACATGAAATACTTAAATACATACCTAACAAGGAAGGAAACTAATTTCGGGAAGCACAAGCTTATATACCCTTGCAGTTTGAAAATTAATTACAGACTCGAAACAGAAATATATCATAGCTTATTTTAAATTTGTCGAAGTTTAAAATTTATCGAGGTTTTTATGGTCAGTTTTTCGATAAAATCGAAATTTAAAAAATACATAAGTAAACGAAAAAATTCATTAATTTCAATTCGGAAATCGTTCCTATGTTATTTTTTACTAGGTAAACAAATCTGCATACTCAATTTAAAATTTTAAGAAATTAAAATTTTTCCCAATTTTTGCCAATTTTAATGATGTAACCCCTTATAAAAATTTCAAATTTTGAAAAAAATTTAAAAATTTATTTTTTGACCGCACATTGCTAGATCGACTAGACTTTTGATTCTAAACAAGAATTTATATGATTTATAGGGTCGGAAATGACTCCCTCACTGCGTTTCAAGCTTCTGACTAAAATTAAAATACCCTTGAAGGGTAACATTAAACATTTAATCTAACGAAGCTCTTTTGAATTTAAAATACGAAACAGACTCCCCTATCCTTCATTTAACACCCATCAATCTCAGGTTTCTATTTGGTTTCCACATTCTACGAAATCAGTTTGAAAATCCATAAAAGAAATGCGGTTAATTAAAGTGTTACAATCACAGTCACCGAACCACAATACCCCTTCGAAAACGTAAACAACGTGACGGCGACGTCGACAATTACAGAACGAAGACATTTCGATATTCAACTTTTCACTTTCATTCTACGGCATTGCGGACTGAAAGTTTAATCAGGCAGCCAAGCGGGGAAAATGGGCAAAGTATTATGGCATACTTGTGTATAAATATATATATAAATAAATATATATATGTACATGTGTGTGGAAGATACTTTGTTGGCTCGTTTGCTTAAGCAGCTTTGGTTAAGTAGTCAACGGCAGGCGACGTGATAAAATTTTAGAAAACCGCCAATTTGTTCAAATTAAGGCCATTACAGTTTTGTTGCCGTCCAGCGATTACACGACCCGCCCTCCCCTTTCGGCGGACTTAGAAAGTTTTCATTTTTGTTCGATGTCTTCATTTTCGATGATGTGCCCGTAAAATAATTAATTTATTTTGATGTACAAACGTCTTCTTTCTTTTTAAATAAATTAATTTAATAATTAATTTTATGATTCACCCTCTACAGCCTTTCCTTGTGCTCGCCCTGCTTGTGGCCTTGGCCAACTGTGAGCCACCGTTGTACGCCGACAAGCAGCGTCCGCTGGTCTTCACAAACTGGCCTCCCAAGAGTGCCAAGCAGCTGGGACGTCCTGCCGTCGGAGGAGGAGCAGGAGGAGGACCTGGTGGCAAACAGCGCACTCTGGTTGTCCAGATCCGGAGCGATCAGCCGGTGCCGCTGGTGCTCAAGGGTCGTCCCGGTCACAGCCCACATGCCCACACTCATGCCCATCTGGCTCATGCTCACTCTGTGCATCCTCATGTCCTGGCACAACATGCCCATTTGCATGCCCACCTTCACGCCCATCCGCTGATCCATGTGCCCCAGCATTCGATTTCGCATGCGCACCAGCTGCAGCATCTGCGTGGAGCCCGCCCCATTAAACTGAGTGCTCCCGTTTATCTGAAACCCGCTGGAGCACTTCGTAAGCCTCTGAAGATCAAGCTGAATAATGTCAAGCCCAAGGCGAAGCCCTCTTTTGGCTACGACAAACCCTTCAAGTACGAGAAACCCACGGCTGTTAGCTACAGCGAACTGCAGAATCTGCCGGTAAGTTGAGATTGGGGTTTATTTATAAAGGATTTTAAGAAAAGCATAAAATAAGTAGACCAAGGTTATAGATTTTATGATTTTGTGATCTTAAATGATTTGATAGGGTTTTTTAAAGCTTGAAGAAATCCACATTTACCTAAATGCATTCATTTTGAAATCCTTTACCTCGATTATTGGGGATCATAAGCAGCAATGTTGGAAAACCTTTTCCTCCAGGTCTCTTTTAAATAAAATTTAATTGAAATTCAGCATATATTTTAATTTTAATGTAATAAAAAGTAGCAATCAAAGTAACGAAATTAAAAACCACATCAAATCGAAGTCAAAAGTAACCATTACTCATAGCCAAAACATGTATTTAGTTTCACTCCACGCACACGCTCAGTACACTTGCCAGACATACAAACATATAACATGAATCCAAACATGCCGATCCCCCAACAGCTGGACACGCACAACAACTTCAACACCGAGCACTTTGCACCCATTTACACGGTTCCCGCACCGAATCTGGCCCTGCACAACAACCATCTGGATGTGGAAGACGGACATCTTGACACCAGCGCCTACCATTACACGCCCCCATCCCAGTCCCAGTTCCCGTCCTCGTCAGCTCGTCCCCAGACATATCTGCCACCGAAGCACAATGTGCATGAGGACGAGACCAATGACCAAACCATTCGTGATCCCATTTCGGGTTCGCAGAAACTCTTTGCCCCAGATCCGGATCCCTCGCTACCCACTACGAAGATCCGTCCGTCCACCGAGACCTTCAACACGCCGAGCAATAGCAAGCCACTTCCCTCGGACGTCCAGAGCAATCATTTGCCCGCCCAACCGCTGGTGCAGATTGTAGGAGCCCAGGCGGAGGCACAGACGGCGCCACAGATCTATCCCATCCAGTATGCCCAGCCGGCAGCGACGGCACAGCTGCAGCCGTTCCTTGCCGCCGCCATTCCGGCAGCCCACATACCCATATACAATCCCACATACCTGGTGACGCAGTCCAACCAGCTGTACACGCAGCACAAGCAGCAGCTCTTCAAGCCCAGCACGGAGCACGTTGTGGAATCGGGTTACGTTAATGCGGACCTTACCCAGGAGGTGGCCAGCAACGGACAGATCCTGCAGGCGGCCAAGGACCCGCACCACAACATCCATCCTGTTCTGGACTCGGCTCCGCAATATGCCGCTTTAATCGCTGCTCCAGCTCTGGGTGAGCCGGCGGAGAGTGCGTACGAGACGGCCGCCTTCCACCTACCCAATACGGCAATCCAGTCCACGGCACCCGAGGGCGGCTTCGTCGTGTCCAACTACTACGGACACGCCCACGATTCGTCGCAGCTCCTTCAGGCATACGCAGAGGAGGAGGCACGCCGCCAACAGCTGGAGACGGAACAGGCAGCCATCGAATTGCAGAAGCAGCAGCAACTCCATCTCGAAGAGCTCAAGGTTCAGGCCCAGGAGCAGCAGCAGCAACACCAGCAGCATCTTGAGGAACTACGCGCCCAGGCTCAGTATCAGCAGCAACAGCACCAGCAGTTCGAGGAGCTGAAAGCCCAAGCCCAGGAGCAACACTTGCAACAGCAACACCAACAACAGCAGTTACAGCTCCTGCAGCTGCAGCAGCAACATCAACAGCTCCAACAGCCTGTCCAGCATCATCCGCAGCCGGTGACCCAGGATCCATCAGCGGCGGCCTTCGAGGAGCACCAGCGACTGGTGCAGGCGCAACTGGGCAGCAACACGCCACTGCGCATCTTTGTGCCCGACGAGGAGTCCACTCTAGAATCGGTTAGTTATTAAATCGAAGATTTATTATGTTATTTTAACAATTAAACTTTTACAGCGCCTGCAAAAACGATCGGATGAAGTAAAGAAGGGCACCGTGGAGAACGTGCCCAGCCTGATCGAGAGCAGCAGCGAGGCAGATTCAGCCAAAGATTTGTTTGAGGTCTCCACCTCCGTTGAAGTTGCCGGCGAGCATCTGGCGGCCAGCAGTAATTAGTTAAGGCAGTAATAGTCTTCGACGCTGTTCAAAAATATTTATTTACACACTCATTTGTAAAAACGCATTCATATAGCGAGCAGTCGGTAGTTTAATAAACATAATCCTTAAATTATTCAAATTTTCATACGTTACTTTTTTTAAATATCGATAACAGCAAAAAGTATCGATTGGGGTGACCAGCACCCGCTCATGAGCTTTTTAAGTGTGACCAAATGGTACAGAGGAAATATATTTTAAGATTTTTTCACTTCCAAAACGTGGTCATACTGAGTAAAGAAAACACATTTTGTGTCGTATTTGTTGTGGTCCGCGCAATTTTAGTGAATTTCTCGTTAAATAAAGCACAAAAGACACCATGATTATCCCGATCCGTTGCTTCACCTGCGGCAAAGTCATTGGCAACAAGTGGGAGTCATACCTAGGCCTGCTGCAGGCGGAATACACAGAAGGGTTAGTAGAGCCGGCCAAGACTCGTGCTTGCAGCGCATTTACCCAATTTTCCCTTTGCTTGATTCCATTTAGTGACGCCCTGGACGCTCTGGGCCTAAAGCGGTACTGCTGTCGCCGGATGCTGCTCGGACATGTGGATCTCATCGAAAAACTGCTGAATTACGCGCCCCTTGAAAAATGAATAGCCAAATGGAAGGAAAGACGCAGGGGACTTGGGATTAAAACCTAGATTTTATTGTAAAATTACAAATTAAAGCTTGATCATAACCAGATAACCGAGTCGTAAGCCTTAGAATCTACGTTGTAACCCAAGCTGGCAGTGGTGGGCTTACATCTTGTCCATGAACCACGGCTGGCCATTGTTTTCGCGACGCTTTGTGAGAATCTCGCAGCCCGTCTCGTTGACCAGAAGCGTCTGCTCAAACTGAGCGGAGTACAGACCGTCGGCGGTGACCGCTGTCCAGTCATCGGGCCAGGTCTCAGCCTTCTGTACGCCAATGGAGATCATGGGCTCGATGGTGAAGCAATGACCAGGGGCCATGACGCCCACAGCTGAGTTTTCTGCAATTCAAAGATATTTAGGAGGCTTTGTTAAGAGGATAAGGACGCAAACTTACTGGCATAGTGAGGCACATTGGGCGCCGTGTGGAAAACGCGATGGATTCCGTGGCCACAGTAGCTGCGCACCACACTGAATCCGTGGGGAGCCACATACTTCTGGATCACGTTGCCGATGTCGCGGTACTTCTCACCGGGACGCACAAACTCTATGGCCTTGCTCAGAGCCTCGTGCGTGACCTGCACCAGCTTCTTGTGCTTCTCGGACACATTGCCCACGAAGAAGGTCTCGTTGAGATCACCGTGGAAGCCGCGGTGGTACACGGTCACATCGATGTTGCACAGATCGCCATCCTGCAGCGGTCGCTGGTCCGGTATGCCGTGGCAGATCACCTCGTTCACCGAGGTGCAGCAGGACTTGGGGAAGTTGTAGTAGTTCAGAGGTGACGGATAGCAGTCCCGCTCAATGGCCGCCTCGTGGACCAGCCGGTCCAGTTCGTCGGTGGTAGTGCCCACCTCCACACCCTTTGCGCCCTCATCCAGACACTCTCTGCCCAGTCGTCCAGCAACGCGCATTCCCTCAATCTCCTCGTCATCCAGCACCTTGATTTTGGTGCCGCGCAAGGCCTCCTCGGAGAGCGAACGTCCATTTGGGTGGTCAGCGTAGTCGGGGCGCTGGATGGCCTCTGGTACGGTGCGTTTGGGAGTCTGTTGATACGGACGCAGCTTGCCGGTGAAGCGGAAATGCGGCCACGGATTGTAGACGCCATCTCCCTCAACGGGCTTGGAGCCTCCAGCTAGACGATACAGGTTCCAGTATCAGTTGGTGAAATTTATCGTCGGAACAGGAACACTAAGATCTCTCACCTGCCAGAGCGTGGATCGCCTTATGCTCCTTCCAGAATCCCTTGAAGCACGGCTGCGAGCAGAAGAAGGAACCCTTAATGCCCAGCTTCAGGCAGGTGGGGCACTGCAGAGTCGCGTCCTTGCCGCAGTCGGTAGTCTCGCACTTTTGAGTCATGCTTACATAGGTTCAGAAAAAGAAAAGAATAGAAAATTTTTCTGGCCAAAAATAACTAGGATGGCAACCAGTGTGCCTGTCGGTTATTCCATTCAAAATACTTAAAAGCAAGAGCCAGCTGGTCACACTTAATAACAGGCGGCAACTTTTGAGACGTGAATTTGAATTTATTAAAAATGTGTTTATATTTTTGAAATAAATATGCCATTTCTTATGTTTTTTAAATATTAATTTGAAATTTCGCTTAAGTGAGAAGTTTTAAACTGCAATTTACACATTTGGCTTAAAAATTGATTTCAAAAATTTTAAATTATTTTAAAAATAAATGCTTCTGTATCAGAAATAATCTGATCGACGACCAAAGGATCTCTAATGTCTGCCTGATGTGTTAGCAGCTTAAACGCTGCAGCCTGTTGGGCGCACTGCCACAGCACTGAGGCCGCAGCCTCCTCGCAGCTGTTCCGTGCCCGGCGCATGCTCTTGCCGGGAACCCGATTCTCGAGTGTCTGTGATTATCTGCTCTGTTTTGGTTCTCAAAACGCGAGCAACTTCGGTAGTGAACGGACGTGTGCTTTCGCAGTGAAAAATCGGCATCGGCAGCGCGAAACGAAAGAATATTGGCAACAAACTTGTTTGAATCAAATGGCCAAACACAAATATCAACAAGGGGCAAAAGGATAAATAGCTATAGCTGCCTCTGAAGTGAGTGTTGTTTCTTAGTATTTTGTGTGAGATACTTGCCTTTGTGTACCTGCAAAGGATATTAATTCCGATTGGCATTGGATCGGTAATAATGGTGTGGAAATTTCGGCTTATTCAACAAGTGAATCAGGGTTTTTTGGACTGCCTCTCACCTCGTGGCTGTGTTACGCTAATCACTCGTCTTAATTGTGATCTTCGCACTCGATTTTAATTCGATTATGATCGTTATATGCATTCAACGTGTGTTATCAGTGGCGAAGGCTTCGCTCTGGTCTTTGTTTTTGCGTTATTATTAATTCCCCTGGTCTTGTGTCTCTCGCTCGGCGACAATAAATATAAACACGCTGTTGTGGCGGACGATGTACACGGAACTAAAATAATATTACTTGTTTAGTTAACATAAAGACCTCAAGAAGTGATATATAATTTTGAGATAAGAGCTTAGTTTGGTACCTTACAATAACTATGATTATTTCTTTGTTTTTTGATTATTTGAACTGCATCTCGTATCTTAATTTGATTAAAAAGGTTACATTAAATTTAAACTTGTTCTCTTTGATACTGTTGTTATGGAAGATTATCTTGTGAATCTAATTTTAATTTGACGATGAATTCTATGTGCTTAAGACTGTCACTCTTGAGTGGTTTTAAACTGTTAAAAAACAAAAGAGTAGCTCCCTAAGGGCAGATAATACATAAATGATATCATTTAATCCCAATTTAATATCGCTTTTTCGCTCTGTGTGGATGCTGCTGTTGTTGATAGCAGCGCAGCAACGTTCAATGGCTATAAATAAAAAACGGCACGCGGCCGATGCCGCCTACCGCTGCCGCAGCCTCCGTGTGTGTGCACCGTCATCTCAGTGCCCCTCACCCTGGTCCGCTCCTGGCTTACAGTACCACCAGCATCGCTGGTTTTTGTGGGTGTTTTGCGTCTTACACTCTCACTAGTATCATCTCCGCCGTGCGGTTTCCACTTTTCCGCTTTTTGAAAAAAATACAAACAAAAATACAGACAACGCAGATCTCGTCAATTGCCAATCTAAAGGCCGCCGGCATAATTAAAATAGAATTTTTTCTGATTTCGCTTTGTGTCGTCGTATCTGTGTTTTTGCAATACGGAACAAACAAGAGTCAAGGTGCCCACAACACAAAACAAAAAAAAAGCCGCGAAATTGAGGCGGGCGCGGATTCCTCCTGGTAGCAACGAACTCGATCTCGCGGGACCGGGTCCGGGGAACCAATCCCATCGTCGTCATCCGGCTACCCAATTGGTATTTCACCTTAAAATGCACATTCTAAAAAGTGAATACACTTTTCAAGGGTTAACAACATTTTTAAGATATGTTATATCAGAATAAATAGTGTTTCTCATAGTCTGATTTTATTTGAAAAAAATTTCAATACAATACAAGTTCCAGTTCAAACTTCAAGTTAAACGCTAAGATGCATTAAATTTAATATACGTATATATTATATAAGAATATAGTATTTTCTGCAAAAGTCTTGTATGTTTTTGCTTGTTTATACATTTACAAAGTAATGCTTGAATAACAATAATTATTTGGGTAATTATTAAAATTATAATACTCTGATTCTAGTTATAAGTATACTATGCAGTAATGGAGTCATTTCCGACCCTAAAAATCATATATATTCGTGATCAGAATGAACAGCCGAGTCGATCTAGCCATGTCCGGTCAAAAAATACATTTTTCAAAAATTTGTTAGAAAATTGAAAATTTTATAAATGGTTACATCGTTAAAATTGTCAAAAATTGACAAAAAATTTAATTTTTTAAAATGTTAAATTGAGTATGTAGATTTATTAACCTAATCAAAATTAGCACGGAAAGCTTTTCCGATTTGAAATTATTGCATTTTAGGCTAAGTTATGATATTTGAAAAACTTGGATTGAACTATAAATAACTATAATAATGCACAAGTTGTAAGGATATACAAATTTTTAGTTTCTCAAAATGAATCTCCTTTTTGTTTAAACATTCTTTTTCTGTGAAAACCAATATTCGTTTCATTTTTATTAGTTCACTGTATCAAGCTGGTTCTTCTTTGTGACCATTTTTTCGTGACTCCTTTGTTTCCCCTTTCTTGTTTTGGCCAACGATCCTCGTTCTTGGCAATTAAAGGTGAGCGCCAACGGGTCCAAAGCCGACCAAAAGGGACCAAAGCCAGGCATTAGCCTTAATTGGCTCTGGCTGCGTTTTGCGGAATGTCGTCTTCAGCCTCGCCTCAGCCCAGAACGCAGAACACAGAACCTTTTCATATGCTCCGCGTTTTGTTTGGATGCTGGGACTATGGATGAAATTTATGCGCGGAGAAAGGGGGCAAAATGAAATGGAAAATAAGAAATTCGGAGGGTAAGACGCTCCAACACTTCCGCTTGCCAGAATATCAACTTCCGGCGGCGAACAATTGTCAGTGAGTGTGGGTGGTGGTGGTGTGTGGGACCGGGCAGCAGGCGGAGCACAAAAGACGCATATTGATATTGTTGCCCAGGTTGCTCACGCTCCAATAAGCCCGACAACACACAAACCCACTCACTCACACTCACACACACACACAGGCAGGAGGACAGAAGGACCTTCGCAGCTAGAAACGCATTTCGACTTCGCCTCAGTGAGTCCCTGGCCCTTGTCTGGCAAACATTTTGTGGCAACTTGGCCATTAAGCATTTCGTGTTTAAGCAGCCGGATCTTCATCATCACCCCCAAGCGCCTGCCCCTTCAATTCCGCTGCTGTGCGAAAGGACAGGGAATAAAAATTGCCCGCGTATGCATTTCTTAACAATATTTCTCTCGTCCTGGACACTGTCTCCCCAGCGACAACATTTCATTTCATATTTTTTGTGGCAGCAGCAGAAGCAGCAGCGCTTTGAATAGAATTCATTTGGACTCTCCTCGAGTGTCGTTCCCAGGACTCCTCCCATCCATAGTCCTGTCGCCTTTACTTCCTTTTCGGTCTGTTTTCCAGCTCCCCCGGCTTTCCCAGCTTCTACCCCGGCTTTCCTCAACACACGCACTTCAGTCTGATAGCGCGTGCTTAACAAATTTCTGCTATATTTTCGGTTCACTTTTCGTTTTTTTTTTTTTGCCATGGCAATGGGAATTTTTCCGCATTTTTTGCTGTCGCAGCAGGGCAAAAATTAAAAGCGAATTAAGTTTCGAAGAGGGAGTACGTCCACAGGGGATAGCCGCAAGCGAAGACAACTGCAGTGAACGAGGGATAAACTGAAGGTATTAAACCCCAACATTTACCTGCCGACCAAGGCAAGCAACGGCAGCAAATCTGCCAACAAGATTTGAATTATTTTATGGATATTAGAAAGTGTCCTGTATCTGCTTTAACAGCTGAGAGTCCTGGCAGAATGGGGAGGTCCTGGCAGGGGGAAGGTCTTATGTACACAGCAAGAAAGAGCTCATGTGGCGAAGGTCATAGAAATTATAATAAAATTGTACCAGGGACAAGGACAACTGATGGGAGTCCTGGCAAGGACAGTAACAATACCCAAACCTGCCTACAAATAAGAACTTTGTGTGTCTGCTTTGGGCATGAACTCACGTTTTAAAATTGTACTTTTTGTTTTACAAATTAAAATAAAAATACAAATCGTGTTATTACCATTCCCAAATCCTGTTCTATTATTTTTCTATGTGTGTGGGCGTTACAGCTGACGCCAGCCTGCTAACAAGCAGACATCGCATCCACATCTTCAGGGTCCTCGAAACCACCAATCTCCTTCCTTTGCCCCCAAACGAAGCAGCCTGTCACCCCAGCAGCAGCAGCAGCAAAACTCCACGAGTTATTTCTCATGTATTTTTACTTCATCTTTTGCCACGCCTGGCAGTGCTTTCAATTTTTTTTTTTTTTTATTTTTGCCTCCCAACCGTGCTCGGTTTTCCCCCAATTTCGGTTGCTATAAAGCAAAGTTAATGATATGTCGCAAGTGTTTGTTTGTCTGCCAGAGTGCGGGTGAGTGGCTCCACTTCCACTTGGCTGGATCCTGTCATGCCCGTGGATACCCCTCACGGTCTGGTCTCCTTCCCCTTCCCCGGCGTATGTAATTAATTAAGGACTAAGCAGATTTTATATTTCACTTACTTGGCCGGGGCCCCACAGACTAATTTATGTGCAATTTCACTTTTTGTCATATTTCTTCGTGTTATTATTATCCCCGCAGTGCTTTGTCGGCGAAAGATAACTTAATTGGGAGTTGAGAACTTGCCGGATGTTTCCCCTAATCCGTAATCGGGGAACTTCCGGAGCTTCATATTCGATGCTTCGATGCAATTCAATGGCTTCGATTTGCCTTGGCCGTGGTTTTGGCACTTTGTACTTGGCGAAACTTGGCCGCAAACTTTTCCCAGAGCTTTTCTCCCTTTCAGATCGTTTACAATTTTACATGCCAGAAGTTAAGTCGCCAATCCCCGCAAAGTATCCTCCATTTTCGGGGGAGCCGGAGCTTCTCCGGTCGTATATTGTCCACGGGGGGGGGGGGGGGGGGAGACGGCTTGGGCTCCCACGAAAATTTGTACAACGGTTGCCCGAACTGCCTCTGCCGTAGCGTCACTTTTATTTGCCAAATTAAAAGGATTTCACTCGCTTTTCATATTTGCATTTGGGGCTGTTTTACGTTTTATTCTTTTCATATTTTATCGCCATCCTGGCAGCCATCCAGGGGGGGGGCCTCAGTTCCGACATGGGCCTCCGTCTCCGTCTCCATCTCCGACCGCCGACTGCCAACAATTTTCCCACGCAATCACCATAAAAAGAAATCTTTGCCGCCATATTTTTGCAGCCTCTGTGCCGTCGCTCTCCGGCAATTGTTATTCATGACCCGAAACAACAGGGCACCGTAGCATCCCAGGGCAACCGGGTAACATCCGGGGTATAAGGTGAGGATGCAAAAGGTGCGCATCCCGACGCTCCAATGGGCCATGGCGGCCGCAATTCCCCCTTGGCCACAATCCACAGGCCGCTC